TTTCATTTCGTTATCAGATGACGGTCGAAATTTGCAGTGGGCTCTTGGACTATAAGGACTCGACATTGTACTGCGCGAATGCTTCAACACGACCTGCTAGCAGCTAGAAATGTAAACATATCTTTACAAACTGTCAGGAATCGCCTTCGTGAACATAATTTCCGAGCAATGGTTCCAGCAAGAGGTCCACTTCTTACTAGGGCGCACAGGGTTGCTAGGTTACAATTTGCTAGAGAGCACGTGGAATGGAGTCTTGCAGAATGGTCCAATGTACTATTTTCTGATGAATCCAGATTTTGTCTATATTCCTTAGATAGACGTATGCCAGTTTATCGAAGGCCAGGTGAGCGTTATTCTCAAGTCAACTTTCGTCATACGGAAATTTTTGGCGGCGGGTCGACTATGGTATGGGGCGGAATATCCTACCATGGACGCACAGAGCTAGTGGTAGTTAATCAAGGAACGGTGACGGCCGATCGATACATACGGGATATTCTGGAACCTCATGTGATCCCATATGGCCCTTTCGTTGGTGAGAACTTCATATTCATGCAAGATAATGCACGACCACACACGGCCAGAATAGTCATCGATTATCTAAATGAAGTTAATGTCACTGTAATGAATTGGCCAGCCCGCAGTCCAGACATGAATCCCATAGAACACGTATGGGATCATTTAGGATGGGCAATTCAACAAGATCGTATTCCATGTAGAACACTGGATGAGGTTCAAAATAAATTGGTTATGTTTTGGAACAATATGGATCAAGGCTATATCCACAACCTGTTTGAAGGGAAGCCAAGACGAATGCAAGCTGTAATTGCAGCGAGAGGAGGCAACACTCTGTATTGAAAATTGTTGTATTTTAAATTAGGCTTTTAAAATTAATTTTGTTTTGTTAAAGATTTAATAAACATTCTTGTTATAGTGTTGTTTCTTCGCATATTTCCTCTAAAAAATAGAGATAATAAAACGAACCAAAAAGGAACATTTTGCGAAAAGATGAGGCTAAAGTCGGCTAGTAATTGCAATATGCTGTTATTACTGGTACACTCCACAGGGTGTTACAAATTTTCTATCAAAAAACTTATATTATGGCAACACCCAGTATTCATTCAAAAATTAAATTTTATATACAGAATTATAGATTATTAATCTTCAGGAATCAACCTATCATACAAAGAAAAGAACATTCAAATCGATCAAACGGTTCAGATAAAAAAATAATTCAAACTTTTGCAAAAATTTTAGTGATGCGATAATTTTTGTGGGGCGTTTATTTTTTTAAGGAATATTATTTCTTTTTTGGACTTTAATCAAGAACTAAAATCAATTTCCCACATACCTAATACCCCAAGTATAAAAAAAACAGATTTTTAAACCACAAATGCCACAAAGTCAATTGGTCAAAAACCATTTTATTTTATTGCACCACGTATATTTTTCCAAAATTTCACATTTAATTAAGATTTTAAATTATTTCAAGTATAAAAAGAGAAATAATAATTTGGTTCCAACTATCTTAAAATGTTAATCCAATCTAATTGTTTTTAATAATTTTTCTCAATATCTATGTATTAAAAAAAAAAAATCTTTGAATTAATTCTTACACTTTTTATTAACTATTTTTTGTGTTTCCAAAAATTTTAAATTTTTAGAAATTAAAAATAATTGCAGTGATATTTATATTCAATACTTTTTTTATGTACCTACCTATTATTTTTCGACTTATAACAAAAAGTTTACTTAACATTTAAATAATTAGAATGAAGATATATAATGCAATGCTTGGTATTCTATATTATACTTTTCACAGTTTAACAAACCCCCCTTAACTCCTTCATTTTCAATCGGGGTCGAAAACAAAAACATTATAAAAGGATTTTAATTTTTGTAACGCTTGAAATTGGTGAATAAATGGTCACTTACCGCACAACAATCTTGTTTTTTACATATAGACAACATAAAATAAATAAAATAACAGTGGTGGGTTGTCCTATTACATCCACCAATGAATGATCTATTTTTCTTCTAGAATATTTAAATGACTTGTTTTGGGGCTCTTCACTTCTTTTTTGCTCATCCTTATTTTCCTCTTCACTTGTTTTTAATCCTCCTCCTGCTGCGTTTATATTTCGGAACAAACAATTTATTCCGAGTGGAAACTTACCAGTATTTCGGCGATGGTATAGTTCTTCCATTATCAATTGCAAATCATAAAAACTCGTTCGGAACCTTTACCGACAATTTTGTTTGATCTGCCATAGGCGTAGATACCTACCTCATTTTATAAATTTATTTTATTAATACTTTTATTATATATCATATGCAAGAAAGTATTCGTTAAAAGGAAATCGAATAATTATAAATTGGACGTTATTATACGCCCTTATTTAGACAGATGCACTTAATTGTAATCTTACTTGGACTTAAAAAAAATCATTATAGCTCGTTAACTTACTACAACTGAATATTAAATTATAAAACGTAAAAAAGCGAGTAAAGTGTACCTGCCTGTAAGGGCGTTTGGTTTAAACAGGGTACCAGACGTGAACTGAACCCTTTTTGTACCCCATTCGTTCTTTTTCTGGAAAACGAAATTTCAAAGAAAATACCATAAAGGAAAATAAATTCTTTGCAAATAAAACAAAACAAAAGAAAAAAAAACAATTCAATTCTAAAGTATCTTTATAAATAATCATGGCAGTCTGAATCATCTGAACTAGAGTCATCATTTGGTTGAATTATGATGGGTTGTAAAGAGGGTAATACTACATACTCATCTTCTTCTTTGATAACATGTTCAACACAGTTTTTCCAAAGCTCTTGGCGGTCTGCTGCTAGAACTTTCTTTACGAGTTCTACAACTTCTTTACTCAGTTCTGGAGACTGATTACATTTTCGTAATTCTGATTTTAAGTTTGCCAATATTAACTCTATAGGGTTAAATATGCAATAGTAAGGAGGTAGTCTGAGAAGAGTTTGCACAGCTTGTCAATATAATACATTTTTTCTAACTTTATACCTTTAATAACAGTAAGCAATTCTTTGTTTGTTGGTCCTTTTTTACTTATCAGTGGCAGGAATAGGAATATTTTTTTCAGACATAAAAGCTAAAATTTGAGCTTTTTACTGCTACTATTTGGTATTTTAAGGAGTTGCCGCGAGTGGTAGGATGCGTTGTTCATAACGATTACTGACTGTGGTGGAATGTAAGGTAAAAGCTGTTCATTAAACCGTTTTTCAAATAATTCTGCTGTCATATCTTCATGATAATCAGCTGCACAGTTTTTAATTTGTTTAGCAGATAATAATAAAGCATTAGGCACGAAACTGTCTTTGCTTCCAGTGTGTATCATTATAATGCGTTTTCCTTTAGAACATGGCCCATTCAAACAGCAATTTTTACTACTGCCAACCCAACCGAAATTTACTACATCGTGACTGTCAAACCATGTTTCATCTAAATAAATTATGTGTCTATTAGAACTTCTGTAGCCTTTTATCTGACGCAAATAATCTTGTCGCCATTGAACTATCCTTGACGATTCGGTGATTGCCATCTGTTTATTAATTTTTTTGTGTTTAAAACCACATGCTGACAAAACTTGACGCAATGTTTCCAAACTGGTATAAGTGTGTCCTGGAAAATCTGCCACCTTTTGCTGTATTACTTTCAATGTCGGAACCCTGTTCTCCTTATATAAGCTATAAATTGTCCTTCGTTTAAAATCTTGGGTAGCTCTGTCAACTGATTTCAGTTTTTCTTTACATGTTTTTCGGTTTTATGAATAATCCACAGCAACCCCTTTCGTGACTACCGGATAAACGGAAAATTTATTTACTTTAGTTAATTCAGCAATTGTTATTATGAACGCATTATCAGACTGCTGAATATTTTCCTTTTTTAAACATTCGAATATATTTAAAATAACTTGTTGTGTTTGTATATCTAAATCCTTATTGTTAAAGTCATACCTGTCTTTAATCTCACTACACTGTGCAATTTCATTTTCTTCATTCGCCCACGGTCTAAAGAACGCCATATTTATATTTATTAAAAGAAATTTAAATTAAACCAACCACACATACAAAACACACCGCACGACAGTACTCCACTGATATCGCAGACTGTCTTCCAGGAATATTTTCGAACATCTGCCTTCCGTAAACCTTCGGCCAATACAGTGCATTTAAGTTTACGATTCGATGTTTTCATTGGTAAACAACTGATGGTTCGTTTAATATTTACCGCTTTGTATAAGGGTAGTAAACATTATTTTTCGTTTCTTAATTTGGCATGAGTACCGTGCGTATATATTAAATATTGTATTGATGATTCCCCACATACCTGTGTTCTGCAATTGATAATGGAAGGACTATACACCTCTTGGCTGCAGCCTTGTACTCAAGCTTGAACAAACAACGCATAGGTTCAATATTTATATGACTTCAATTAGTAAATTTCATCCTTCTCAAATTATTGCCTGAGCATCTTTGCCAAGCTTATTAACTTCTTTTCTCGCAAGGGTGCTACTTCCAGATACCCAGACTACGTTTACATGATTCCTCCATTTTAAAAAGTAGTCTAGGGCTGCTCCTTTAGGATTCCGTCACATATAAAGTTGTTTGACACATTATTTATTGGTTATTTGCGCCTGATAAACCGTTGTGTGATTATCTGAAATAAAGTTAAAGTGACTATCCGTCGCGATTTTAAACCACTAATCTCGATTTAACATGTGTTTAAGTCGCTTAAAAATACAATTTTTATAGTGACATTATGACAACGCACTCTTCTATTAAATATTTCTTCTTTTTTTTTCTCTTCAATGAATCATACCGTCAGTACTGCAAATAGAATTCGTCGAAAAATCTCCAGTTTTCGATTTATCCCGCTTTCTACTTTTCAAAATTTAGCCACTTTAAATAAAGTTTTGTCATGGGTAGCATGTTTCAACTGTAAACCAGAAAAATAAAAAAATTAATTGTTCTAGGCTATCTCGAAAATAAAAATGTTAAAATTGCTTCTTGGACCAATATACTCACTTCAATACAAAATGAAATGAAGCAAACAGAAGAGCTTGTTAATCCTTTAAAAGTCTACCAAACTTACGTCAATCGTTGTACCAAAATATGGACAGATTTTCTCGAAAACACATTGTTAGTTGGTCAATTGCAGCTACTCAGGAATTTGATTGCTTTCTATTTGAATACCTCTTGTAAATTTAACGCCAAAAATTTGGAACTATCGCTGCGCTCTTTAAATAAGTAAGTAATTTTAGGTTAAAAATCTTACAATGGATAAATATAGTTTGTGCAAAACAAAGTTTGTGCACGTTAGTAATGTCGTCATATTTGCCAAGCTTTGTGCCCGACCTTGAAAAAGAAACTACAGAATTTAATTTAATATTAACAACTGATAGAAAATGTTAGAAAGCAGAATTAAATCATAAGAAAAATACACATCTAACTTTGTTTTGCACAACCTATAGATGTTTATTACAATTTCAGATCAATTCTAATGGACATTAAGAATGACACGTTCAATCCGAGCGAAACCTTTTTGCATTCGTTATCGAGTTATTTCGATTATGCTGGACTGAATCAACCGTTGAATAAAATTTACACAACTTCGAAGAATAACTTGGATCATTCCATAACTATATTTGTATTTGTCATATCGCATTTACATAAGTTGTTTTTACCTCAAAATACAGGTAATTTTCTCTTAGAGTTTTTATATTTAGGTTTAGGATATTTTCTAAGGAAAATAAGTTATTCATATGATGTGATAATTTCATAACATTTAAAAAATAAACTTAATGGGAATCCAACTTCTCAAATGTGGCTATCTTCAATGAGAAAATAAAACAACTACAAATCAATCCCACATATCTATAATAATTATTCAAGGCGACCGGTTTCGGCTAAAGAGCCACTTTCATGCCTATGCCTAATTTTCCATAATCTACCAAAATTGCAGAGGACTTAATTCAAAAACCCACATATTCTTCCAAAGTATCTTATCACTTGAACCCAAAATTGTCGCTGTAGCTGAAACTTGGTTGAGGACTGGAGTACATAATGCCGAATTGTTTCCCGATAATTATAGTTTACCGTCAAGACCGCACTTTTGGATCTCGTGGTGGAGGCGTTTTAGTTGCGGTTGATTCCAATGTTCATTCATCAGAGTTACACGAAACTACATCTCCGATTGATACTGTTGACTTATTATGTGTGAAAATAACAATTAACTTCTCTTCAATATTTGTATTTTTAGTATATATACCTCCAGCTACTACTTTTGAAGAGTATGATGTATTGTTTGATTTTTTTGAAAATTTTGATCAAATTGGTAATTCAATAATCTTAGGTGATTTTAATATAACTGATCTGATAAATTATTATGAATTTCATCAAATTACAAACCTAGTTTCTCGATATAAATCATTAATTAACTTCTGTAACCTGAAGCAGAATAATTTTGTAAAAAACTATAACAATAGAATACTGGATTTGGTTCTTTCAGGGCGAAAATCTAGTTTGTAAGGTTTTTCAAAACCTACATCCCCTGGTATTAATTGACAACCACCATCCTGCTTTAATTGTGAATTTGGAGATAAATTGTGAAAATGAAAAATTATTTATTACTAATAAAAAACGTTACAACTTTAGGAAAATGGACAACCAAAAATTTACTAACTTGTTAAATAATGTACAGTGGGAACAGCTTAATCATCATCCTGATGTGAACTCGGTATGTAATAAATTTAATGAAATTATCCAGACCCTTATTGTTCAGTGTGTTCCGCTAAAGTCAACTAAAACTAGAAAATACCCAATCTGGTATTCTCGTGATTTAATACTTAGCTTAAAAAAAAAACAACACTTTCTAAAATTGTATAATAAACATAAACTTCTCTTTTATCTACAACGTTATAAAAACCTAAGACTAATTGTAAAACGTGATATAACTTGCTGTTATAATAGATTCATTCAAAATTCAGAAAATAACATTAAACTAAATCCCCGACGTTTTTGGTCATATATTCAATCCAAACAAAATAAAACTAGGATTCCCGGGAAAATGTCATACAGTAACGAAACCCTAACCACTTCCCAATATATTGTGAATGCTTTTGCCAGGCACTTTGGTAGCGTGTTTAGTGATGGATCTGATGATGAAATACTTGATGATGTTGATACAAATCCTAGTAATTTTCTTCATATTAGTTATATATCTCAAGATCAAATTATCAACGCAGTTAATAAATTAAAAAATAAGTTAACCTGTGGTCCTGATAATGTTTCATCCAAACTGGTGAAAAATTATATAGGTTTTTTGTCAGTACCACTCTTTTACATATTTAATCGTATACTACAAGAAGAGGTCTATCCAGACATTTGGAAAATATCTAGAATCTGTCCCGTTTTCAAAGCTGGTAAAGTTTCTGATATATCAAATTACAGACCAATCGCATTAATCTCAGTTTTTTCCAAAATTTTTGAAATTATATTTTCTAATATATTATATTCCCACGTAAAAAATTCAATCACGGAATACCAACATGGTTTTGTGAAGCTCAGAAGTACCGTGTCAAATCTGTGTACATTTACGCAATACATATCTAGTTCTTTAGATTGTAGAAATCAAGTTGACGTCGCATACACAATTTTAGTAAAGCGTTTGATAAGGTGTCTCACAAACAATTGCTTCTGAAACTGAGACAATTTGGTGTTTCAAAGAGTATGCAATCACTGTTAAAGTCTTTTTTAACTAATCGACAGTTATATGTTGAATATGAGAGTGCCAAATCTTTTAATTTCGTGTCAACGTCAGGGGTTCGTCAGGGCTCGAATTTGGGCCCTTTATTATTTGTTATTTTTATTAATGACATCTGTCATTGTATCAACTCTAAGAAACTCTTGTTTGCAGACGATATGAAAATTTATAGGGAAATAAAGGATACCTCAGATTGCATTGCTCTTCAAAACGACCTTGTAAACTTACATAACTGGTGTATCGTAAATCAACTATCTTTGAATACTAACAAATGCAAAGTCCTGTCCTTTTCCAGGAAAGTAAACACTGTCTTATACGACTATCAATTAGATAATCTTGTTATTCCCAGGATATATAATTACAAAGATTTAGGTATCTTATTTGACAGCAAACTGACTTTTTCGGAACACATTGAAAATTCTGTGCAAAGTGCAACAAAAATCTTGGGTTTTGTTATTAGAAACTGTAAAAAGTTTAAATCTTTAGAAGCCATCTTCTCTGTTTATTTTTCACTAGTTCGTAGCAAACTGGAGTATTGCAGTTGTGTTTGGAATACTAACCATTTAAAGTACATAAGTGCATTAGAATCTGTCCAAAGAAAATTTTTAAAATTTATTTACTTTAAAACACATGGCCGTTATCCTATTCGTCACTATGATTATAATTTATTGTTAGAAGAATTCAGTTTTGTGAGTCTGAGAAAAAGAAGAGAAATAGCAGATTTGATATTCATCTATAAATTAATTAATAATTCTATAGATTCATCTTCTCTGCTATCTCAATTTAATTTTCATATCCCACGTATTACATCAAGGTCAAATATAACATTTCATATTCAAGTGCCAAATTCACAACATCACTTTCACAGTCCTTTAACTACAATGTGTAGAAGTGTTAATCAGTATTCTGTTGATATATTTTTTCTAAAATTTTACCAATTTAGAGAGCAATGTTACAGATTGGTATCAAATTAGGTAATTAGAATGTAATTTAGTTAAGTAAGTATTCTCAAACTTTGTATTTTTAAATATTATATTATATACTCCTGTAATTGGGCTGATAAAGCCTGTTGGATGTATTAAATAAATAAATAAATAAATAACAAGTTTAACCATAGTTAACAAAGTTAGTAAAAAATTAAACCCAGACATACATACCTAAGATTTTAAGTGGTTTTTAAAGACGAATTACAAATAAATTTTAATGAAACAATCGTAGATGTACTTATATCTACTTTATATAATAACTTAACATACGAGGTACATGAGTTATCATTGAAATTAAAGAGTAATGATTAAAGTGGGATTAGAGATTAAAATAAATGATCAAATTATAATTAACATAGACGTGGAGAGGAGAAAGTGGAATCCCCAAGAGAATAGTATTGCTCAATTTGAGTCGGTGGTCTACCCAAATTAAAGTGGATAAAGAAGGTGGCAGGTTTTGAATTCGAATTCTAGAAGTGGAGTAACCAAAGTGGCATTTCAAAACGTGATGTAGATGTCTAGTAAGTCAGGTATTTTATTTCTGTCGGTTGGCCTGGTAGTCACATCCAATTTTACTTGCAGCTACACGCAATTACTTTTGGTGGTTGTTAATCTCGAGCCACAGATGATATTTTTGCCATTAAAATCATCTCATGATATAATTTTCTCCCATTTTTCATAAGAGGTCTCTGTAATTTTCTTTTTTCAAATTATGTCGTGGTGGGATATATACTGTTCCGACTGTGTACTGTATTTATTAATTTTTGTTAACTGGTGTTACCTGTATTTCTATTATTCCTATTTTGTTTTCGTCAAAATGGTTAATATTTTCTTTTATTATTACGGCGCTTCCACCTCTAACATTATCCGACAGATGTATATATATCCTTTAATTGTATATAGCTTTGTTTTATTATGAACACCTGTGGCTCTTCTCGATGGTTAAGAAGTCCATTGGCATTCCACGTTACAATTAAGTCTTTAAGCTCCATTAAGGATGTCTAGACGTTTGGAAAAAGGTAGCTGCCTCTAATCGGGCAATTCTATCAAGAATTGTATTAATTTGCCATTCTTTGTGCATTATTAATGATAGGACGTATAGTTTGGGTACAGTTTGGTATTCTATTGTGGTTAGTTTTACATACCAATCTCATCTGTATTGTATCTCTTTTGCGACTTCGTATCTTTTATAGCTTGTTAGATGTGCTTGATTGATTATAATTTGCGCATTTTGATGGTATACTTGCCGGTTTATCACATTCTTCTGTAAGATAGGTTTTGGCACTTTTAACACACACTGGTTGTCTATTGCAAAAATGATTTCTTAAATTCTTTTTACATGTTAACATGAATAGCGGCAATGGCTTTTTTATGGCAGTTCTTATGGCTCGATATCCTCTTTAATCTTTAGTTTTTTTCCGTTGGATATTAACCACATTCAAGATTTTATATCCACTGTACTTTAATTCTTCAGCTATATCTTCTGGCTTGCAGGTATGGTGTAGGTTTATAGCCCTCACTTTTATTGGCCTGGTTTGTTTCATCTCATATAAATACCATTGATAGCCTTGGTTTTAGGATCTGCTGTCTGCATTTCCCGCAATTTAAAAATTTATTTTATTTATTTTTTTGAAAATGTTATTTTTCGAAATGACATTTTCGAAAATATTACTTTTCGAAAAAATATGTACTGGAAAAATTATTTTACCAACAAATAGTTTTGAAAAATCTTTGTAGATTCCTTTTGGATATATACATAAACTCAGTGAGATTCAATTTTTGATTCTTTGCCAAAATAATGCACTGTCAATACTGCTAAAGATGTCTTTAGCACTTAGCAGAAAGTTGTGTCCAATTTGTTTAAAAAAAATGTACACCTGAACTCGTCCTTTTTTTCACCAAATTTTAACCCATACATTTATCCATGGACTTTGTATATTTTTAAATTTCTTAGAGAACTATTTAAACATTTGCAGGATCGTAATAAAATAAAAAACATATTTTTAGGTAATTTAAATAAAAGGACACAGGACCAAATTGATGGAATATCTTTTTCAGTAGGTGTGCACACAATTTTAAAACAGTTTCATCCGAATTTAAATCGTGATTTTATAAAATATATTACTAACTATGCGTTGCAGCTCACCAAACATAATAGCAGGTAAGAAAAATACCAAAAGTTTATTATTAATTTATTATTTTCGAAACCCGCTACCGCTACACACTCTTTAAAAATCGCTTGCCCTGAGCAGAGCTCAAACTCACGACACGTCCATTATCGATCTATACTTTCAACCACTAAACGATCTCGACCAAGGGACCGCTTGAAAACTTTTTACTAGAATGAAAATGCAATAGATTGAACTTGTCAATTTATAATGACCAATTATATTAAAAAATAAAAGAAAGTATATAGATGAGTATTATCTGGTAGACTAAATAAATAATGACCTAAGATGGACGTCTACTAGACGTCAAAATACTATCCAACTTAAAATTAAGTCTAGAACAGACGTCCTCTGGGTACCGATGTGCAGCTTCCAAATCAGTGATCATAAACGATGTACACTGTATACCCATTGGACATCCATTGGACCATATGTGCTGTCTGAGTATAATCCACTGTTCTGGAATATACAAGAGTAAAACATGTAAAAAGAGCAAAGAAATTAAGGAATACAAAGATAATGTAGATGAAATAATTGAGAATATCGAGCCCTCAAAAGAAATAATAATACTAGGGGACATTTACGCAAAATCAATAATGTGGGGATCACAAATAGCAAACGAAAAAGACCATAACTAGATGTTTAAATGTAGTTTTTGTGGTTGAAATTTTGGTCTATACTGGGAGTTTAAAGATTCAGTGGTACATATTAAAGAAATACCGATTTTCGTTAGAGGCGAGAGCTGTTTTTATATTGACGTTACACTGTTTACTAACAAGAAAGATAAAAAACTGGAGGGTTTCTAAAGAATCCTTCAGCATGCACATATGTATTTCTTTTAAAGTAAAAATACACAAGGATAGGGAACCTAGTCCAAGAATGGATGGGAAAGAAATTAAACAAGGAAAAATTAGAAGAAGAATTAAGAAGAGACAGTGTTCACTTCGAAAATCTAGGATATAGAAGGACAATAAAAAACCTAAAGGACATATAAGACTGATACTCGATTGGGATTACGAGAAGCAGAAGAAACCAACCATATAGGTAGAACGATGACTTCGACGTACCAAGGAAGCGGTGCAACGACGCAAGAAGATTCCAAGTGAGAAGGTAGAAGAATTCGCGTTTAGGTAGAAATCGAAGAACTAGATGAAATAATTAAAAACATAAGAAAAAAATAAATGAATCCAAAAAAGAACAATGAAAAACCCTCTGCGACGAACTAGAAAACAATATTTGTGGAAACCAAAGAATACCTACCCAAGAAGCGAAACTAAATGAGTTTTCGAATGTACCAGAGCAAGGGAACTTAATACACTGGGAAACGTAAAAAAATTAATCAGTTTTTGTCGTTTGGTTCATAAGAATTAAACACATAATAAAGTAACAATGACAGAAAAATCTTACTATGTTCATTATGTTAAATATATTATTTTAATAACGAAATAAGTACTGTAGGAAACAATCACTACACAATAGCGCAAGTTGATAACGGTCATTCTGCAAATAGGGAATTTTGAGAACAATTATGGAACAGTGGTGCAAGGACCATTCACTGTCTATCAATCCCAAGAAGACAGAAATAATCCTTTTCACAAGGAAATTATGAAAATGGAATTAAAACCTACAGATTTCCTAAACACAAAACAAAACTTTGCAAACATGGAACTCACAATTAGAAAACAGAGTCAAAAGAGCATACATTACTTATGAACAATGCCACCAAACCGTGGGGTGCACCTGGGGTTTCTTTCCCAGAGTCGTCACATGGACTGGCATGGCCATCATACGACCTATGCTAACATACGGTGCAGTTGTCTGGGGTACCAAAAATTGACAGCTATCCGCAAAATAAAACAAATTCGAATAACAGCATGTTTCAACATAACAGGAACTATGAAAACCACACCAACCAGAGCCATGGAAGTCGTTCTTAGTCTCACTCCCCGTGATATTTACATCAAGGACAATGACACGCCTATGCACAGTTGGAATAGGATCTGACGTACGATCTGGTTAGGCGAGTGAGTTGAGTCGTTTTTGGCAAAAGGCGCTCGATACGCTCCAACTGCTTCAAGCGAACATGAACCTTATCTCACCGAGTTATATCTTCCATAAGCCATATGAAGTTATAACAAAACAAATAGAAGAGCCGGAAGTGGCAGGTACGATACATATCTACACAGACGGTTCTAAAACAAAACAATGCTCAGGGTGTGGAATATACTCCAATTCCTTAAACCTCAATATAAACTGCGCAATAGTGCCAATGTAGTTCACGGAGCTCCCGGAGGTTCTCATAGCAGCAAAAGAAATCGCTGATAGGAACATACTCATTCATACAGATAGCAGAAAAGCACTACTTACCCTGAACAGATTATGAATTTACTCAGGGTTAGTACTAGAATGTCAGGAAGCTTTGGCAAGTGTATCCATCCAAAATGGAACAAAGGTGACGCCACAACGAAAGGTAGCCTTTTTGGACCTGGCCCTTCTATTGGACTGACAACATCGGTAGTGACAGACCTAAATAAAGAATATTTTTTTGTGGAAATGAAGGAAAGATGGGATGAAACAAGAATTTGCTGAGTTACCAGGGATATTTTAAGTTATCCTGACAACACTATAACAAACAAATACTTGACTATGATTAGACAGAATCTGCGTCTGATCACAGGCATTCTGACTAGTCATTGCCAAGTACGGAAGCATCTCCATATCATGGGATTGTCAGAATTCGCACCCTGCAGGGGGTGCAAACAAAAAGATGAAACTATTGAACATATCCTCTACGATTGCCAGTCGCTCTCATTTATTAGACGATTTGTTTTCGGCGCGTATTGGCTAACACCGGCCGATATAAGAGAAGCACCTCTTGGCGATGTTGTCAACTACATCAAATGCGTAGGCTGGCTCATGAGATAAGAGGATACACAATGGGCATAGTGAGGCCTAAGTGCCGTGGGGCAACCCACCCTCTACACGTTACAGATCCAGAAGTACTGTAGGTAGCTGTAAATGCATTTCGATTGCATCCTGATAGCAGCGACTTAGTTTCTCGAAGTGAGTTTGTCATATATTTTAATTATTGTTTTGTATTATTGTTTATTTATGGTTTTAATTTGAATGGTTTGAAAAACAAAAAAAAAATAACATATTTAAATAAAAGAGTAAGAAATTAAACGATGCATAATACGTAGGCGTAAATTATCATTATAGGTAATACTGATTTAGAAATTAAAACAAAACATTGACAGCCAGATGCAAGAACATTCAATAAAATTTACGAATAACGCAATGTATTTTTCTTTCTTTCTTGTAATTTAAATTTTAAAACTATCTAATTTCTAATTACTACTTAGTTAAATACAACTAACAACTAACTATACTGCAATTTTTACAAAACGCTAATAATAATATACCAAACGTTGCTCTGGTTGCTCTACATAAATTGACAGCTATATTTGACGTTAAACCACCTCTAAAACACTGAGAAAACTTGGCAGTTTTTTGTCCACGAATCGCCCATTTAGTTTCGCTTCTTGGGTAGATATTCTTTGGTGGAAACAAGTACCATATTGCAATGAAAACACTAGAAAATGTTATATACCATTCCAAATAACAACACCCAGCAAAGTTCAAATCATCAGGAAATGTTCGGAAGAGGCTTCATCACAGATGTAGAAAGGCCAGTGATATCCACAAAGGAATTAGAGGAAGCAGCGGACAAGATAAAGGAACAAAAAGCCACAGGCATAGACGGAGTACTCCCAGATACTTTAGAGGTGTTCGTTTAGAATAACCCTCAGAACATATTAAAAATCTTAAATGGACTACGAAGAGAAAGAAGAGACAAAAAGCCCCAGGAATAGATGGAGTACTCCCAGAGACTTTAGAGGTGTTCGTTAAGCATAACCCTCAAAACATATGAATCTTAAATGGATTACAAAGAGAAAGAAGAGCTTTCCAATAGGCTTCCCAATACCAAAAGGCATCGCTGAAACTATAGAAGTTGTATGAACAATGTTTTAAAAGCATACTAGAAAAAGCACTTGCCTTAGAATAAGGTTTATCAGAGAGACAATATGGTTTCAGAAAAAGCAGATCTACCCCAATGGCAGTAAGAACCGGGTCAAAGGCGTCCAACACTGCATCATGGAAACTGATCACAGACTCTTTTCTTTTGAAATTTCGCAGTATCTAATTGCATAGATTCATAGCTATTTATCTGCCAGAACGGTAGGAATTGATTGAAATGTATTAGGCATAACGCAAGGAGTGACACAAGGATTCATACTGTGCTCTACATCATAGAATATACTGTTTAACCTCATTTTGAACAGCACAATACCTGGAGGCGGATTTACCCTCGCATACGCTGACGACCTGTCTTTGACAGTTACGGCGAAGAACAAACAAAACCTCATAGAAAATGGAAACAAGGCTTTAGAAGAGATTAACTTTTGGATTGAGGAAAACACACTGGAACTGGCAGTTAAATAAAACCGAAGCAGTGGAGTGACAAATTGGGTGTGGTATTTAACATAAGAAGATCAAGAATAAAATCCATAGACTGAAATATCTAGACATGTGGATTGATAAGGTTGAAACCTTTACAAAATACATTACCAGGACTGTGGAGAAAATGTCAACGCTAGTTAATGCACCAACTAGAATGCTGCTAAACCTAAACGGATCCGGAAGTAGAAGGTTATACAGCAATATTACGTTACTGTATGGTGCGAAAGTATGGATAGAGGTGCTTAAAGTACAGAAATATAGACATGTTGGTTGGAGCACACAGAAAAATGGTACTCAGGACTATAATGGGATACAGAACTATTTCCATCAAGGCGACCTTTATAATAGCAGGAATCACCATCATGGATTTGTTAGCGGAAGAAAGGAAACATGTAGTAGAACATGACACCAGTGAGGAAGGAAGAAGACAAGCAAAAGACGATCAAATGATTAAATGGAAAAGGACAGGGGTCCTATTCTCCAAATTGAACGATGTGAACATTCCACTGTGGGATGTGAAGTGTCCTATCACCAATTTGTTCTCTCGGTCATCGTATTCAGTATTCTTGAATCATTCACATCTCATAGGTTCACGGAGCACCGCTGCCAAATTTAAGTTGTGCGTTAGAATTATTATTATTTTTTGAAAATTGTAATAACAGATTATATTTTCCATTATTTTCTATTAAATCCCGTGCCAAAGGTTTACTTAGACGAACATTTTTTATGAATATTCGGTCACTAAAGTCAAAAGGATCCTCTTTTTTTAAAAATTCTATTTAGTCGATTGGCATCTTCTTCTGCTTTAGCTAGATCATTCAAAATATTAATATAAATAAGAGCTTCCTCCAAATCCATTTTAATTAAAAAAAGTGACGTTTTGATAGCGCACGATAATGACAGTTCTCCCAATGTTCTCCCGAAATGATGCTCTTCTACTGGTTTTGACTATGAGAAGTGTTCTCTCGATTTTCATGCGAAGTGATCATTCACTTCAATTCAAGAATACCAATCACACACTTTTTAAGAGAACGGCTGTCCAGTTCGTATGAAACGATCATTCTCTCAACTGGAGAATAAGCCCCCAGTAGACAAACACACTGATCTTCTGTATAGAGGAATGGACTAAGAGGGAAAGCCCACTCACGCGACCAGTCGCGCGCGGCAATACTTTTGATGTTTTTAAATGACTCAAAGCCCATTAACGCGGTTCTGTCGCGTGGTCGCACGCGGCTAAGAGTCATTTAAAAACATCTAAAGTATTGCCGCGCGTGATGCCTTGCGATCAGTCGCGCGCGACATGTCGCGTGAGTGAGTTTTCCCTCTAACTGTAAACATAGGTACACGAACTACTGGATGACATAGTACTTAAGCGGCCACAGATGCTAGGGCTTCTTTACACATAAAATTGGCAAAAAGTGAACGAGCAACACTGTAGACACCAATGCTTTTTTTATACCAGAGATAACAAAACGAAGAGGGGAGATGGAAGAAGTCACAGAAAAATGTAATTGAATAATACATATGCAAAAAAGAACATTTTAAAAAGGAGAGAGAAGAAAAAATTTTCGGGAAAGCTGAAAGAGGTCGACGAAGGCTGTCAATTTGATCTTACCTTCGACCTTTTTGAAAAAAGAAACAAGAGAAAAAAATGCATTCACTTTTCTTTCTTTAATTTTCAGTTCTTTCTTTGGTTTGTTTTCACTTTGGGAATAAGGGGTTGTATTTTTTATAATTTTGTAGGGATTAATATTTTCATATTTTCAAAAAATTGAATTTATTAATAATTGAAACATGTTTACTTGCAGCCTTAAATCTGCCGACCTCCTACCTGAAGTAAATGTTGCCTTAAAATTTATGGAAAATTATACTAATTATTCGGAAGAGTCGCGTATATTTTATAGAGAATCATTACCCACGGAAATTTTGCATATCCAGCAATCATTATGTAGAGCATCCACGTAAGAAGAAAATAAACCAAGAGGCGACCCTAAAATCAGTAAGCTAATAAGTTTTAAGAACGGTACCCGTTTGTGACAATACACCAGCATAAAGTTTGTCTTTCAAACGCCAGAGCTAATTTTACATACTTAGCTTGAAGCCCAAATCATAGAATTTTACTTCCATTAATAATTGTTAAATGATGTATATTCAAAATATATTATTTATTTTTAAGTTGTTAAATTGAAACTAAAACTAAGAATAAATATTGTTTTGGTCTACCATGTTTGTCATATTTCAAATTTTGTATATTTTATAATTATACTGTTATATTTAGTAAAATAAATTATAATTTATTACATATCTTTACTATTTTTTTTATGTATTTGTATTTAAAGAAAAAGAATAAAATTAAAATGAATAATGTATATTACAAGTTACAAAGATAAAAACACTGGATAAATAACAATTAATAATAAATGGTCTTAATAAAATCTGGAACTAGTCAGAAATTTGCGTCAGCATAGCTGTGCCTTTTAATATCCAGAAACTCGGCGGTTGTTTACTTGGTACAAATACTGCTATCACAAAATTTGTACTGTGTCCCGTGGTTGACAGTATTCCAGCGCGAATTGAAGTTTTGTACAATGGGGAAACGTATCTGTGATCATTTTCTGGAAGAGTTGTTGTCGGTCTTAACCACAAAGAAGGCATAGGGGGATTTACTTCACCTAAAAATTTTTATATGAAATTATAAAAAAAATCTGGATTTTGAATTTCTTAAAATATCCACTTTAATTATTGAGCAGTGTAATAAACTTAATATGTCGTCACTCCTGTTAGTTAAAGTTATAACATTGCAAGTTTAACAGCCGGTTATGAAAATACGCAAAGAAAAGGAATTTTATTTACAACCATATATGTAATGTTGTCATTACTAACGTTATTAAAGGTTGGGAAGTGTCACATTACACACCTCTACTTCCCGCCCTCATTTTATCTATTCTAGATGAATATTTTTTATATTTAAAAAAAAATAACACATTTTTTTGACAAATTTTATAATACCTTTTTAATGGCAAACAATAAAAAACAACAATGAACTAAAATATAACAAATTACTTATTGATATTTATTATTCGCGAATTTAATATCCGGCTTTATCTGACATTTATTTATATTGGTGACAGTTGTTTACCCTAGGTCTGTTCCAACAACGATCACAAACCAGTCACTGACACCAGGATTCTGCGCAGTAGATGATTAGGACCGCTGTAATCACAATATTATTGATTATTCTGAGAAAACCGCGCGCTTGGTAATTTGTCGTTAAATGTAATATTTTAGGTATGTTCAGAACAAAACAGAGATTTATTAACTTTGATCGAAATATGATAGTTGTAAATAAGATCAAAGTTAATAAAATAGTATACAAACCTCGGTAGGAAGTTTCATTCCTGTCTCGAGATCATAGCTAACCTCGACGCTTCGCGTCTCGGTGATCTAATTAATCTCACGACGGGAATGAAACTCTTCCCACCTCGGTGTGTAATATATTATTAAGAAGATTTTACCATGTGAAAAATTAGATTTTACGATGGAAAACGAAGGATTATTATACCACAAATAGTAAGTATTTTAATTATAAGAAATATTTCTTTATTTACAAACTTGTAGCAACTACTTTATTTTTTCTCTCTGCATTTATATATTTTATCTGTTGGACATTTTAAGAAAAACATATATAGGTACCTAGCTAAATTTAAAAAATATATGTAAGAAGATTCATTTGTTATGGTCTAAAAATTATTGTATATGTTACGGTTAAAGTGTTTACTTGGCTAGTTTATAGACTAGCTGGATAGTATACAAACTATCCAAATGTCCTGCTATTTTGATGGAAAATCATATTTCTACTAAAATAGCTATGAATATTGGTTGGTTTGTATACTAACCAGCTAGTTTACAAACTATACAATATTTATCGCCATAGTACAGACCACAAGAAAAGTACACAAATTAACCGACATTTTTGGCTAGTTTATAAACTATCCACAGTATTTGGATAAAGTGTGAACTAAATATTCGTAGTAATACATAATAACCAGCTCGTCGGTTAGTATGTAAACTAACCAATTCTCTTCGGTTAATTTATTAGAAAAGTGAGGTTATAGTTATGGCAAGTGTGTGTTATTATTGTTTACTACTGTGGTGCCTTGTGAAATTTGTTTAAAAAGAGGTAATTAAAAATTAATCAACAGCAACAATTTGAAAACCTACTTTTGGAAGTTTACGAACAAAAGTCGCAAAATTAAAAAAAATTAATGAATGACAGTGATTAAAGTGAACTTTTGCAACGTATAAAAAGAATACGCGAAACTGGACCTAACACGAGTAACAAAAATTATTATTACGTGGTAAATACTTATGATTTATAGAGAATCGATTCATCTTATGTAATTTTACATAAAAAATCTGAAAAGATTATTTTACGTTTGAGTGAATGTTATGATGCCATTAAAGCTACCCATCAGGGAACTGGGCATGGAGGTCGTCAGGCAATAACATAATTATTAAATAAAAAGTATTATAACAACACAGGAAATGGTTAAATTATTTATTGAAACTTGCGAAACATGTCAGCTCAAACAGAACAAAACTAAGAAAGGTATTGTTGTGAAACCAATTGTTTCAAATCATTTAAAGGCTCGGCGCCAAATCTGTCTCATTGACTTACAAACTAGACCGGATGGTGACTTCAAGTTTATTTTTGTCTATCAAGACCACCTAACTAAATAAGTGAGGTTGAGAGAACAAAGAAAGCTAGAGAAGTAGCTGAACACCTATTAGAAGTATTTGCAGACCTAGGGAGCCCTTACGTGTTTTAGAGTGACAACGGCCAAAAATTTGCAAATGGGGTTGGTGTTTTTCCAATATGTAGGTATAGAGTGGCCAAAAAACAAATAAAATTTAATCTAAATTCCTAGAATGAAATTATTTAAACAATCAATAATCTTTATTTAAATATATGAATGAAGTACCCAAGGCAAAATCGAATAGGTGGTTCAGAGGATAAATGTTCACTTGCTATGCGGTCAGTCCAAGTATTTTTTAAGTTAAATTAGGTGCCAATATATTTATTTTTTCCAACAAAAATAATAATAATAATTTTTGTTACTCGTGTTAGGTCCAGTTTCGCGTATTCTTTTTATACATTGCAAAAGTTCACTTTAATCACTGTCATTCATTAATTTTTTTGAATTTTGCGACTTTTGTTCGTAAACTTCCAAAAGTAGGTTTTCAAATTGTTGCTGTTGATTAATTTTTAATTACCTCTTTTTAAACAAATTTCACAAGGCACCATAGGATTGCGTTTAGAAACCCCGCACGGCGCGTCTGACCACATGCATTAGAATAGGGCCCAGACGCGCCGTCCGGGGTTTCTAAACGCACTCCAGTAGTAAACAATAATAACACACACTTGCCATAACTATAACCTCACTTTTCTAATAAATTAACCGAAGAGAATTGGTTAGTTTACATACTAACCGACGAGCTGGTTATTATGTATTACTACGAATATTTAGTTCACACTTTATCCAAATACTGTGGATAGTTTGTAAACTAGCCAAAAATGTCGGTTAATTTGTGTACTTTTCTTGTGGTTTGTACTTTGGCGAGAAATATTGTATAGTTTGTAAACTAGCTGGTTAGTATACAAATCAACCAATATTCATAGCTATTTTAGTAGAAATATGATTTTCCATCAAAATAGCAGGACATTTGGATAGTTTGTATACTATCCAGCTAGTCTATAAACTAGCCAAGTAAACACTTTAACCGTAACATATACATATTTTTTATTGCATACATATTTGAGCTGTTTATTTTGAAAGTGGCCTAAGTCCATTTATACTTAAATTAAGATATTCATTATCGATAATGTCCGAAGGCAGTGATGAAGGTAATTTTAATTAATTAGTTGAATAATCAGTATGTTTAATTAATGCAGTTAAACAAAATTTACACAAACCCTTAGATATATCAATTTAAGTATAAATGGAGTTAGGCCACTTTCAAAATAAACGGCTCATTTATTGGACCATTAAGTAATGAGTCGTTATAGGGAATGCAAGATGATTCGTTAGTTATGGAAATACATAATTATTCCTTGAACCATTGACTATAGGCTCGATAAACCGCCATCTTCTAAAATTTTAAATTGATAGATTATAATCGTAAGTTTTTTACTGTTTTTACAACTTTATAGTGTTCTCAAATACTTTTTTATTAATATATATTTATACATATGTGCATTTTTTATACAATATTTTGAATAACTAATTTATTTTGAATTTGATATAAAGGTAAGTACCCAAGTTGATTTTGTAACAAGCATTACAAAAAAAAATATCCCAATTTTGAGATCTAAATCTATTGATTTTCTTAATCAAATTATTGGTACCCTTATGTTTTATGCAACTGGGTTATTTTAACAACCAATTCAATAAACGTTCTTAAAGTCTACCGTTTACTATGGGCAGAATAATAATATTCCAACTCCACTCTACAGTACACGCCAGATTTGGAGGTTAACTTATGACCAATGATATATATAGTTATATAAATTACTCATTTATATGCAAATCAGACCACGAAACGCCGTTTTGTGTAACTGGTTCATGTTGCGGGACAAGCAGAGCATAAAATAAGGCATTTCGTAACTGGTTGCATAACTAACTAGCATATGCATTTATAAACGATCCGAAACTATCGAGTATACAGCAATTTACACTCTCCGAAATGTTAAGTTTTACATTTGTCAATTTATTTGACATTTCATACCTGTGATGACCACGTATTTACTGTAGTCATGTTAAACTTGACCATTTCAAGATAATATTCAATACGACGTCATCGTTTTTGATTTATATCAGTGTAGTCATTCATATTCAAGACATAGTATGTGATTTAAAATCGCCTAATATGGTCCAGTCTTGTTGACAGTATGATGCAGTTTGTGGGCGTAATATGGTCAAGTCTTGGGGACAGTGTGGTCCAATTTTATAGATACTAGGGACTGGTCTTGTAGTTAATATAGTTAACTTTTGTGATTGTGATGTTTTGAGGTCATTATGACACAAATTGTGAACAGTATGTGGATAGTATGGTCCAGTTTTGTGGACACTATGGTGCAGTTTGTGGAAAATGTGGTTTAGTTTTATAGTTTAGTTTTATTATAACATTAATAAATCTAATGGACAATATGGTTAAGATTTGGGCAGAGTGTGGTTATGTCTTTTGATCTTTATAATTATGTTTTATGCATAGTAAAGTTTGGTTTGGTCAGCGCATATAAATAATTTACTAGTTGATAAATATGATAGAAACTGACGCTTACGGATTACGGTTCAATGACGGGAGATGTTATTGAGAAAATACCAAAATGAGAAAACTTATTGTGAAGGATATGATTTTTACTATATCCACCCCGGGGTGAAAGCGCACATCGGCACTATACAGGGTGTCCTTTAAAATGTGTCCCAAAATTCTCAGGCAGATTCCTTAACAAAAAAATTGAAAAAAAGTTCCTATAGACCTATGTCCTAAAGTGCCCCCTAAGCGAGCAACAGCCTCTCGAAATCATTTTTTTTATTTTGATTTTTTGAATTTTCTTAAAAATGGAAACAAATAAAAGAACCAAATTTTGGCTGTTAAATATGATCAATAATAGTGACCTTTTGACACCTTCAAAAAGAAATTATTTCGTCAGGGGTGTACTTGGGAATTTTTTGAAAATTTTGATTATTCATAACTTTTTTGTGTTTTTGGTAATGACTTATCCATATTTTTTTTTACATTTTACATTGAAAACTACGTCAAAAAGGAATACTTGTTTGATCTCGATTGGAGCAGCCGTTTCCGAGAAAACATCATCCAAAGATATTCGTCCACTTTAGCTTAATTTTCAATTTTCCTAAATTACCTCGGTGAATCTCGTAAATAAAAATAACTTTTTTAGCTCTCTCTAAATAATTGTAGTTCAAATGTCGTGGTGGGACTATTTTTATTTAATAATAAGAAACGGTTTAAAAAATATTTATTCTAAAAAAACAAATCAAAAAAAATTAAAGCAGATGCTCAATGTGGCGACCATTGGTTTCCACACACAAGCGCAACCGTCGCATCATAGACTGTCTTACACGAAAAAATACTTCAGGATTATTCCTAAGAACTTCGCAATGATGAAAAACTCGTTCTTCCAATTCTTCAACTGTTTCAACAGGACTGGAATAAACCAATGATTTTAAATAACCCCAAACAAAAAAATCCATTAGATTTAGATTTGGTGAACGAGGTGGCCAGTTAACAGGACAACCTCTGCCAATTACTCTACCCTCAAATCTTTCGTTAAGGTGCTGTCTAGCTTCAAGGCTGTAATGTGGTGGAGCTCCATCATGCATAAACCACATGTTATGTCTGATTTGAATCGGAATATTATCAAGAAGCTCATGTAAGTTATTTTCCAAAAAAAGCCTGTATGATGCTCCATTTAACCTATTCGGCAAAACAAATGGTCCAATAAGGTAATTATCAATAACTCCAGCCCAGACGTTTATTGAAAATTTATCCTGGTGGTGACGTTCAACAACCGCGTGAGGGTTATCTTCAGCCCATTCATGCATATTTCGAAAATTTATTATACCATCTCTAGTGAAACCTACTTCATCGGTAAATAGCACTTTATTAAGAAACATTGCATCTTGATTACATCTTCCAAGAAACCATTCAGAAAAGATAACTCGCGGCTCATAATCAGTAGCTTTAAGTGCCTGAACTTTTTGAATGTGGTAAGGGTACAATTGTTGTTCACGCAAAACTTTCCATACCGTGTTACGTCCGACTCCCACTTCTGAAATTAAATGAGAGAATCTGTGTAGTGAATAGTTAAGAAAGAGAATCCATTGATTTGGGAAATCAGATTTTTTCTGCATAACGCAACTCTTTTCGTATCGAAAAGTCGTGAAATGTAAGAGAAGCAATAACAAGTAAAAAAACTAGTTTTATACGATAAGGTACGGGGTAGCTAAAATAATAAATAAGTAATTACTTACCATTTGCTATTTTTCTGGTACTTGTCGATGGGGTTTCAGCTACCCTATCCAAAATTGCTTCTTCCAAAGCAGGAGTTCTCACATAATTTTGTCTTCCACTGTTACTAGAGTTTTTCTTAAATGTACCAGTTTCCCGAAGTCTATCGTCAATTCTAGAAAACGTCTTAGCGCATGGAAGATGCCTATTTGGAAAGCGCTCCTGATAAAGTCTGCGAGCTTCATTGGCATTTCCAGAAGCGAGTCCAAAACATAAGTGCATGTCCGTCATTTCGCCGAATGTGTAATCATTATTGTAGTTATTGTGAGCCATTTTAAACAAAATAATAACAATACAACGAATCGCACCAGAACACTTTTAGAAATAATGTTTAACTGAAGAAACATTTTTATCAGTGAGCGAAAAAAATTATCCATGAAACACAAAAACGCCAAAAAAATACATATTTTTACTTTTTTATTCTAAACAGCTAAATACAAACCTTATGGTTTTCATAATAAATAAATGGGAACTAAATTTTAAAATTTTATTTAGAGAGCTAAAAATAGTATACAGGGTGATTGATTAGTGTGAGGAAGCTCTGTAGATCTGTTATAATAAAAGTAGGCAGCTTTAAGCTTCACATTTTAAAATTAGTTACGATGTGACAGGGTGTTTCATAAGGCCGTGCCAAATCAAAGTTATGTTTTTTAAATGGAACACCCTGTATATTTTTATATTTTTAGAATCTGCTCGATAATCTGATTTCAATGATATATCACACTTGTTATCTAATATGAATAGTAAAGGATCTACAGCTACTCAAAAATCACATTTTTTCAAATTCAGGTGGCTGTTGTAGCCAAACAGTTGGAAATCGAGGAAAACGGCTTACAGTCCCTATCCTAACTTTTTAAGGTCTATTCAGTGACATAAAATACATATTATTTGATACAGGGTGATCAAAAATCCAAAATCACATCCGATTTTTGATCACCCTGTATCAACTAATATTTTTTGCCACTGAATAGACCTTCAAAAGTAAGGATAGGGACATGTAAGCCGTGTTCCTCGATTTCCAACTTTTTGGCTACAACAGCCAAAATTGAAAATTAACCTAAACTGCACGAATATCTTTGGATGATGTTTTCTCGGAAACGGCTGCTCCAATCGAGATCAAACAAGTATTCCTTTTTGACGTAGTTTTTAATGTAGAATGTAAAAAAAAATATGGATAAGTCATTACCAAAAACACAAAAAAGTTATGAATAATCAAAATTTTCAAAAAATTCCCAAGTACACCCCTGACGAAATAATTTCTTTTTGAAGGTGTCAAAAGGTCACTATTATTGATCATATTTAACAGCCAAAATTTGGTTCTTTTATTTGTTTCCATTTTTAAGAAAATTTAAAAAATCAAAATAAAAAAAAATGATTTCGAGAGTTGGTTTAGTCAGAAAGAAGTCGTTGCAAAAACTCGTTAAACACTGGACTATAAAGGATATTTCTTTATGAAATTCAAGGAGATGGAATAAAACAAAAAGCTGTAGAGTTGCCAGGTTGCTTTTAAGTTATCCTAACAATACTACAGCAAACAAATACTTGACTATGACAATACATAAGCTGCCCCTGATCACAGCAATTCTGACTGGTCATCTCCAAGTACGGGATGACCTCCATGGAGTTGTCATACGCTGCATTTAGTAGGGGGTATGGACAAAAAGGTGAGACTATTGAGAATATCTTCTGGCCAACATAAGAGAGGCATCTCTTGGCGACGTTGTCACCTACATTAAATGTGTAGGCTACATAACGAGCTAAGAGTGGCCTTACCTACCCTCATCACGTTACAGTTACCTGGTTTTGCATCCACAAGTTGTTTAACATCAAAATCCCATCTTCCTGCATCAATAAACAATCCATGAACGATCACTCCATCTATCGGAACTTCATAAATTCTGTATGCTTCATAAACCTATAAATACAAATATTTTAATATAAATCTTAAAATCGTCTTTTTTGAAAATAAGATATATGTATTTTCGTCTTCTGTTACATACCTCTTTATCGGCCTCCTCGTGTGCACTCTTGATTGATTCTTGATCGATAACGAAATTGTATATTTTAAAATCATACTTTAGTTCGTCAATCGGTAAGTTATACTTTCTTGCGTGAGTTTGTAGAACCCCCGTGAGAAATCCTTGCGGGAAGTAGAAACCCGATAACCAGTAGGATGTTGGATTTCCGTATCTAACCCATATCTAAAACATTTATGTACAGGGTATGAATATTGTTATGCAGTAGCCTGCGGCTATTATAGGAAAAGTATAGATAGAAAAAGAAGTGGAATGTCACTCATCGCTCTACAGTGTGCTGCGATCGTCATAAGTAAAAGTACAAGTAAAAGAAGATAGAATAGTCGAGAAATGTCTGGAACTGTTATTACCTGTCAAGAATATTCTAGACGACAGTTCAAAAAGGTTCGAGAAGGGTCAAGCAAGCTATATAAGGATGATCCTGACGTCAGTTTGGAAGTTTTATGATAGACGTTACTTGTTAATGTCATCAGTTGTATAATTGTTGTTAAAGTTGAGTTGAAATAAATTGTGATACCAAAAACCAGCGTAACAATATATTCGACCTACAACGCTTTACCCCAGAGAGCTCTCGTTAATTGATGAGTTTTGATATAGAAACATAGATCCCTTAAAGGGCTTAGTTATCGAGATACAGAGTGTTAAAAGTTTGAAATCAAAATTAAAAATTTGCCATAAATCGCCTTTAAATATTAATAGTAATTAGTAGACAGCGGAATATATGCAAAATGCATATATATGCATTTTTTGCATATTTTACCAAAGTTCAGAAAATATTGCATATTTTTCCAAAATTCAGAAAATATTGCATATTTTACCAAAGTTCAGAAAATTTAAGAAAATATTGCATATTTTCGAAAAAAAAAAAAAATGTATTACTATACTGTGCAAATCAAAAACTGTTTTAACAGATTATACAGATATATTTGAAATAAAGACTTTTTAAATGTTTGTATTTGTTTTTAAGTGTCACTTCTTGTAAATTCTTGTTAATTAGTTCATGGAGGGTGGCATGCACTGGGTTTTTACCTTCTTAAGAGATTAAGCCCATTAAGGTAATTGTTAATAGATGGTATTTACACAGATAAAGTATTACCTACAATGCAATAAAACGGTTTATATAAAATTCTCAGTAATTTCTTGTAACCAATCTACCCTAACATCGGAATATTTTGAATGTTTTTCATTCAGTTTAATGAGATAGTATCCTCTTTATTTGCCTAGTGAAAAGTCTTGTAATAATTTGTTGTTTTAAAAGTGTCCTAAAATGTCGAGAATTTCTTCGTGGATTATTAACTTTCCAGAGTTGGAAATCAATGGGGATAAAGTTTTTTGTAAAGCTTGTGCCAAAATAGTGGTTTGCGAAAAAAAGTTCAAAGTGGTTCAACACGTGAAAACATCATTGCATAAAGCCAAATTGCAAAAAATGAAATCACAACCGGTTCAACAATGCGTTGTGAGGTCATTTCAAAACGCCGACAAAACAAAAAGTGACAAGGAGGTATTTAATCAGGACTTGTGTAAAGCTCTTGTTGCAGCAAATATTCCATTAAAGAAGTTACAAAACCTACATCTAAGAGAATTTTTACAAAAATATTGCAATCAAACCATTCCTGCCGAATCTACACAATCTAAAAAAAATGTACATGCTATATATATAAATGTAATAGAAGAAATTAAAGTTTTACTGGATGATAGCAATTTTTACATCATTGTTGATGAAAGCACAGATGCTTGTGGAAGATATATGGTACATCTTATGATTGGAGCCTTAAAAGAAAATGAACCAGGTACATCATATTTAATTGCATCAAAACAGTTAGAAAAAACTAACAATACAACTGTTACCCGATTTATTCAATAATGTCTAGCAGAATTTTTTTTACCAAATAAAATTCCCTCAGAGAAGTTCTTAGTGTTTTTGTCTGACGCAGCACCATATATGATAAAAGTAGGGCAAAACTTAAACATATTTTATCCAAATATGGTCCACGTTACTTGTCTTCTGCATGGAATAAACTTAGTTGCAGAAACTGTGAGAACAGAATATCCCTTGGTTAACAAGCTAATTTCGAATGTGAAAAAAATATTTTTAAAAGCCCCTTTAAGAGTGCAGTTGTATAAAGAGAGAATGGTAGGGGTGTGTTTGCCCCCGGAATCCGTAATTACGCGATGGGGGACATGGATTAAAGCAGCTATATTCTATGCAGAAAATTTTGAAGCAATTAAGGATTTAATTTTGGACATAGAAGACAATTCACAATGTGTAGTGCAAAGTAAAGAATTGTTAAAAAATCCCCTTGTGCCTAAGCAACTTGTGTTTATAAAGGTTAATTTTAGTTTTTTACCTGATGTAATAACTTCATTGGAAAAGAAAAATTTAAGTTTAATCGAATCAACAAATTTTATTGCAACAGTTTCCGATAAATGTAACAATGTTCCTGGTGACATAGGCCTTAAGATTAGAAAAAAATTAAATACAACTTTATTAAAGAATGAAGGGTTCAATGAAATAAGGGAAGTGAAAAACATTTTTGAGGGAAAATTTTCCAAAGAAGTTTTACGTTGGCCCTGTACATTACTTCCAAAATTACGGTATTGTCCTATTACTTCGGTAGATGTTGAAAGGACCTTTTCTATATCAAAACATATTTTTACAAACAGAAGATAAAACATTTTAATAGAAAATTTCGAAAAATATTTAATTATAAATTCCTATTATAATATTACTATTTAATATTTTTATACTATTCTATACTTAACTTCTACTAGTTTTTGTGTTTCGTTTGTTTTAAATAAATTTTTATATTACATATTTTCGTGTAATGGTTTTGATAGCGTACCAAATTAGGAACAGCAATGTTAATTAGAACCCAACAGTGAATGGTCAAGTGGAAATATTCGCTAGGCATCAGAATTAATTTTTAAATAAATTTAATTTAAAAAATCGCGTCCCGGCTGGAATTTGAACCCGGGACCCCTAAGTCCACAGGCCAACGCACTAACCACTGAGCTACCCACCCCCTACTTTTTTTTAAGTATTTTTAACAAATATGCATTTGCATATTTAGGCATAATTGGACAAAATAACTGCATATTTTTGGTAAAAACGATGCATATATATGCGCATATTTTATTATATTTTGATGCATATATTCCGCCCTCTAGTAATTAGTAATATTTTGACATAAACTCAGTTTTAAATTTTTTTACCAGTGACGCGCTATCAAGGTTAATGGTAATTTTTCCCCCTATTTTTACACCCCTGGAAAAAATATTTCCTATTTTTTAAATTTTCTATTAATTATTAGTTAATAAAAACTTTTTATGGGGCTAAAATGAACAGTATAAATGTTCTTAATCACTTGTAAGGACTCAATATTTTCAAATTATAATCTAGTAAAGCACGTGTCAAATTGTTTATAGTTTGTATCTTTGACAAGATCTTAGTAGATCAAATTTGAAAAAAATATTTAAAGATGTTTTTGTTTTATGGTAAATTTTGAATTTTAATTTCAAATTTTTAACACCCTGTATCTTAGTAACTAAGATTTTTAGGATTTCATGTTCCTATATCAAAATTCATCAATTAACGAGAACTCTCTGTGTCGGTCGAATATACTAACACCCTATATAAGTTTTTAAATTTGGCAATATTTAAGCAGCAATAATGTATTATTTCTTACGTATATAAAATCCAGCCTTAGTATTAAATCTCTTGTCCAGCTTCCTAGACTTTTTAATGAGTTATAAGCAATTTTATTCCACATACCAGGTACCTAAAATTGTATACGTTTAACAATGTACCTAATACATATAATAAATGTAACTATGATACACATTTTAAATAATGAGGATATTATTTATTTACCATATTGTTCATAAACGACGTGAAAACTTCTTCTAAGGCATCCGACATAACGACTAAACCTTTTAAAGCCTTTTTTAATTGATTCATTGAATTGTGTATCAACTTCAGTAGCTTGTTGTATCTGTCAACTTCTTGTGTTAATACGGTTGTTAATGATGGAAGTCTTCCTTTTTTGTCTTTCTGTAATATATAAAATAGAAGTAAAATATATTTACCTACAGTGTTATAGATACATTGGTGGTCTAGGACGTTTTGACGCAGTCATTTCGACGCGGCCGTATGGACGCGAAGACATTTCGACGCCAGACGTTCCGACGCCGGGCCGTTTCGACGCCGGGCCGTTTCAACGCCAATAATATTTTTTTTAGGTAGGTAATAATTCATTCAAAATAATATATTTGAATTCATAATATAATTATGTGATATTGCCTTTAAATATTCGTTTATGTTTCTATTTTTATAATCAAGCAGCCATTGTCCGCGGCTGCGCTCGCATGGAGTCGTGTTTTTAATTCAAAAAATCTGATGTGTCCAACACATGACTTTCCTATCTAGTTATTACAGGCTTTTTCCGGTTATTTTGTACAACCTATTGCATAAATGTTTAGAGGATAAAATAAATATATACATTTTCCATATACATCTACCTCGAAACATTTTTCTAGATGTTATTGAAAATGAAAATACTGAAAAATTTAAATTTAACACTTTTCCTACAATTTTTCCATTACGGTTTATTTTAGAAAAATCATGTATAAACAAAAATTATAGAGATCGACTTTTTTTTTTAACAATTTTCATAAAAATCAGAATGTTGCACATTTTGTCAAATTTCTCGAATACGGACCATTTCAGGAAATTTTGACATAAAGCAAAAATTATAGATAATAATATTAGAAATAACTTTTATTTTAACAATTTTTTTCTCCAAACATAAATAACAGATATATTCCATAAAATATAAAAACGGCCCCCCATAAAGTACCCCTCCAGATGTTCCGACTTTGACCAAAATCTAATCATTTCACGTCAGGCCGAAATAAAACTTAAGTTTAAAATTTAATGTTTTTTTCTTTATCCGTTTTTGAGTTTTCTTCAAATTTCGAAATTTACACATTTTCTCAAATATCTCGAATACGGTCCATTTTAGAGAAATTATGTATAGGATAAAAATTATAGAGAATTATATTTTACAACTTTTGTTTGAACAATTTTTATAAAAAAATATTTTTTTACATTTTGTCAAATTTCTCGAATACGGACCATTTTAGGAAAATTTTGTATAGAACAAAAATTTTAGATAATAATATAAGAAGTAACTTTTATTTGAAGAATTTTCTTCCCCAAACGTAAATAACAGATATATTCCATAAAATATGAAAATGACCACCTATAAAGTACCCCCCCAGATGTTCCGACACTGCCCAAAATCTAATCAGCACATTGGACGCTGGAACAAAGCTTAAGTTTGAAATTTGGTGTTTTTCTGTGTATCGGTTCATGAGTTATGCGGCACACAGACACACACACACACATACAGACATCATCGAGAAAATAGTCAAAACGGATTCAGGGGACCTCAAAACGTAAAAATCCGTCGAAAACTCGAGGTCGAAAAAAATCATGGTTCCTATACTTTCCTTATATCTGTATACAGATAGGAAAGTAAAAATGCATAACTTCCCAAAAAAAAAGAGGGATAATATGTTTTTTAGAATTCATGTTATGTATGTGATATAGATTACAGTTAAGTAGAGTAATCTGATATTTATGTATAATAATCTAATTGATAATCTCATTTTATACCACATTTCTGGTACGGCTCTCATATGATAATATCACCAGATTGCTGAACTGACTTCTAACAGGTCACATAAAAGTGTCCTTAAGAGAAGCAGCCATCTCTTAAGCTGTCAGGATGTCGGGACATCGAGAAATATCGTTTTTATCAATTCACTTCTCATAATTTTCATACCAAGTTTCAATTATTTGTACTATTCATTTGTATTTATTTTTATTAATTTTTATTTGTTTTTACTTATTTTTATTTATTTTTATTTTTTATTTATTTTCATTTTTTTATTTCACCACCTTTCTCCACCCTTTAAATATTCAATTCCAATTTTTAAGTTCCCAACTTTAAAAAAAATGAAATTTCCATACCCACAACTTTTACCCTCCCCCCATCGTTCCCCCCTTTAAAATGTAAAAATCAAAAATCCAAAAATTCGAAAAATTTAAAATTCTGAAATACGTCATTATTTATTTATGATGAGTAGATACAATTCTAATTTTTAAGTTCCTACTTTTAAAAAAATCTATACTTTGATTTAAATGTTCACCCCCGGTTCCCCCTCTTAACATGTAAAAATCAAAAAACGCTAAAATAAGTCATTATTCTTTTGTGATGAATAACTATAATTCCAATTTTCAAGTTTGTAGGGGGCATAAACTTTAACCCCCATTTTCTCCTCTTTAAAATGTAAATATCCAAAAACCTCGTATTACCTCTTATTTATGAAAAGTAGCTACAATTCAAGTTTCTAGCTTTAAAAAATTAGATACCCCTACACACTTTCACCCCAATTTTCCCCCTTAAAATGTAAAAATACAAAATCCTTATATTGCGTCATTATTTATTTATGATGCATAGCTACAATTCCAATTTTCAATTGCCTACCTTCAAAAAATTCGATGCTCCCATTAAACTTTAAACGGGGCCCACTTAACATTTCGTTTTGAAGTCGTCTATGTACAGCTTCAGCGTGGTTGTTCGTTCTGTCTTTATCCTCTAAAACGCGGTTGTAGACAGACCGCAATCTGATCGGAAACAGTGGATTGCGCCTTCTTCGACCCTGTCGTTGAGGACGTCCTACGTATAAGTCCTCAAACTAAGCCTCAAACCATTCTATTAAAGGTTGCAACTCGTTAGACAATTCACCAAATAAACGGTCGATTGCAATATCCATGTCTTCTTCAGGAACAAAAGCAAAAGATGTCACCATTTGTACATGAACACTGAAATCAGCATCGGTATTGTCATGAAAATTCTTAACGCCTACCCTGTGTACGCACGCAACCGACTCGTGATCGAAGCAACGCTGACGTGTGGAAACAGCCGGCCCGCGTCTCGAACAGCCGGCCCGCGTCTCGAATGTACAAGAATACGACGGAATGTCTGCCGCTGATGCACTGGAAGCAACTGGAACGGCGGGGAGTGCCGATTAGTCATAGGGGTAGAATCTTCGCGAGTATCTAGCATTTTCCAGTAACGGAGTTGGACTAATATAAATAGCCGACATATCAGCGCCGAGGTTAGGTTAATATAGAACATTGTATTGAAAAGTTCAAGTGTAGGAAATAAATTAGAATTGTTAGTTAGTGTCTAAATATTATATAAATTAAATAGTACGTCTAAAATAAATTGTAAATAGTGTGTTTTTAAATAAATAAACTTTAAATAAATTAGACTTTCGTCACAGTATTATTTCGACTTTTTTTTCATATTTTTCACCAAATGTAGAAAACAACCTAACAGCTCTGCATTTGGAAACGCTTCTTTGAAAGCGTTTATGGCACCCAGTTCAAAATCGCATGAAATCTTATCTGGATTTGCAGCTGGCTGTAAATGTCTCACCGTACCAGTCATTCATGCATATGTAGTTTGCTATTTGTTGGGCAGGAGAATTCATTAAAAATCTTCTTAGGTACCTAATTTTTAGGAATTAATTGTTTATACCTTTCGTAGAAATTAGAATATAAGCCAGCTAATGGTTACATATTTACTACAGCTATCAATGCTTACTGCGAATATTTAAGGAACAAGATAAATTACTTCAATATCATACAAAGAATAAATCTGGAAAAAGTAGACATTTCAAATATTTTTAATAATTTATTAACTACTTAAAAAATTTAAATTTGGCGTCGAAACGACCCGGCGTCGAATCGGCCGGCGTCGAAATGTCCTCGCGTCGAAACGGGTGCGTCGAAACGTCCCATTCCGATACATTGGGTATATCTGTATTTATTGATTTACTTTTTATTTCGTTACACTGACATTTCCGTTGTGTTAGTCATACTGTTAACTTTGAGGTTTTCACCGTTTACTTGGAATATCGTTGCTATATACGTATTCATGGATTTAGTTTTTTTGTTTTATTTCGAGCACCTGATTAAAAATAAAGAATAAATAAAAACATAGTTATTTTTGCTGCGTATTATTTCCACCGTGATTTCTGTTATAAATATATATTTTTTTTACAAACTAGCTTTTCCAAGGTTACCTTTGGGCTAAAAGGTGCAAGGTGATTACACCACTTAGGTTGAGTAAGGTAGGTATTACCGGTATTATAAGTGCTCTTTCAGTTAAAACCCCATTTGTAAGTGAAGTGAATTGTGACATTTTTATAATAAGAGAAACGGATTATTTTTGAAAAATTTAAAGCTCCTTACCTTATACATGAAAACGTTACAGTTATCTAACGATAAATTTGTCGCAATAGTGTTTATAACAGCGTCAGCTAGTTCAAAGACAATTTCATCTACAGATCTTCCTGTTTCGCCACCTCCAGCTCTCGGCTGGCTTTCCATTATTGTTCGTATTATAGTTTGCGTTTCTTTAATCTGCAATGACGCAAGCATAATATTAAAATTTAAATATTAAAAAAATTACAAAATAGGTATAGAAAATAAATTTAAGGCAAACGTTTGCCACAAAGCTATCATCATAGCCTTCGTATTTTATGTATCTCTACAAAAAATATTGATAAATATAAACATTTAAACATAATTACAAAATATTACTTAATCATTTCAGATAGATAAAAGAAACTCTAGTAATTTTGTTTATTTCTTTGCACACGAAGATACTGTATGCGAGATACGCGTAACCGAGATACAGACTGAACATACATTCAAATAGACCTATTCACATGGTACGGGCGACGCATAAGTGGTAGGCCGTGGACTGGCAGTGAAAAAGAAGAAGATTAATTAGTGGTTGTACAATCAAACGTAAACATGTACAATTTTGATATTGTAATTTGTACAATTCCAAAATTCCTACGAACAACACTGTGGGATATTTTAAGGCATATATCCCATCAATAAATAAATACGAATTCATGAAAATATAATTTTAAAATAAATTGTATGTCATGACATGTATATATAAATTGTAAATTCTAAAGTCATAATTATTATAAACAATATTTTGTTTCCCTCGCGATGAGTTCAACCTTCTGCCTTTGCTAGAACTGCCACGAAAGGTTATCTAAATGATGACAGCAATTTAATGTGTATGACGTAATGAAAATGAAAATTTTTTTTTAACTATTGCTATATAAATAAATATTAACAAAGCGCACCTGGTATGCAATATTTGCGTTTTCGTGCATTCCAAAAATTTCCGGCGCCTCAATAATTGGTAGATTATCTAAAAAGTCTTTGTATTCTTCAATTGTGTCGTACGATGGACAATAATAAATTCCTGATGGGGAGTATGTATAGTTTGCGTTTAAAGTTTTTTCACAAAAAAATATCTTTAAAATTGTTTTTAGGCATCTGAGATCCCAATAATCTGTTACTCTGCCGCCATAAGTAATTTCACCTAAAAAAAAACAATAATTTGATGTTAAAGTAGTTATACTTTTTAAATAGTCAAGGGTAATATAACAAGACCTTGATAAATAGTTGACTATTTTTAATGTATCTAAATTTTGGGTGTTTTTGATATCAGTTGGTTGAGACATAGTTGTGTCATTAATAATCTGAATAGAGTCCGAGAGCTTTAGAGAAAAATTTATTAACAATTAAAATAGATGCTAATTTATTAAGGTCAAGTTATATTTTATGAGATTATTTCTAGAGCCCTAAACGTAACTTAAATTAATTTTTAAACTATATTTATTTTTTACTTTTTAGTTCGATTAATTATTAAAAAAAAAAGTTGAAATTGCTGGAAAAAAAAACAATTATTTTTTTTGCCTTGGACGGGATTAGAACCCACGATCGGTGAGTCTGGCGATCGAAGACCCGCGCCTTGGACCGCTCGGCCAACGAACGAACTTGAGGTAGTGGGATATACTGACAGTAATAAGCCACTTGCTTTTAGTCCAAAGGAGAGTTACAAACATACATACAGGTGAAGCTAATATAAGCGTGCTAATAAAAATAGATCCTATCATTCTCACAATTTGTTTTATTGCGTTACAAAAATCGAGCGCTTTTAATGGAAAATTCTTTATATCTTCATTCTAGTTATTTTCTAACTATACAGCAAAAGCTAACATTATTGTGTAGGAAACTTTGTTAGGCGACAGCTATTTGTACATTTATGCACTGGAAATACAGTTTACTACGTGAAAAAGTAATATTGTTTAGTACTCGTCAGATTAACCGGCCAAAAAAACAACCAGTCACTTATGTAGTCCCGAGGTGGCCGGTTAAGAGAGAATATACTGTAACTTGTAATATTTCATTGCCGAGATGCCTGTTCGGGTAATCAAATAAAGTTGTGGGTGAATAGAGTAGAGCTAGTAGATTTTTTGGTCACGTGACATCGAGCAAATCATTTCAGTTAAGCAAACGGAGCTTGAATGTATTAAAAGAACGGTATCGAGTAAAAAAAAGCAAAACGAGATACATTTGAAATGCAGCAAATTTATCAATTGGTTGGAGATGTTCGAAGCTGGACAGAGTACGAATAACAAGTCGCTTGGATCGGTATGGTGATTGGAAGGATAATGGAGGAAAATTTAGAGAAATTGATATCATTCTTCTATAAACAAGGACAAATCACCAGCGATATTAATCAATCAATCAATCAATATATGTTTATTATCAAAGCTACAAGAACTTATAGACAAACACTTATAAATGTAATTATTATGTAGTACTAACAATTACATGCACAAAAATTGTATAAAAACGTTAAATATAAAATTAGAGGTTAATTACTAATACAAATACGTAACACAACATCGTTAAAATTATATAAATACAAAAATACAAAAACATGTACGTTCAAACAGTCACAACGATTTAAGAGTCATTGTAAAATTCCGTCAAAGCATAATATGCTTTTGTCATCAACATATCTCTAAGCAGTATTTTAAATGTTGTGACCGTTTTCGTCGATTTAATATCATTTGGCAACTTATTGTACATTTTAATCCCATTATAAATGAAAGAGCCCCTTACCAGTTCAGATTTGGGTATGGGCAACCGCAGGTTGTCAACTTGTCTCGTTAGCCGAGCGTTAGTATTGGCATAGTTCGATTTATTTTTATGTATAATACAAGTGGTTTCAAGAATGAACAACGATGTTAATGTTAAAATTTCATGTCTAATAAAATGTGACTGACATGACTCAAGCTTGTTCATTCCACATAAAAATCGTATTGCTCTCTTTTGCAGATAAAAAACAGTATTGAATAATTCGCGGCTGCAACCTCCCCAAAATGCAATTCCATATCTCAAATGGGACTCAACTAGGGCGTAATACACACTTTTTGCTGCCTTAAAACCTAGTTCTTTTGCCACAGTTCTGACTGCAAAACATCCAGAAGAAAGTTTTCTGTTTAGCAATTCTATATGGTTTCTAAATTTCAAATTATTATCTAAATTAATTCCCAGAAATTTTATTGTGTCAGTACATTCAATAATATGACTTCCCAACTGAATATTTGGTAGGGAACATTTAAGGGTTAGCATTTTAGTTTTTCCCATATTAAGACGCAAATAGTTGGCATCGCACCATGCTTTGATTTTCTTAATGTCACAGGATATGGTGTTGTATAGGACAGAAGTGTCATTGCTGTGCCATAAAATCGTAGTATCATCTGCAAATAGAGTGAAAGTACCTGCAATTTCAAGTTGAGCTAAGTCATTCACATAAAGGAGAAATAAAATGGGACCTAACACAGAACCCTGAGGGATACCCCAACTAATATCTAAAACTTGAGAATCCTGAGACGCTCTTACCATTTGCTTACGTTCTGAAAGATAAGATTTTACCCATCTCAGCGCTCCGTTTTTGATCCCGTAAACTCGAAGTTTATCCAACAGTACTGTATGATTGACGCAATCGAACGCCTTAGTTAAATCACAGAATATCGCCGCTACAGAATCGTCAACATTAATTCTAGAATAAGCATGTTCAAGATAAGAAAATATCGCATCAGAAGTACTTTTGTTCCTTTGAAAACCAAACTGTTGTGTTTCCAGCAATTTGTGAGTTTCTAGATAATGAATCAAACGTTTTTTTACAACTTTTTCAATAATTTTGGCCACTGTAGGAATGAGAGATATAGGCCTGAAGTTCGAAGGATCGTAGTTACTGCCACCTTTATGTATGGGAACAATAACACTGGTCTTAAGAAATGATTCGACGAAACTTTGGTTGATCAGACTAGCAAGGACTAACATTCCTGATTCAGGAAGGTTTAGGATAACTCTAATGGAAATATCATAGAAAGCAAAGAAAATCTTTTTAAATGGCATCGAGAATGAAATATTATTGGTGCTGCTGCTAGTTAAATGCGTAAATAGTATCTAATTAAAATTAGGTATGGTTCTAATAATACATATAACGTTAGACTTTCTTGTACCAAAGAATAATTTAAACATTGTATAGGGTATTCAACTGGTATTTTGGGTATTAATTTTTTTTATGAATAATTTATTAATATGATACAAATTATAAAAATATTACCTGTAAGATATTCTAATGCATCCCAAGGAATTTTTCCTTCTGCACAAAACATTTTCAGCGAATTAAAAGCAAATTCTCTATCGCTGTCAGTGAATTCATATACTATATTCCATCCCAGCGGACCAAACTTTTTTCTTTCCTGTATTACTGCGTGGAACATACATAAACCGAAAATCATTGTTTTCCATTTTTGTTGTAAAGCTAACAATGTAAAAAATATTTCATAACTCGAAAAAGAATATATACAGAGTGTTTCATATACCGGGTGTTCCAAATTAAAGTGTTACAGTTAAATACCGCCGAAAATATGCATTTTAGAAAAAAAAGTTTCAGACAAAAGTTTTATAGTTTTTTGGGGGAAATATTTTGGCAAAATTCCTTTTTTTATAACTGACCTTAATATGGCCATATCGAGGTGATCTTTGTTTTTTTAAATGGGAATCCCATCTTTTTCTTACATATTCTTAAAGTACATAAAAAAATAAGAAACTTTTGAGGGAAATATTTTTTTTATTGGACTTTTACTTTTTGAATTACAGCTACTTGAAAATGTTGCTGCGCGAAAAAAAAGTTGACTATGGTTAGCTATAAAAAACGATTTTAACCAAAAGTTTTTCCCTACAAAACTATAAAACTTTCTTCTGAAACGTTTTTAATTTAGAACACCAGGTATATTGTCATGATTCCATCATTGGACTCTTGGTGCCATGTTTTCGTTCTGTATCGTTAACGTCAGTAAATTATTCGAAATGGCCTTAGGGTATTTGACGTCAATGGTGACCAGATAGAAAATTTTGGGGGAGAATTGAGATTAGAAAATTTTTAGATTGTTAAAGGGGTGTTTTTAGAATTGTTAATTGGAAAAAGAAAATTAAAATGTTAATAAGAATATGAAATTCGAGTATAAAATAGATGTCAGAAGTTAAATGGTTAAATAAAGTTGATGAAAAGATAAATAAAAGGTAAAAAGTTTTATTTAACGTAAAATATAAAGTTGTATATATAACCGGAAGGAGTTATAAGCAGAAAGAGGAGACCAGGCAAGAGTTAGAGGACACCAGGAAGATAACAGCAGGCAGGAGAGCAGAAAAGATAATACAGGAGTTGGGACAGAAGTGTAAGAAAAGAGAATCGGAAGATTTCTTTTTATTTTTATATTCAAAATTTTTATATTTAGGAATTAATTTCTTTTCAATTATTGTAGTGTTTAAGCTATTGTATTGTTGGAGGTAATTGTATAGTTGTATAATTGTATATTTTCACGCCCTATTTAAATTTTTTTTTTCGCACACAAGTTGTAATGCTACAACTTTATGTGAATTAACGTTTATTTACTTTAGTGATTATTGTATTGTAAAAAAAATATGTTTTTTTTGAGTAAATAAACTATATATTATTATTGAAGTTCCAACCCTAAGAGCTCGTAAGATATTGTACCTAATACTGGATGGAACCATTACAATATACAGGGTGGACTGGATTTAATTTGCGTATACAGAGATCTCGTAAACCGTAAGATATACATTGTCGGTTAAATGGGGAAAATGTTTCGTATTTTGACGGATAATACAATGGTCCATAGAAGATCCAGATTTTTTGACTGGTTCCGAGACATTCGATAAAATCCGAAAAACCTCATTTTCGTTTTTTAAGTCGTGCGTTGTTATTATAAAAGATACAAAAAGAATTATACGAAGTTTTTGTTATAAATCAAGTTCCCTATAATCTGCCATGTCAAAATTTTTATTACGACGTTTCGTATTTACAGGGCCACCTTCAACTTATTTTTTTAAATACGAACCTAGATTTTTAACTGTAATTTTTTATATCTTTTGTATAGCTAAATACAACGATATGTTACATTTTACTACGTTTCGTCTATGAAAATATCATCAGCTATGTAGCTTCTGATGATACCGTTTCTTATTTGATTAAAACAAGATAGCTAATTAAATAATAATTAAAAAACAAAAAATTCTTAAAATGTGAAATTTTAAATATTATTTGAAACATAATACAAGAATTATTTAATTACAAAATGGGTTACAATTTTTTATCAAACATGATTAACACATTCGTCTCCGGCAACGCACGTCGCGCGGTGTTGTAAATTTTACCGTGTGCCACTAGCGCCTGGCGCGGTCCCCACCTATTTTTTCATATTTGTTATAAATTGATGGTATCATGTTATGTAGATTATTGAAAATTTAATGGTACATAAAATAAGGTGTAATTCGTTTCAGGGGATACTTGGTTTCGTCTACGGCAATGCCGGTTGCGCGTTAATGTAAATGTTACCATAGGGTAAGAGGCATAGGCCAGTAACGCGCCTGGCGCGTTCTCAATTTATTTATTCCGATTTTCCTAAAACGAAAATAGGCAGTCAGTAGCATGTATGCAGGGTGTTTATTATAGTAATAGAGGGTGTTATTTAATGTTATGTACTTATTTTAACGGAAAATTCTTGGGATAATTTTAAGTCTATCTATCATATCTTCCTTCTTTTGACCGGCAACGACGTTGAATAACCAATAAAAAAATCTCAAAACCTTTTTATTTACCATTTTTTTTCTAAAACACTACCGCCGAGTAATTCTGCTGTTTCGGGTAGTTGGGATTCCCGTGCATAGCGAACCGTCAAGAAAAAAAAATAATAATTAGAGGCGGCTGTGAAATATAAATGTTTGGAGTTGCTATGTTACAAAAATTAATGTCAGTGTCAGATTCACAGTTCAATAGAGATAAAGAATTTTTTATTTATTTATTTGATAATTCGAAGTTGCATAAATTTTACGGTTTCATTTGCCAGTTTTAAATTTAAAGTGAATACCGATAGTGCACCGTCAACGTCAAAAAAAGGAAGATATGATGAGAACTACTATAAGCCCACAATGAGCAGAACTGAGTTGATATCAGTATTAGAGGATTCTAGTGATGATGAAGTGGATTATATACATGCTTCTGACTGGCAAAATGAAAGTGAAGATAGTGGTAGTAATGGTAATTCTCAAGATGAGAATTTATCTGAAATCCAGCAATTTCTTCAAGGAGATAATCAAAATCAAAATGAACAGCAGCTTCCACAAGCGAATGACTTTACTTGGTCTGAACAGGTAATTCAACCCGATAGAATACCATTTACAGGTCAACCTGGTTTCAGGATAAATCCAAATGGAAATGCTCCTATAGATTACTTCAACCTGGTAGCCAATAATGATTTTTATGAACTTGTTATTTCAAATACAAATGACTATGCTATTGAAATACTTTCAAAAAGTGAAACAGAATCAAGCATGATTTCTTTCTGGAAAGACTTAACTGCAGGTGAATTTAAAACTTTCCTCGGTCTTTTATTCCATATGGGAACAATAAAGCTAAACCGCATAAATGATTATTGGAAAACTAATCCGTTATTTAGTCTGCCAGTTTTTGCGAATTATATGAGGCGCAATAGATTTATTTTAATTTTACGTGCTTTGCATTTTTACGTGAATACAGATGAAGCCGTAAGTAAGCTGTATAAAATATCCCCTTTGATTGATTTTTTCAACGATAGAATGGCAGCTATTTATTATCCGAAAAGAGAGATAACAATTGACGAATCTTTAGTTTTGTGGCGAGGAAGACTTCAATTTAGACAGTATATAAAAGGTAAACGACACAAGTTTGGTATAAAATTATATATTTTAACAGAATATACTGGAATTATTCAAAAGTTAATCGTCTACGGTGGTTCACAAGATCGTACAATCGGAGGAAGAGATCACAAACAAAAAGTCGTACTGAAATTAATGGAGAGTCATATGAACACTGGACATGCTTTGTATATGGATAACTTTTATAATAGTGTTCATTTGACTAAAAGATTACTCGAAGCTAATACCTACGTCACAGGCACATTGCGAAAAGACAAAAAAGGTAATCTGAAAAATTTGATGACAAAAAAAATTAGAAAAATCAAGTAGCAAGTACACTACAGTCCTGAAGGAATATGTATTACCAAATGTAAAGATAAACGAGAAATGTGCATGATATCTTCAGAATTTTGTGATCAGATGACTGCAACAAGATCTAAAAGAGGAATTGAATCCGAAAAACCTGAATTAATTGTTAAATACAATAAATATAAAGTTGGTATTGACTTAAGTGATCAAATGCTGAGTTACTACAGTTGTGAACATAAGTATATAACGGTGGTATAAAAAAAATGGAATACATATTTTCCAAATAATGTTAAATAATGCACATTTCCTCTATAATAATGGAAACGAGAGAAAAATGTCGTACGATTTTCGACTGTCTGTCATTGAAAGCCTTTTAGGACCATCGCCACAATCTCCGCGTGTGAGAACACCATCAGTTGGACATTTACCTCAGTATTGTCCAAAAGGTCTTAACAACAAAACCAAAAGAAGACGTTGTAAATATTGTTGGGACACCAGCAAAATACGAAAGGATTCTATTTTTTACTGTCCTCAATGTCCCAGTGAACCTGGTTTGTGTTTGGAGAATTTTTTTAGACTATTCCATGAGAATTTACATAATTAAAATTTGTTTAGTGTTACGTCCCCGTTGGATATAGTTTTAATCAATGGCGGCTCGTGGGGTGGTTCACAGTAACAGAATATAGATATCAGTAAAGATGTATGAAAAAACTTTTATAATATACCTTTCTAAAACACTGACAGTTTTTCACCTATATCTGTACCGGGATCTATATTCTGTTACTGTGAACCCCCAAAATTTTGTTCACGAGCCGCCCCTGGTTTTAATTACTTGTGTTACATTCATGTTCTATGTATGTTCTATATTTTTTAAAAATAATTGTTACGTTTTGCAAATCAAAACGCGCCCAGAGCGGTGGCGGCACATGGAACAAAATTTCAAACCACATGCCAGCGCCGCGTCAGGCGCGGTCATTTTTGATTTTTATTTTACACGAAAAAAAATTCATAATCTGTTTATCTAGACATAGTTTAACATTTAACAATAAAATATATTACAATATTTTGTAAAAATCGTACTGGCATGTAGATATTATTTGAAAATTATACCGGAGGCGAATGTGTTAAGTACAACCAGCAAACAAGACTAATGAATAACGAATTATGGTTGTACACATTCTACAAATAATAAAGCTAATAACAAAAACATACAATGAAAAACAAAACGATCAAGCAATCTTTAAATTCGTATTACCTGATTTTCTGTAAAATCTTTCGCTTAGGTTTCTCACACTGTATTTTTTATATCTTCAATGTTTTCATTTTTGCATACATAAGATCTTAACAAAATCATGTTTGTCATGCATGTCAGTTGTAACTTGTCACCAATATTTCTGTTATAATCTGTAACATCTAATATTACAGTACTTTTTTAGTTTTAAATAATTTAAAATTAAATAAATATTATGGTTCGTTATACTGAAGAAGAGAAAAGAGATATGTATGATGTGTACATAAGATGCTATAGGAATGAAACCCGGTCAGCTCAGACTTATTTAGATTTATATCCTGATAGACAACAGCCATCTAAAGGGATGTTTTCTTATATTTCAAAAAATATGGCAGAGCATAGCAGTGTGAAAAAAAGGAGAACTAGATATTAGTGTGACGAAAGTCTAATTTATTTAAAGTTTATTTATTTAAAAACACTATTTACAATTTATTTCAGACGTACTATTTATTTATATAATATTTAGACACTAACTAACAATTCTAATTTATTTCTTACACTTTAACTATTCAATACAACGTTCTATATTAAACTAAACTCGGCGCTGATACGTCGGGTATTTATATTAGTCCAACTCCGCTACTGGAAAATGCTAGAGGCTCGCGACGATGACTAAACGGCACTCCCCGCCATTCCAGATGTTTCGAGTGAATCAGCGGCAGACATTCCGTCGTATTCTTATACATTCGAGACGCGGTCCGGCTGTTTCCACACGTCAGCGTTGCTTCGATCACGAATTGGTTACCATGTGAAGGTCGCGTGCGTACACAGGCACAGAGTCGGATTAGGGATATCATGACATTAGGTTCGACATACTGATAATGAAATTAATGTTCTTGCCCAAATACATATTAACCCTGAAAATTCTACTAGCTAAAGAATGTGTAGTAGGAACCTCCACGGTTAAAATAATTTTAAAGAAACATAAATACCATGGGTATAAATTTCAAAAAATCCGGAAATTACACGCTGGAGACTGATAGAAGACTGATGTTTTGTCTTTGGTATAGTAGAAAACTGCGCAATGACCGTTCTTTCAACAAAAAGATATTATGGACGGATGAATGCTCCTTTACTAATAGTGGAATATTTAATCCCAGGAACACGCATTTGTAGGCTACTTCTAATCCCCATTTAATCAGAGAAGTTAGACCACATTTCCCTTTTACCCAAAATGTATAGTGTGGACTAATCAATAATCAGATTATTGGACCGATTTTTTTGGATGATAATTTAAATCAGTTCCGATACCTACATTTATTGGAGGAAGTACTCGATGAGATGCCCTTACAAACAAGACAAAATCTTCAATACTTTATGCAAGACGGTTGTGATGCACACAATGCTAGGAGGGTTGCAGAGTATCTCGATCAATATTTTAGAGGTAATTGGATTGGTACCAATGGACCAATAAGATGGCCTCCTCGATCTCCGTGTCTTAACCCCATGGATTATTTTGTATGGGGCTTCGTAAAGAACTAAATCTACGACAAAAATATGCCAAATAATCGACAAGAATTTCGTCAACGAATAGTAGATGCATTTGAAAAAATTACACCAGAAATGGTTGATAAAACTAGATCCCAAATGACTAGGAGAATTGCACTCTGTATCCAACAGAATGGACTGACTACATTTTGAGCAATTATTGTGGTTTTTGTTTTTGAATTTTGTTTTTGTTATTAGCTCCATTATTTGTAGAATGTGTACAACCATAATTCGTTCTTCATTAGTCTTGTTTGCTGGTTGTACTTAATTATGTTTGATAAAAAAATGTAACCCATTTTGTAATTAAATAATTCTTGTATTATGTTTCAAATAATATTTAAAATTTCACATTTTAAACATTTTTTATTTTTTAATTATTATTTAATTAGCTATCTTACTTTAATCAAGTAAGAAACGGTATCATCAGAGCTACATAGCTGATGATATTTTCATAGACGAAACGTAGTAAAATAGTAAAGTGTAACATATCGTTGTATTTAGCTATACAAAAGCTATAAAAAATTACAGCTTAAAAATCCAGGTCCGTATTTAAAAAAAATAAGTTGAAGGTGGCCCTGAAAATACGAAACGTCGTAATAAAAATTTTGACATGGCAGATTATAGGGAACTTGATTTATAACAAAAAATTCATATAATTTTTTTTGTATCTTATATATAACAACGCATGACTTTAAAAACGAAAATGAGGTTTTTCGGATTTTATCGAATATCTCCGGAACCAGTCAGAAAATCTGGAACTTCTATGGACCATTGTATTATCCGTCAAAATACGAAACTTTTTTCCCATTTAATCGACAATGTATATCTTACGGTTTACGAGATCTCTGTATACGCAAATTTAATCCGGTCCACCCTGTATAATAAATTTTTCCGGATTTTCAAAGAAATGTCCGAAATTTTCATTAGGTCTGACAAGAAACTTTATTTTTTAAAATGATAACCCCACTTACGGTGTTCTTCAAAGAAACTCCTCTCCATTTCACCAAAAGCTCTTTTGACGTTTGCCCTTAGTCCTTTAGGAGGTTCGTTAGTGACTTTAACAGAGTTTTGTAAAACTGATACGGGAAAAGCTTTCGAAGGCATAGAGCTCATATATAATCTAAAACTTTGATTTATTTTGTGATAATCTCTAGCAATATTCAAGACTATTTTTTCCATTGATAACATCCAAGAGGTGGCCAGATGGCAATTCTAAAATAGAATACGAAAAATTCAGACAAAAAACAGAATTTTGAAATTTGGAAAAAGAGGTGTCATGTAAACTGGATAAGTTAAAAATGGTTCCAACATGTGCTTATTTTACAGTTTACAGTTATGTATGTGTAAAACTTGTCCGTGACTAACGCCCGTATGCACCGTACACGTTTAATCCAGATCAAGGGTTTAATCGCGTTTAGTACTCTTTTTAGCTATGGTTCTAAACGGGATTAGACCCTTGATCTGGATTAAACGTGTACGGTGCATACGGGCGCAAAGGACAAGTTTTACACATGCAGGGTAGCGAACACTGATCTGTATTATTTACTGCGTAGGATAAAGGCTATATTTGACATCGTAAAAATATGTGTTATAGTCCATACAAACAATAAGTCAACTACAAAGAAATACCGATAATGGAAAAAAAAGTTCGGCTTCCGTTTGAAGATGCTTCAAAAAAAAATTCACTAAATATTATTGCTGCGTTTGAGAATCCACATCGGATGCATCTGAGATGTAAAAAATCTTTGATCACGTGGTTCAGTATACGTAAATGTAATGGGACAGATGTGTCCGATGTGGATAAAAAAACGCTCGAGATGTAAAAAATGCATCCAATGTGGATTCTCAAACGCAGCATATGCATGAATACATCTAAAAAGGAGTCTCTACCAGGAGTATGTCATTATTATGCCCCTGGACGATAGTAATACACTTATTTTAATACTAAAAATTATTAACTCAACTCCGCATTGGAATATAGTAGTCCAGTTTATTATTTCTCTCTACGTCGCTGAAATGAACCGATAACCTGTGTAGAGAGACTGGAATATCGTGTCGTGCGGCATTGTAGTCAACAAAAGTATCGGCAAAGTAAGAAGAAACCAGTGTCGTCGCATCGTTAAGTCAGTTTATTATTTAATTTAATTGGTTGGAGTATTTTAAACATTAATTATTACCACATATTTCAATTTCTACGATTTATTATATAAAATAGATATAATAAATAATTTTACCAAGCGAAAAATAGATTAATAATCAATCAATTTGAGGATTCGATTATTAACAAGTAGAAATATAGGTACTGCGTTCCAAGTATATGATAATGAAAATTAAAAACTGATATAAATATATACCAAATGCAAAGTGTCTATTGAAATTATCGACTGTCGGTCATATAATTTTTTTCAGAAAAATGAAATACCGTCTCTGGAATAAATATTTTAATTAGTGCATTTCCAATTCTTTCGAAATAAAGGTTTCTTATTTTATATCAATTCTGCATGACATACCTACCTTCTTATAGATATAAATAGGAAGGAAATATTTGACTTAATTGGTTATAGTGCAAACATATCTCTACTGGTTGGGTTACTTCCCAAGTGACTTCTCGATTGGTAAACGAATACGAACGTCAACATTTTATTAATTTAGTTATAAAAAATATTTTAAAATTAAAATTACAAAGTAAATTTAGAAATAACCTAAACATAGACCGACTTATAAAATTAAAATGTGACTTACATATTGCTGATTTAACTCAGATTTCCTCATTGTTTCCAAATTCCTGCTCCTCGTCTTCCTTCTCCTCGTTATCACGAATTATATCATCGTCGTCGTCATCCTCATTGAGATTTATGATAAATCGTTCTCCATTATTTACGTGTATGCCGCTGTTGTTCCTGTATTCCTCTTCTATTTCATACACATGTTTTATATCTGCTTCCCACTGCGACTTTCCGATCGCATCCGTTTGTTCTTTGATCAAGTTGACGATATGAGAATCAAATTTGGGAAATATATTTTTTCTCCGAATATTTTGTTTCAATTGAGGATTGAAAATACAAAAATATGGTGGTAACCTTAAAACTGTATGACCTCTTTCAGCTGCAATTTCATCAACTATATACTTTTTTCAAAATTTTTAGTTTTTAGGACTTCCAAAAGTTCATCCTTTTTATATTTTTCATCAAAATACAAATCGTGATTCATTAAAAATTCTTGAATTTCATCTTTCCTAGAGTTTTTATTAGGTATTTTTTCCTTAAGCCTGGAGTGATATGAAGCATTGTCCATAACTATTACACTTTTTGGCTTTAAATTAGGCAATTCGTAAACCATTCTTCAAAAATATCGGAATTCATATTTGAATGGTAATCAATCTGGCAGCTATCAATTTTTTTTTCTAATTAATAGTAAGGCATTGTCAACCCAACCGTCCTCTAAGCCACAGTTTAATATTATCAGTCGAGTGCCTTTATTTGGAGGGATACCTAAGGCTTGGCAATATTTATTATCGTTTGTCCAGCCCTTTTTTGCAGTATCATGCGAATCATACCACGTTTCATCCAGAAAATAAATTGGCCTGCTTTCATTTTTATATTCACGAATTTTCTGTAAATAAGAATTTCTCCAGTTTACTATTCGTCTTGTTTCCATCACTGCGCTTCTTTTATCTATCGTTTTGTATTTAAAACCAATTTTTTTTAGCCAATTATACAATGTAGACTTTTTTATAATTGTATCGAAATAAGTTTCACTTAAGCGTCTATGTATAATATCAAGAGTGGGAATGGTATTTTGTTTATAAAGTTCATACATTGTATTCACAATAGATTTGGCCATGGCTGGATCTAATTTTTTTTTGCACACCTTTGTCTTCACGGACTTTTCTGCTGGAAATTCCATTTTTTATAATTTGGTTCATTTTATAAACCGATATACCAGTAAGAAACGCTGTTTCTTGAACGGTAGAAGTGTTTTCGATATATCCACGTTTTAACAAATTTTTATAAACATTTAAACAAATTTGCTGGGACTAATCATTTAAAAAGAGTTTATTTTTTATTTGCGCAGGCACTGCATTAATTTCTCCATCACTGTTTGATGTACTGGTGCTCGGAATACTATCCCACGGTCTCCACATAGTTAATAACACATACACAAAAATTATTATTCGTTTAATAAAATTACTATATAACCTCCAAAACACATACTGATTATTGATAAAACGAAACTAAACACTAATAAAACAGAAACTAATATTCTATAAAATTTTAAAAAGTACGATGCAGGAGCTGTTATCCGTACAAAATTCAACAGGTCACTAAAAGATGAACAAAACTCCACTGAAAGTAAAAATAATTATTTTTATTAAAATACGTTTCATTTTCCTTTTCGGCATTGGTTGAAAATTTGACTCTTTAAATGGACAAAGACAATATGCCGACAAAGGCGATACACCGCCAAAAACAATATACTTACAGAGGCAGTATACCGACAAAGCTATTCACGCTCCTTGGAGAAAAAATGCAAAATTTTATCTAAAACACTGAAATCATTGAAGGAAAACATTAGTTATAAATCCTACTTATTTTATTCTAATTAGGTATATATGTATATACCTAATTTTAAATCTTCAAATCGAAAGAAACATATACCTATAATACGCACATATAATTAAATTATTAAATAAAATTTCAAGTAAAAACATATATCTCCGTCTATGGGGCGGTCTATCAAAGAGTTAGTTTAGCTGACTTCCGACAAGCAACCCGTTCCCTATACCAATTTTTTTTTCGAATTATTCAAACAGGTGCCCAACTTTTTTTGCGTTTGCGGCATTCCTTTATAGTTGACTTATTGTTTGGATGGACTATACATTTTAAGTTGGCAAATAAATCATGGACAGTGTCAATCTTAGCTATCACAGGCCTTTAGAGTAAAATTAACAGTAACTGTCAAATGTTATATCTCATCATAGGTAAGATTGACAGTAAACAATTATTTTTAAATATTCTTCCCCGCAAAAAACACGATTCTTCACATACGAAGGCTAATCTTTCCTTTGAGTCTAGTAAAGTAAAAAACTTTATTAAAAATTAAAGACATGTCCCAGATTACCCCTTTTACCTTACATTTGACAAGTTTACCTGTAAAAATATCCAATCTCCAGTTTCAAGCGCTTCTTGTATCAGTTTTTCTGCTACAGGGCCTTGTCCCTGACCCAATGAAATAGATTTTATTCTCGATAGAAAGTCCATTTCACTGGCAAATCTCTGGAATGCACCCATCGGATCGGAACCAGTGCTCAGAACAAAAACTAAAGGAATTGCGTTTGATGTATCTTGATACCTAAACAAGTTATAAAAGTAATTTTAAAAAATCGACCTGAAAATCGTGCAGATGCACTGATTTTCTTATCGATTATCAGATCCTGACCAATTGTATAGGGAACTACCCCTGAGGTATCCCCTTTTTAACAAAAAACGAATTATGGAAATCGGACAACGTAGTAAAGAATTATCGCTGAACATACATAAAATAAATATTCCGACGAATTGAAAATCTCCTCCCTATTTGAAATCTGTTAAAAATATAGATTAATCATCTATATTTAAAGATGATGAAAAGCGAGTTTTATCTATATTTAATACATGTATTATTTAAATTTTCCTCCATTTGTAAACAAATCATTTACAGAGGCGGTTTAGAAATAGGAACCTTTATATTTATACCTGAACTGAAATTTGTTACTATAAAATTAAAATGTGAAAAAGAAAAAGAACAAAGAAGGTGGCAAATTAATGAACTTACAGCATTTTTATTGATACCATCGGACTTTCTATGAATATTTTTCCCAATTTAACTTTGACATATTCTGTAATACAAAATATTAATTTTTCTTCTTGTAAGGTTCTTACTAACATTAGTTTATCAAAATCATCCAGACGGTCATTCCAATTTGTCGGGCATGGCGTGTTGAATGTTTCATTTAGCTGCAGATTCTAAAAATAAAATAAATTTGATTTTTTTTATAAAATAAACTTAGCAGTTCAAAAATTGTAATTTGTGCGAAATTTATTTAAACAATTTCAAATCGCCTACAACGGTATTAAACCATTAGGCTTATTTATAATAAATTGTGAATATATCGCACCAATCAATACAATACCAACTCAATTTTGAGTTATATAAGGCACGAAATAAATCTAAAAATTATAAAATACAAATGAAACACCGCCACTAACACATAATGTATTTTCTTTAAAATTTAAGTTAGAGTAAATTATGTTACTTTTTTTTAAGCGTATAATAATAGGTAACTATATTACCACAGCTTATACAATACAGCTCCACAACTCCGTGTCGGCGTCTTTGATCTGGCGGTCGAGAACCAAGCAAGACGGAATGGTGCTCTCTCTGTTAGATTCGAGGGAAAAGTCGGGCCCGGATTAAACAATTTTTTTATTATTGAAAAAATTGAAAACCTTGGCGTAATAAGGTTGGTTACATGCCATATTAAGTAAGTTTTGGGAAATTAAATTTTTAATTTGTTTTAAATCTGTCAAATATAATTAGAAACATTATTTAAATATAAATATTACGAAAAATAGCACATCTTTCGGATTAGAGGTAAAATAATTTGTATGTGGCTAGTAAAATCCTCGTTAATAAATGTTTTGAGCTAAAACAGTCACTTCACGACAAATTGTGGCTTGGATCCTTTTTACACCAAGGGCTTCAATTGTTAAAGAATTGTGTCACGCTCGTGGATGCAAATCAAGTGGTACCCCGTGTCTCTGGCAAGTGTTACTCTTCGCGCAAAGGGTTTATACCTAGATAAACGAATGCTTCGACTGAGGTCTGGGAACTCTATGGTATTTTGGAATTATAAAGAATGTGTGCTTTTATTTTAACAATATTGGTTATATTTAGATGTATTCTTATTAATTGAAATACAGATTTGTAGAAGTAATACTTTGACAGTTTTTATTAATATAATATATTCAATTTTTATCTGACCATACCGAAATAGGGAATTTTGAAACTTTATAGTAATGTGAAATTTGAATTACAATATTACACGATATTACATAATTAGTACTTATTTTAGGTAGCTACTAAATTTGTACTTGGAGAAAGTAATATCGATTTTTATAAGAAAACTTGAAAAGTAAATTAATTTAGTTCCTATTTCTGATGTAAAACTTAAGTTTTGGTTTAAACCAAGAAAACAAAGTCGAGTCTACACAAAAATTTTAATGTATATTTAATATCAATAACTAAAATATATATTGACAATTAGTTTAACAGAATTGTCACTTATTTAAAAAAATTTAAATAATAGGAGTTGGGTGACCAAAATATGAACTGTGATTTGTAGATTTAATTTTGTTAAAGTGTTCTCACTACCTAAAATGGATATGAAATATATTCGTGGTTGAACGCAATAACATACTTTTTCGTTTTGTAGTATGTGCATAGATTGGCTAATATCCATGCACAGATTACAAAACGAAAAAGTATGCTATTGCCTTCAATTGAACGAATATATTTCATATCCATTCTAGGCAGTGAGAACACTGCAAAAAAAAAATAAATTCGCCAATCACCGTTCATATTTTGATCAACCGACTGCTATTATTTTTAAAATTTTAAATAAATGACAATTCTGTCAAACTAATTGTCAGTATATTTTTTAGTTATTGAGATTAAACATACAATAAAATAAGTTATTCTTTTGGAAAACGTTAGCATGGATGACTAAAGGGTATTGTGTTAATTAATTCTAAAAGTGTGGTACAAATGTTATTTTTTGTAGCCAATTCTTCAAAATTATTTTGAAATATCTTTTCAATATTGAATATTAGTTCTACAAATTCATCATTTGACAGTTGCAGATTTCCAAATGTATCTGGATTGGCGTTATCATATGCCTTTAAAAAGCAATAAAAAGAAAAATCATCTAATTCAACGTGATCTTTGTTATATTTAAGACAGGTACCTATCGCAGAGGAGTGGATCCGCAAGGCTTTTATTAAAAGGTAACCACACACACATACCTGATAAAATTTTTCTGTATCAATTCGTCTTTATAATAATTTAGGGTGTTAATAATTTTATCATAAAATAAAATACAAGGTGTTCCATTTAAAAAACATACATTTTAATTTGCCAGGCAAAAACGTGACACCCTGTATATCCAAAGATATTTTTAAAATACATATGTATGTATTTTTCAAATCCATATAACTTTTATTTAAAACTTTCTTGCGTGTCTACAACAAAATAATGAACAATAACGCACTAATGGGATACCCTGTATAAATTATATTTTTAACAATGAAAATTTCTTATAATGTGGTACTTATCGGTTTGGGTCCTTGGGAAAACCAAAGAATATTTTCTTGCAGGTATAACCCTTATTAAAACAGCTTTTGACTGCACAAACAGAATGATGTCTTTTTTTTTCACTCATTCTACTCATAGCTAAAGAGTCACCAAAATAATAACAGTACCTTTAACTCAAACAAAATCAACGAAATTATAGGCGCCACGAAATTATACAATCAACGAAATTATAGGCTCCACGAAATTATACAATCAACGAAATTATACGCACGACTCAACACCTTACCTAAGTACGCTTCTGAACACCAAAACCGTCTTTTCCCTTCGAAGGCGGAGCTTAAGCGATGCGCGACGAAATCGACGCAAACCGTTGCCGCCAAGAGAGTGTTTTAGCTGTATTGTTAAGCTGTGATATTACTTTTTGCAACACAGACCGTAGAAATTGTTGAAACTGCCCATTATAATTCTCCATTATTCACAATGTATATTTATTGTGTTTGATTTTATTATTTTGTCACTTATTGACATTGATTGTAAAAATTAAACGATTATTAATATATTTTGTTAAAGTCTCTAAACTTATTCTTGAGTCTTGAGTTATTTCTACAGGTTATGGACCCAGAATACGTTAAAATTAACAGAAACTAGACACATACTGTTTTACAATTAAATTATAAAATAAGGACAAGTTCCCAAAGATAGAAAAATTTCATGGATTATCTAACTTCCACTCCTGGCGAGCAATGGCCTTTACTTATATAGATTTATATAATATGTACAAAATAGTAAATGGTGAAGAAATGAATCCTTCATTAAATATTCCAAAATTTGATAAAGATCCAAATAAACAAGATTATGCTTTTAATTGTGAAGACTGGAGATATGGTCAATTATTATCCAGGGCTTTTATTCTTTTTAATGTGGACACGAATATCGCTTCTCATATTACCTGCTACACAGATTCTTGGGATATGTGGAGTTTTTAATACTTTGATCGAAAAAATGACTAGTCCCTACACCCTCTCGTAAAATCTATAGTTGGAATAAGATGCGAAAAGAAGTCCCAAGTACAGGAACATATTGCTAAATACAAAGAATTGTGGTCACGTTTAGAAGAAAGAACTTCAGTTACTTCCAATGAAAAACATGATTCCCTAGAAGCTGCACTACGTCCGCTAGCAAATTCAATGAAGGCAAAAGGATCACTTTTTCTCATAACTTTATCAGAGGAATTAGTTAACATAATAGACAATCTAAAAACCAAACAAAACTTAACATATGATGATGTATGCGCACGCTCATTAGAATTGTCTACAAAAACTTATTCTGTTTCTGAAGACGAACAAGGTTTCCTAGGAAGAAATACACATTTACGCAGATATAGTACAAAAGAATGTACTTATTGTAAAGAGAAGAAAAAATGGTATAAAGGGTATACGATAATAAATTGCCGAAATAAAAAAGAAGATGACAAAACAAATAATACAGTATGGAATTCAGAAGATAACAAGCACGCCTATCCAGCATTCACAACCAGTTCTAAATTAAACAGATGGATATTTGATACAGGTCTGCATTTTGTAATCTTTGTCCCTACCAAAGTTTTATTCGACTTGTTAATGATAAAAAGATTGAAGTTACTCATATCGGAGAAGTTAAACTTATAAAAAGTGATTAAATATTGTGCAGCGACCCCTTCGGGGACGCTGACGGGATATTTCGTCCGGAAATCTCTCATACAAAATTTGTACAAAACAAAAAATGGCGCCCGACAAAAAAATCCGTGTGCGAGGTAAGTTAAAGAGTGACAAAGAGTGTTTAAAAAAAATTATAAAAAAATTATTTGTTTTTATAGAACCGTCGAAAAACAATAAAGAAATTTTCAAAACGTCATAAAAAAGTGACAGTTGACGGGAGACGAAAAATTCCTTCTCATCAGCCTCCTACGATGTCTTGAACGTCTGTCGTTTATACATACTCAATTCCATAGTGCAGCCAAATCTCGGAAAAGGGATTCATAGGATGTTTGGGCGATTTTCCTACGATTTTTCGAGGTTTTTCACGGTTACCATAAAAACCGCTTAGCGAATTTTGACGCCGACTTTTTTAAGAAGCGTCTCACGGGTATACACCTTTCGTGCAAGTTTCATCGAAATCCATCCATCCGTTCAAACGGTACGATTTTTTAAAGTCGCCCGGAAACCCCTCATACGAAATTGGTCGAAAAAAAATGACGCCCGATGAAAAATTTGTGTACGTGGTCAGGTAGAGAGAGACAAAGGGTGTTTAGGAAAAATATTCAAAAAATTATTCGTTTCCATTAAAACGTCGAAAAATAATAAAGAAATTTTCAAAACGTCATAAAAAAGTGACAGTTGACGGGAGACGAAAAATTCCTTCTGATCAGCCGCCTACGATGTCTTGAGCGTCTGCCGTTTATGCATACTCACTTCCATAGTGCACCCAAATCTCGAAAAAGGGATTCATAGGATGTTTGGGCGATTTCCGTACGATTTTTCGAGGTTTTTCGTGGTTTCCATGGAAACCGTCAAATAGATTTTGAGGCCGATTTTTTTTCGGAAGCTTTATTACCTGATGGTTCAACTCTAAATGTTAGATTACACAATGTCTTATATGCTCCAGAATTAAAATGCTCACTAATGTCTTGGAAAACTATCAGAGCAAACGGAGTAACAATGAAAGGTGAAAGGGATATAACATTATGGGATTGTATCTCAAATGAAAGAAAATGTTTTCCAGGAAGCCGATTTGCAATCATCTAATTTTAGTAATGCCACTGAGAATATAACTATTTGGAATAGACGATTGGGACATATCTTCCTATAAGTTCCTTCAGTAGCTGACCCTGATGTTATTCCGAATATTCAGTCCATAATAATAGACTGTAACGCAAGAAAAATAACAAAAGAGGCAGGTAATTTGTATCAAACGTTGTTAGAAAAAAATCATTCTGATATATGTGGACCATTCTCAACGAAATCAATAGATGGAAGTCTATACTACAGTTCATCAAATTTCTAGAGGCTTTCGACGGTTAGACAGAGAAAGCACTACTGACAGGCATCCCGACGGATTTACGCAATGAAAGTACACTCTGCGCATCAAGTATTTCACTATTTCATTCAGACGTAAATGTCAGATGTAAATTTCGCTAAAACATTTCTTTTATTTTCGTTTGTGTTTTTTGCTCATTACAGTTTAATAGAACCTAAGTATGGAGTTTAATAGCAAATTAAGAGGCCGCGTGATTAACAGTCAATCTCGCGAAATAATAGCCAATGTTATAGAGTTTATGAGAAGAGAAGGAAACTTTAATTCACCTTCAATACCATTTAAAAATGTAAATGATCGTGTTGCTGCAGCCACAGGAGTATCTAAAAACACTGTCGTCCGCATTTCTGGAGAGAAAAAAAAAATCGATAACCGTGAGATATCGGAATTTTCATCACCAAGAAAAACCATTAAAAAACCAAAAACAGTTAATGATATAGATGAAGCTGCACAAGAATCAAATTTTATTTTTTTATTATTAGATAGCTATTTTTGTTTCTTTGTGTTCATTTACAGGCTCAATTTTTTTCCGTTTCTTTTTGATTTTATATGGGGTTTCAAGTTGTTTTTGACTTATTTCGACGTAAATCACAACACACTTTTTTAATAAAGCAAACAAGTGTTAAGAGGTATATGTACTTGTAAACTACAATTACAAAAAATTGATATGAAACCCATGAAACCACCAACAAAAATGTAAAGCTAGCTTCCGTACTAGAACATGGTGTCATTCGTCGAGATAATTTATCGTTTTGTTTAATAGATCAAGAAATGTAAATATTCCCCTGTTATTTTTTATAAAATTATAAGAGAAATAAATTTTTTTCTAAATAGTATAGTTTATTATTTTGTAGAAAAACAAAATTTCGAAAATTTTAGTAATGTTTCAGAAACAACCGTTATTAATAATAGGTACCATTTTCCTTAATAAGTTAGAAATAAAATATAAACTATTTCCACGATTTACAAAGGCCTACAAAAAAATTATAGGTATTTTCCGCTATCCTATAAAATTTATATTTTCTGACTCAATTTCAAAAGGTTGAAGGAATTCCAAAACACCTTTTATGGCATAATAATTATTTTCAATTCTACATACCTACTATCTTTAGCTGCTTTTAAAAACGTTCTAAGAAAGTCCAATCAGACCAATTTAATCCCTAAACTATTCTACACTTTTAAAATTTAATTACCTAAAAATATTAAAAACTATTTAAAATAACTTGTTTAGCAGACTGTACAATAGCTATCTTAGTCACACGTAGCGCGTTCTCTGTCTGGGCGTCGAACACCTCTAGAAATTTGATGAACTGTACATTTCTTTTATTGATGAATATTCGCGTTACACAGAAATTCAATTCTTAAAACAAAAAAGTGATGCTCTGGAAGCAATAAAAGAGTAAGTACAAAGGGTTGAAAAGCAAACAGGGAAAAATATTAAATTTTTCAAGTCCGATAATGGAGGTGAACATAAATTTAGAACTTTACAATTATTTTTTAAATCATGCGGTATCGAATATGAAAATTTGATACCGTATATACACGAAATGAATGGATGGTATACCATTATCTTTATCTATATCGGTTGTAAGCAGGTAGGGTTAGGTTTCCCCGTATTCAGGTACTATCTTTAGAATAGTCCTGTGTCTTTGGTTAGTTTTAATAGGTTCCTTACCAAGTGTTCCTGGGGCGTTCTTTCGGGTTCTAGGCCGAAAAGGATGAAACGTTGCCTAGTAAGAGCTTCGCATTCGAAGATCACATGGTATGAGGTTTCTTCCTCTTCCATACAAAGTCTACACGTAGTGGGATCATTGTGTAATCCCATTACATGAAGGTGTTTCAGCAAGCAGTGCCCCGTTAGTAATCCCAAAATGGTGGATATCTGAGGCCTTTCGAGTTGTAGTTCCTGCGTGGGTTTGGTCCCCTTAGCATGAGCTTGCTGATTCTGTGCCCTCTTATCTGTTGCCAGTGAATTTGGTGTTTTGTGGTTATCCACCTGTTCACTGCCTGTCGAGCAGAGGTTTTGCTCATCCCAAATACAGGTTCTGGGTCCTGTGAATGGTAGATCTGATGCCTCTTTGGCGAGTTCATCAGCCTTTTCATTTCCTTGGATACCTTTGTGCCCTGGTACCCACGCTAGTTTTACCTTGTTGTTACTAGATCATTTAGTATTCCAAGGCAGTTCCAGACAAGCTTTGACTTGATTTTGTTTGGCTATCTGAGAGAATTAGGATGGTTTGTTTTTTGTACTTCCTTCTTAAATTCTTTCGTACACACAATTCGATTGCATGTATTTCAGCCTGAAATACAGTGGCATGTTTTACCAGTGAGACGATGATGTTGCATTTGGGTTTAACTCCATGTACGCCAGAGCCTGTTCCCTTCTTAGTTTTAGATCCATCCTTATACCATACGAGACCGCTAAGCTAGTATTTATCTATCTCCTTATTTACCTCGGTCCAGTTACAGTTGATCTGGAAGAGTCTGTTAAAGGTTAGGAGGGGTGTCATGTAATCTGGTACACCATTGAAGTTAATTGTTTATTTTTTTAATTTGCGCGTCGTGTATAATCATACGAGCTAACATACGTTGTATCAACTGTTTAGTCTGAAATTATACGAAACACACTACTGATTGAAATGGTTGTTTTATTTTCCGCGTTTTATAGACGTTTCAATCGTGCTGTGAGATCGGCCTTAAGCATTTAGTAAAACTCGGTGGCGCCCATCATATAACCCACACATATATAAATATATATGACTCCGGAAGTAATCACTGTTTTAACCCACCCTCTGAGCATAAGCTGAACAATATCAGCAGTGGCACATTATCTATTTCCATCCGGGCATAACAACGACTTTAGTCTAGGCTGACTGATCAATTGTTTTGGTAAACGTAATAACTGGCGCCCAACGTGGGGCCTTCAAAACATCATATCACTTATTATATGACGAAATATATCAAATCGGGCAGACAAAAACAAAATGTAGAGGTCAAAATTGTGCACGCTTTTATATTGTACATGTTTCATTTAAACTTTTTTTCTATAGCACTTACCACAACAGCGCTATTTCCCGAATAGCGTCGCGACGCAGAGTTTTCATCCCTCTACCCCTCGAGCGGCAACCCCCCGAGGTCGCAAACTTAGGTGTAGTATCAGGGGACTCATGTCTACCATCCCACCAAATTTCATTTCTTTCCGACCTTTTGCGAATAGAAACCACCCACCGCTTGGACTAATCTGTGTCGGGACAAAATGTTAATTTCACTTACAATATCTAAATCTCCTAATTTAAGAGCGATCAAGGTTTCCAAATCATCGGGAAGACTTTTGAAACGGGAATAAGTGGATGCCAAAAAATTTGCTGAATGCCAAATTGTTTCTGTTATTACTGGATTGTCTGGTTTTCTGGGTAGACCCACTAAAAAAGGATGTTGTAAGTATAGGTAACAAAACTATTGCAAAATAAGGATCGATCCACAAAAAATGTGTATGGCATTGGAAAAATTCATGTTTTCTTCCTTTTTAGTGTCAGTTTGGTTTTAATTTAGTTATCCCGGACATGACTAGTATCTTTGTCACAAGAAACATTTTTTGTGGATCATTCTTTTCTTGTGGAGCAATAATTCTGTGAAACTCTGTATATTGATTGATTACCTTTTGTTCCTACTGCACCCCTAAGTAAAAAACTCCACTGGCCTTCGCTTATGGTTTTGTTCTGTTGCAAAATCGAAACGCACAGCATAAAACTAAAAACAAGTTTATGTCTTTCAAAGAGACCTCTTGACACACTAATATAAACCGCCTTTGTTATCTCTTTAAACAAAGTTTCAAGACGTATGTCTAAGTTTTCATTTTTTTCACTAACTTCGATAACGGTATTGAACACCTAAAAACAATCAATAGCTTCAGTATTATTTAATAATATTTGTTGTCAATCCAATAATTACCTGATTAAAATACTTTAATGAAAATTGATACATAGGGTCTATATCAGCCAATTGCGCTACCACAAAATACAAAACTGAACCTCTTATTGCTACTGGTCTATACTTTTCTCTAGCAATTGATATCTTTTCTTCTGTCGTTTCTGATTCGATTAAACGTGCTTCGATTATAGCAGACGTTTCCTAAAATAAAACATTCTATTAAATATACTTTTCTCCAAAAGATTAAAATTTAGCTCATAGGATAAAAATAATCCAAAATCGTTTGTTTCAAGGTAAGCGCAGGCAAGCGCTCATTTGTACGTATCAGACGGACATATCTGACATACGGATTTGAAGAACAGAATATTTTCCATTAGTTTAAAGTCACACTAATTCGTATCGGACCAGAGATAACCAGATATAACCATTCATTCATAAAATATAATATTCACGATGCCAAGATTAATTCGACAATCGATACATTCTATTTGAGGAGACGAAAGGTGAAAAGTAAGAGAAGGGATAAAGAGAAGAATTTTACGCAGATACAACTTATTTTTATCAATTAATAAATGTGTAAGACGCTGTGCGCTTATAATAAACAACGTAAATATCCATGACGGTGTAAGCCCTGTTGCCACTTCCAACCTAACATGACTACGTTTTGGAGTTTATTGAAAACTATTACATCTAATTTAGTTAAATTTAATATAACTAAATTCAAGATTTTTTGGGTTCAGTAGCAATAAAATAGCTTGAATTATTTTAGCTTCTTTATTTTATGTAAATAATTGTGTAAACAAAACAAGAATAATGAAATAGGTATATGACAGAACACTTACTTTCTGGCATGGAACAAATCCAACAAAAAATAAATGACTTGTTTGACAACCCCCACTACAACATCTCATTTCAAATCGAGATGTAAAAAATGTAATCTGGACGCTCCAGAGGTAAAAATGCATTGAATGTGGATATTCAAACGCAGCATTAATAAGCAAAATCAAAGCTCGCTGTGATACTCATAGACGTCGACTACGGGGGGCTCGAAGGCTAGGGCCCCATTAGAATAAATACGAGGGGACTCCACGGAGAAACGTGAACGTGAAATAAATATATTATTTAGGAACACATAATTGATCTTCGGAGAGGTGAGGACCTCTTTTTAAGCCAACGAAAAAGTAGAACCACAATATGTAGAACCACAACCTTGGACTCCGGAGAGAGGTGATGACCGCGTCATATAGTACGAGGATAATAAAAATTCGGCGCCTATGAACCAATTTAATAAAGAAAAAATGAGCGAAACTGATTTTCTCTTCCCGTTTTCGTATGACGTATTTATAGGTATTACTTTTTAATTGGATCAAATTTTAATTTAGAAAATTGGCTTATATATAGAAACTACAACCATCACAAATCCAGGTTCTTCAGGAGTTACTGGTAGAGACTTCGAGGACGAAGCCAGGACCAAAGGAGGGAGGAGAAATGTGATAGAAACCCACCTTTCATTGCCCGGAGTACCTCATCAGCAAAGTCAGCGCTTTGCACCTTGACGACGATGAACCCGAGGTTATAAATACGTTGTCAACGTGGGAATTAATGTTCTTTTTATTTTAATCGTATAACGATAAACATTGTTGTTTTACATAATTATTTGAAATTATTAAAGATCCTTTTTTGTACATTTTTAAATAAAGTCTGCTTTTTTTTTGGAAACTTAAAATGTTGTTGACTTAACTATATTCTTTAATTTAAAGATTTGAAAGGTGTCCTTACTTTGCTGTCATTTAGAGTTTCTATTAATTCCTCGTCATCCAAAATGTTACCTTCGGAATGATACAGGAGATATAAGATTTTGTCTTCAATTCCCTTCAACTGCGCTTTATCGGAATTTATGCGTACGATAAGTTCTGATCTGAGCTGTTCAAGATCTGGTCTTTCAAGTCGCACCACATCACTAAAATAATTTGAGGATTATTAATTACTCTAATGGGATATTTTACATAAATAAAAGTAGTTGAACAGAAGTCAAGAAATATTGGTGAGACAATAGGACGACTGTGAAGTATACAGGGTGTCCCGAAATTAGACTGTCATATTTTAACAGCGTAATCTATATCCTAAAATAGGAATAAAAGTTCATATAAACATAGGCCCGAAAACGTTTCGTTTTAGAGATACAGGGTGTTACAAGTGAAGTCCTGATGACACATTTTTGTAAATATTTTTTAAAATTTCTTTAGTTTAGTTTTCCAAAGTAAAAAAAATAAAATTTTACACTTTCGAATAAGATAACATCAACTTATACAATTTTCAAATGCGTTTTTCTTGAAAATGATGCGTCCTAGCGAGATGCAACACAAGTAGCTTTATTATAAAAAAAATATTGGTTTTCCAAATTTAATAGTAAAAATGTTAAAAACTGTCAACAAAAAAAAACTTAGGGCAATTTTACCCTAAGCCCCCCCTAATTTACCCACCTATGAAGATGATCAAAAACTAGGGTTTAGTCTATTAAATAGAGCGTAAAAAGTTAAGCATTTGTACCAAATTTCACGTTTAGAAAATATTTACAAAAGAGTGTCATCAGAACTTCACTTTTAACACCCTGTATCTCGGAAAAGAAACGTTTTCGGACCTATGTTTATATGAACTTTTACTCCTATTTTAGGATGTAGATTATGCTGTTAAAATATGAACGTCTAATTTCAGGACACCCTGTATAGCAATCTCTCACTGACCGGTCATATAAGGTCTTTTCCTTTGCATCGAAAGTGTAGCACTGGGCTACACCAATTCTGAAAATATCGTTCCATATATACAAATTGTATGGATGGAACGATATTTTCAGAAGTGACGTAGCTCAGTGCTACACTTTCGATGCAAAGGAAAAGACCTATTAGTTATAATATACGATATATAAAAATATACGAGGTTCGGTCAACAAGTTCTTAGGAAAACATAGAAAAACAAATTATTTTAGGTTTTATTTTGAATCATAATTTTCTTTTAGCTCTATACACTTTTACAGAATTTATCATACTTTTTTAGGTCATCTAGAAAGTAGGATTTATGGAAGGTCCTTAAAAGAGGCGATGACCTCCTCGTTCGAGGTGAACCGTTCTGTATCTGAAACGTGTGGATGGTGGGTTACTCCTACGGCACTTAGGCCTCATTAGGCCCATTGTGCATCCTTCTAAGAAGATGGGCACCTCCTAGTTCGTGAGCCAGCCTACAGATTTAATGTAGTTGACAACGTCGCCAAGAGGTACTTCTCTTATATCGGCCGGTGTTAACCGATACTCGCAGAACACAAATCTTCTAATAAATGAGAGCGTCGAGCAATCGTAAAGGATATGTTCAATGGTCTCATCTTCTTGTTCGCACCCTCTGCAGAGTGCGGATTCTGACATCCCCTTGATATGGAGATATGCTTCCGTACTTGGCAATGACCAGTCAGAAAGCCTGTGACTAGGCGGAGATTCTGTCTAGTCATAGTATTTGTATTTGTATTTGTTTGCTGCAGTGTTGCCAGGATAACATAAGAGTTCCCTTGGAACTCTGCAGTTTCTTGTTTCATCCCATCTTTCCTTGAATTTCACAAGGGAATGTTCTTTAATTAGGTATGTCACTACCGATTTTCTCAGGCCAATAAAAGGGCCAGGTCCAAAAAGTATTTGGTTGGCTGCTTTCTTGTCTAGTGAATCAGCAAGACGGTTGCCTTTCGATGTGGCGTGACCTTTGATCCATCTTAAGGTGACCACATTGTTGATGGATACTTCGGCCAAAGCTTCGTGACATTCTAGTACTAACCCTGAGTAAATTCGTGGTCTGTTCAGGGTAAGTAGTGCTTGTCTGCTCTCTGTATAGATAAGCATATTCCTTCCGGTGATATTGTTTCTGGTTACTGCTTTTGCTGCTATGAGAATCCCCGTTAGCTCTTTTTGAACTACACTGGCACAATTGCTCACAGCCCATTTTATGTTAAGGTTTAAGAATCTTAATTCCACATCCTGAGCCTTGTTTTGTTTTAGAACCGTCTGCGCAGATATGAATCGTACCTGTCACTTCTGGCTCTTCTATTTGTTCTATTATAACTTTATATGGCTTATGGAGTCCATGTTCGCTCGAAGCAGTGGGAGCGTCTCGAGCGCCTCCTTCCAAAAGCGACGTCTCGCCTCACCAGATCCTACATCAGGTTCTATTCCAACCGTGCGGAGGTGTGTCATTGTCGTCAGAGCAACATCTTTGATGTAAATATCAAGGGGAGTGAGACTAAGAATGAGTTCCATTGCTCTTGTTTTGGAATCATCCAAAACATTAGTATTATAAATAAACCCAACCATATGTACAGTTATATGTAATACTGGTGGCATAATAGTAGATTGGGAAAGGTATAACCATCCCTACAATAATTCAGGTGCAATAGCCAATTAGGTGTAATAATTTAAATATTGCGCGTAATCAAGTAAGAGGGGAACTTCCTTTTGTTGGTTGGAGCCAGAAGTTAGAATAAAAGAGTCAAATTAATAATAATTATAATGTAATCGTTCGAGGTGAGTGGACGTCCATGTCTATGACACTTATTCTGCTAATTTAGATCGGTTTCCTCAATTCACTGCCTCAACAAACTCTAAGTAAAAGTTATTGTTAATTGTGATATACAACCGAAAACGATTTTATTGTGAAATAAATACAGTTGCAGTAAAGTTGCAAATTTACTTGACTAAAACGTCCTCCCCTGAGGAAAGTATTGGAGTTGATTGGAGAGAAGAACAGCTCTGGTCGGTATTGTTTTCATGGCTCCTGTTATGTTGAGACATGCTGTTTTTGAATTTGTTCTAGTTTACGGATACCTGTTAATTTTTGGGTTTTCGGTACCAAGATAACTGCACCGTATGTCAGCATAGGTCTTGTGATAGCCGTGTAAGTCCATTCGACGACCCCTGATGCGCCCCACGGTTGGGCGGCATTGTTCATAAGCAATGTATGCTCTTAACTCTGTTTTCTAAATGCGAGTTCCATGTTAACTTGCTGTCAAAGGTGCGACCTAGGTACTTCACCTCTGTCGCAAAGTTTAGTTTTGTGTTTAAGAGTTCTGGAGGTTTTAATTCCACTTTTGTCCTTTTCATCCCATCCTCCTTGATTAGCGCACCAATACTTCGGTGTGGATCTTTTGAGAGAGCTTTTTGAAGCCTCGTTGCCTGCGGGAAATCTTCGATTTCTTCGCAGTAGGATCTCCATGCATCTCTCTGTTTTGTCTGACGATTTTTTGTGGTTCTTGGCTTATTAAAGGATTTCCTAGCCATCTACCTGAGGTGATCCAACTCGTGACACCACCATGCGGTAGTCCCCTCAGGGAACAGGATTTCTTATGGGCATTGTTTATTGTGCTTTGGATAGTGTTTGAGTACTTCTACAAAGCATTGTTATTGTTTGGTGTTTCGGCCTCCATCTCTCAGAGCCTCTTGGAGAAGGTGGGCATAGATTGCCCTGTCCGTCTTCCTAGGGTGACGAGATAGCGTGGAGGTCGGCAACATCAAGTTTATTTTGAATGTTAACCAGCGGTCAGTGACATCGAAATGTTATCAGACACTTGCCAGTTAAATCGTTGTTCAAGGAGCCAGTTTGGGAGAATTAATTCACTGTAACAAAACTTGTTCGTGAAAAAGCCGAAACAAAAAGATGGTCACCACTTTTTGGTGAAAAATTTATATAAGGTGCTGATTTTAATGCAAAAAATGTCTGTTGGGGCTCAAGACTTACTACAACTAAAGGAAAAGAACTAAACGAGGCTATCAAAGATCAGAAATGTAAGTGGCACTCAACGGGAAAATCTACATGTTGACAAAGATATATAAACAAAATATCAGACCTTCTGGACTGGATTTTTTTATTTCCAGAAATATTGCAGCAAATTTTATAAAGATAGAAGATGTTGAAGCAGATATATAATAAATATTATAGAATAATCTCTTTTTAAATTTCCGCGTTGACGAAGCATAAACAGTAAAATGATCCCGGTAAGTTGAGCGCTGAAAATCATAATAGAATTACATTGTTGCCGGTTGACCACAGTGCAATCCGCAAGATGAGTCACCATCATTTAAAAATTGTTCGAATATATACAAGTAAATCAACTAATTTTCAACTCTAGAAAGTAGGGTATAATTTGCGATACTTCTTTTCGTGACACCAACTATAGTTATGCTTACAAATCTAGAACTTTTATTCATGTTAATAAATATAATACTTACGCTAGTAATTGATCCTCCAGTCCAGATATGGTAACCGTGAAATTTACAATAGTGACTTGAATACAAATTTCTGGCAAGTAATGGGGATTTGCCAATTTTGTGGTAATATAAAATTTGAAATTACTGTTATATTCAACATCGTTTTCTCCTAATCGAATCAGAGTTCGGCCAGCCTTTAAAATAAGAAAAAATTCTTTTTAAACACAATAACAGCTACATTCGTAATTTTTACGTCATAAAGTACATACGGTGCAATTCAAATATAAACGCTCTTTGTGATAAGATTATTTAATGAAACGCATTTCTGTAAGTCTGGCTTTGATTAATGGTGTTACAAAGAAAGGGGAGAATATTGAGAACAAAAATATATTACGTTTATTAGTGCCGTTTAAAAAATTTAAAAAATATATTACAAAAACAGTATATTTATTACAAAATCAAATTAACATCTAGGCATATAAAACAAAAAGCGTTTATTTATTATAATAGAAAATCAAAGGCTATAGCAAAATAAAATTAACATTTGAATATAAAACTATAAAAACAATTTATTAAAAGAGAAAATCAAAGACTACAGCAAAATTGGACTAAAATTGGTCATTAACCGAATGTTACGTGAAATAAATTTTAAATTAATTTCAAATTTATTTTTAACAACAACTTCTTTATAACCCCTCGTAAATGACAAAATTTAATTGAATCCAGCTCGCTCTGGATTACAAAGTACAATTTGCTCACGTGCCTAGCGTTTGTTTCGGCATTCACGGTGAGATAAAACCAGCTGCTGTTGGTTTAAGAGTTCTTTTTCATTTATCGAACTAAAACTTCAATGTGCTAGTGTTGTGTCGACAAATCTACTAGTTTGCAGCTATTATGAGTAGATTTAGATAATTATCGTGTATCTTTCGTATGTTCTTATGTGTTACCGTTGTAATAATTGTCAGGTAATATTTCTTTCAACTTATATTTTAACGCTTTGCTGAATTTAGTTGTAAAGTCGAAAGGATCGATCATTTGCTTTTTTTTTTATTGCCATCATGCTGACGAGTGCCGGTTATTATTATTGTTTTATTTTATTTTATACAGATTACAGTTACCCTACCTAATAATATTTTTAAGCTTCCTCTGATATGTACGCGGGTAGGCAACTAAATAATTGAATTACAAGTCAGTCTGGAAATACAGTTTAAACAGAAATATATGGCTCTTAACTTATTTTGGCCTTATAAATAGCTTATATTTTGTTCAGATGATGTAAAACTTATTGTCATAACTTATTTTGGCCTTATAAATATTTTATATTCTATTCAGATGATGTAACTTTGGCCCGCGAACAGGTCAAGCTACTCTGATTTTATTTGTCCTGGTCAATTTATGAATCCGCGCAGTACCAGCAATTTGAGCTAAATCATCTATTAACTATAATTTCTTTATGTCTTATCTAAAACTAAGGTATCAATACGTAATGTTTGGTGGTGAAGTATCTCATACAATCCTCGCAGGCTCTGGGGTCCCTCAGGGCTCCAATTTGGGCCCTCTACTTTTCTTAATATTTGTTAATGACCTTCCTCTACGTATTACATCAGACTGCCTAATGTATGCAGATGATCTGAAAGTTTTTAAGAAAATATCCACCCTAGATGACTATCTAGACGTTCAAAATGACTTAGACTCAATTTCGGATTGGTCATTTGAAAATAAATTACATTTTAATCTTTCCAAATGCAAGGTTATTACATTCAGTAACATTCGTAATCCTCAAAATTTTATCTACACAATGCAAGGATCAACACTAGAAAGAGTGTCAAAAATGACCGACTTGGGAATAGTTTTTCAAAATAATTTCAAATTTGACGAGCATATCCATAACATTACCAAAGAAGCTAAAAAATTGTTAGGTTTTTTGAAACGCACGACTAAGGACTTTACAGACACACACTCGATTAAAAATGTATGTTTTGCTCTCGTTCGTAGTAAATTAGAATATGCATCCACTGTATGGGACCCTACACAACAAAATTTAAAACACATTTTGGAAACTATTCAAAATAAATTTGTCAAATATTTATACTTTAAAAAGTATCATACAAGTCCAGGATTTGTTTCATTTGGACCTATTAGAAAAGAGTTTGAAATTGAAAAATTGGAACATAGACGCTCTATAATCAACCTTATCTTTTTACATAAATTATTAAATGGATATTTGGACAGTCAATATTTATTGAGTCAAATAAAAATTAATGTTCCAATAGCAGGTATTCGTCCACGACAATTAACTTTTCGTGCGGATAATCATGGTCCAGTAGAAAAAATTTGTCTTTTGTTTAATGTACACTCCGAAGGCATTTCTTGCGGTATTTCTGATGTAGCTATAAGCACATATAGAAAGGAACTTAACAACATTGTTGGGCTCGATTAAAGAGATATAACCTTGTAGGATTTCCGTGGCCTTGGTGTGGGGTTTTGCAGACGCTTTGATTATTCCTGAATATTTCTGATTATTTCAGTAGTTTTGTTCTTTAACGAACTTTGTTAAAATTTTGTAGTAGCGAGGTTTGTTTATTATAATTTCACTTATATATTTAATTAGATATTATGTATTTTTGTTGATTTCTATTTTCGCTGTATTTATAGGAACATGTAATTAGGCTCATGCCTGTTTGTTTCTGGAATAAATAAATAAATAAATAATTAACATCGTAGAAGTCAAACAGAAGGTATCATGAAGTAGGTGCTGAATTAAATGTTTGTATATAGTTCCACATTTTACGTTAAATAATGCTGGCAAGAACAACAAAGATTGCGAAGATCTTTCAGAGAAAGTGTTGGAAAGGTCTCTAATGAAAATGAAGACACTGCTCTCCTCGAAATTTAACAGCTATAGTAAGAATAGTGTTATTTACATGTTATTACAGAACCATTGACTGCCACAATAATTTTCAATTTTTTTAGTATGGACAAAATTAAATGTCGCCTGCAGTAGGAATCTACGAGCTCATTCCAAATATTTGTAATAATTTCCCATAGTTGACTGCAGTTTGCCGCCCAACAGTCTCTTTGTCCCAAGCATCGTTCAGGCTGAAATTCATGACATTGAAAAGTGTATCCAGTTCAACATCGAGAGGAACTATCGTAGACAAGATATCATCGTATCCGACAGCCAAGAAGCCGTCAAAGAGCTGAGATCTTACGTAATCAGCTTAAAAATGGTCTGAAGATGTCTACAAAAAACTATATGAGCTAGGCGAGGAAAATACAGCTACACTCACTTGGGTTTTGGGACATAATAGGGTCAAGGGTAACGAGATTGCAGATAGTCTCGCAAGAAAGGGGCTCAAACATACTTTGCGGGACCTACGCCGTTCTGCGTTATCAGCAGTAGGTAACACAATATTAGGAGAAGGAATTGGACAGTAGAAGAACCAATAATTGGAACAATCTCTTGAGGCTAAGACAGGCTAAGATTATTGGTGAATATAACCAAAAAAGATCGGAACTTTGTATCTGCGTGAGCAAGAAACAGGCTACGCATTGTAACAGGGATCGTTACTGGACACCTTAGTAAACTGAGAATAGTAGAAGAAGATAGTGTAGATTTTGTGAGGAGGAGAACGAAACCTCCATATACAATATGACTGAATGTATAGCATAAAATCCAATATCACTATACCTAGGAGCATGTCAAATAGAACAGCCACTCCAAATTATACACTTCCTTGATAAGATTGGATTGGAAGCGTCGTTATAGGCATCGAGACATTTTCTTGCTGCAGTCGCGACAGAAGGAGACACAATATATATTTTAGGACGCAGTATATTAACGCCCCATCCCCAACATACTTAACATAACATATCCTTTGACTATGTAGCCCCATAAATTTTCAATGTGGCCCAAGTCAGCCATGTCCATGGTAAAACATTTATGTCGTTTGTTTGTCGTTGTTTGTCATTGTTTGTCGTTGTTTGTCGTTGTTTGTCATTGTTTGTCGTTGTTTGTCGTTGTTTGTCGTTGTTTGTCGTTGTGTGTCGTTGTTTGTCGTTGTTTGTCGTTGTGTGTCGTTGTTTGTCGTTGTTTGTCGTTGTCTGTCTTGTTTGTCGTTGTTGGGCGTTCGTCGTTGTTTGTTTTTGATTGGTTTTGACTGTTGGTTGTTTTTAACTTTTGGTTGTTTTTGATTGTTGGTTGTTTTTGATTGTTGGTTGTTTTTGGTTGCATTGAGTCATATGCGTCAAACAGCCTTCATCCTTTGACAATTTTCTATGACATGGCAAAGATAAAAGTTTGAGCGCATCTCGTTGGCAATCTGGTTGCCAAAGATTCGATTATTGATAAAAATATTTCAGACAACGCCACAAATTTAAATTTTTAACATTTTTACCGACTATTCAATAAACTATAGAAATTTATCAAAGGATGAAGGCTGTTTGACGCATATGACGCAGAAATCGCAGCGGAACTGGGAAGGCCCCGACTCCGTCCTTTAGGAAAATCAACGACTTGATCTGCCGCATTTAACTGTCAGCGGGAAGTAAATTCAACGTAGTTCACATTGGGAAGATAGCTCCATTCCATGGTCCAGATCCTCTCCATTAGTTCCAACTAGGCCCCAGTAGTGAAGTTATTCGGGACGAATAACTAGAGAGGAGGGAGAAATGTTACGCAGCACCCTGCAGTCTGCGGCTATTATGGGTAACGTACAGATAGAAAAAGAAGTGGAATGTTACTCATCGCCCTACAGTATGCTGCGGTCGTCATAAGTAAAAGTACAAGTAAAAGAAGATAGAATAGTTCAGAAATGTCATTACCCGTCAATAATATTCTAAGTTCGCCAAGGTTCGAGAAGGGTCAAGCAAGCTATATAAGGATGATCCTGACGTCAGTTTTCAGTTTTATGATAGACGTTACATGTTAATGTTATCAGTTGCATTGTTATTGTTAAAGTTCAGTTGAAATAAATTGTGATACCAAAAACCTGCGTAACAATATATTAAAGTAAGTGCTGTGTCACATTAGTTTTAAAATTGATTTCAAAACAATTGAAAAAAAAATCAAATTTAATTTTTGTCTCATTGTGGAACACTTTTTCCCATCTACCTATTTTTATTTTATGTTACAGTATTCAATAATTTTTTAACTTACTTTTTTGGATAAAGTCCCGGAGGGCGCCAAGAAGAGTCTTATGGGTGAGCCTCCTAAGAAACTCGATACGCCCCTGGTTAAATTCTAATTGCTAATTAACAAACAGTCTGTTTCCTATTAATTAGTGACTAATTAAAATGAAAGTATTTTGTGAATTTTCTTTTTAAGTTTAAAAATTTAGTATTTAGGTATAGGGAAAGGAAAGTTTAATTAAGGTAGTTTTGAGCGGTGATATAAAATACAGGGTGATCAGTTTAATTAAAAATGAGAAAATAATTTATTTGAATTTTGACTCACCCTGTACAGATTTGTTTCTAAAATAAAAAATTATGCGTCAGCATAAATGTTCACTAACATCGAAAAAATTACACAGCAAAAAAAAATTAGTTTTCAATTGTTTTTTTTTGCTGTATACGCTGTATAATCCCAACTGGTTTGGTATTATAATGGAAAATGTGAGCGTAATTCATATATATCCTTAGACAAGGACTTTTCTGCTGTATCTAAATACGACTTTCTACAAGCTGAAAATTTCTTCGAATTTTCCATTGTAAACAACAAAAACATTGATTTGTTTATTATTTGTATTTATAGAACACCTAAATCAAATGTTCACCTCTTTCTAGAGAATCTTCTTAATCTACTTGACGCATTGCCTATAAAAAGTAAGAAAATTTTATGCAGCGATTTTAATATTGACTTTGCTAATGTATGTGCTACTCAAAAGTCTTTGATCAATATTTTTGAATCATTCAGTCTCACTATGCACGTAAATTCTCCAACTAGAATCACAGAAACAACATCTACAATTATAGATTACGTAGTCTCTGATTTTAAACCCGTTGATGTAGAGCACCAAGTAATTAGCTCAGGTCTCTCAGACCACGAAGCAGTATTTGCCAAATTTTTGATACCCCGTACAGCTCCAAAAAAAGTCCGTCAGCTAGGTAGAATTTTCTCTAAGCATAATTTCAAAAATTTCTATAATTTATGTCTAACTACTGATTGGAATGGTCTTTCTGAAGATATTGACTCTAAATTTTTAGACTTCTTAAATAAAATAATTATGTGTTTCAATACAGCTTTCCCCCTTCGCCCCATTAAAACTAAATGTCATAAATTTTGGACAACTAAAGGAATAAGAACATCATCTAAAAATATGAGGTCACTCATGTATATTAAAAAGTACACAGATAATCCCCTAATATTAAACTATATCAACAACTACAGAATATTGTATCGGAAAATCACCAAATCTGCTAAGAAAAACTATTACAAAAATCGCATCGCAAGAGCTAAAAACTCCTCCAAAGAAACCTGGTCTATAATAAATGACTCAAGGAATAAAACCCGTTTTTCAAACAGTGTAAATCCTAGCCCAGATGAACTAAACAATTATTTCGTAAATGTAAGTAAAAATATCAAATCTAACATAGCTCCGAGTCAGGATGCTCTCTCCTTCCTCCTACCTACTAAAAGGATCACTGAAAGTTTCTTCCTAAGACCAATAGACAAGCATGAACTAGTGCAAACCATAAACAACATCCAAAATAAATTTTCCTGCGGAATTGATGGACAGGCCTGATTAATGAATCCTTTGAAATTGGTCTCTTTCCTAACTGTCTAAAAACAGCTATAATAATCCCACTTCATAAAGGTGGCGACAAAACCAAAACCTGTAACTATAGACCTATCGCGTTATTGCCTACCTTATCGAAGATAGTAGAACGGCTAATGAAAAACCGTCTTTTGCCCTTTCTTTTCAAGCATAACATCCTCACAGCTCATCAGTATGGCTTTCTACCTAAAAAATGCACTAGCGACGCAATGTTTTCCGTTCTTAATGAAATATATACATCACTTAATGATAAACTTTTCACCGCTTCAGTATTTTGTGACTTCGCAAAGGCCTTCGATTGTGTAAATCATGATATTTTAATTAATAAGTTACAAATTTATGGCATACGGGGTTCTCCTTTACAATGGTTTAAAACTTACCTAGAAAATAGAAATCAACAGGTGCGGGCGAATGGTGAGAATTCTACAAATCTAGCAATAAGCAGTGGAGTACCTCAAGGATCAGTATTAGGTCCAATTTTGTTTTTATTATTCATCAACGACATCACAGACTTAAGAATAAGTGGTAGAATTACTTTATTTGCTGATGACACCAGTGTAACCTGGAATAATTCTAACATGCAGACATTACAATCTATCATAAGTGAAGATCTAGTGACTATTAAGTCCTGGTCTGATTCGAATGGACTTTGTTTCAACACCAGTAAAACTGTAGCATTGTCTTACAGAGGTACTTTACAACCTATAACTTTAAACAATAATCTGATCCAAACGGTGACTTCAATCAAGTTTTTAGGTCTTTATATAGACGATTCTCTAAAATGGTCTGCTCATATAGATACCTTAGCAAAAAAATTATCCTCCGCATGTTTTGCCATTAAATCGGTTTCTAAAGAGCTGACTCCTTCTACTGCATTAATAACCTACTTTTCCTTATTCGAATCTCACTTTCGCTATGGTTTACCTTTCTGGGGTTCTTGTAGCTTATACCTTTTCGAATCTATTTTTAAACTGCAAAAAAGAGCAATCCGCTATGTATTTGGTTTAAGTAGTAGGACACATTGCGAAAATTATTTCAAAAATTTCAAAATTCTAACCCTTCCTGCTCTATTTATTTTCGAATCCGTCTGCTTAGTTCGCAAGCACATTCAAAATTTATCCGAAAGACCGACTCGTAGATATCCTACAAGAAATTTAGAGACTGATGTTTATTTAACAATGCCCACTTCTGACCTATTAAAACATTCCATTACCTACAATGCCAAAAAATTGTATAATAACCTTCCGATGCAATTAAAATCTATAAATACATACGATAAGTTTCGAAGACTGGCTAAAGCTTTTCTTCTAGAAAGACCATATTACACAGTAGCAGAATTTTATAACGTACCTTAGACATTTGAGTTCTACATACAATGGCATTAATTAAATAATTAAATATTAAAATTAAATTTAAATTTAAAAATTAAATTAGAATAATTATAATGACGGATATTGCATATCCATTGCAATTGTTATTCCTATTTTGTCTGTTTGTTTCTGTTTGTTTTTTCTGCTGTTTAGTTATTTTTATAATATGTTTAGTATTTAAGTTACACGCTTTGTCTATAAAATTTTTGTAAATTTTTTTACGACAATAAAGCATATCTCTCTCTCTATAAAATAGAATACAGGGTACTCCTTTAAAAAAACCTAACTTTCTTGGTTAGTTGAAATTATTTTTAAATTGTTGCCTTTTCTGTTATACATCTCGCTATGAAAACTGACCCAAAAAAATCATATAGTTTTGGCTCTGTAGACAGATGCGTTACCAGTGGCCCACCCTGTTATGTCTTTTTGCACTTATCGATATATAAATTTGAAACTCCTTACCTGTACGAAAGTTTGTTTCAATAATATCGGCCCTAAAGTAGGATCTAAAGTTTCACCAATTTCTTGTAATAGTACCGGCCATCCCATTGAAACAGCAGACTCCAAAGTTCTCATAAATGTGGAATCTGTCAATTTAATAACTTTTATTCCGTTTTTCTCTTCCATACTTCGTATCCACCTGTTCGCTTGTTCTTGCGGATCTATCATCAACGGCCAACGGCTTGCCATCGTTACAAGAATGGCATTTTCTGTGGAAACGGAATCTCTTGGTAAACCACATGCATTCCACATACGAATGTCGTAAGGATCCGCCAACACGGTTATGACACTAAAAAGTGGATATTATCTTAAAATTGATAACCAAGAAAGAGTGCTCTGTTGTTTTAACCAATTGGGTTGACTGAATTTTATTAATAATAATTATGTGATAATACAAATTTGTACTGTTGCTTTCCGTCAACTGGAAGCAGTGGAGTGTAGTAATGTAACCAGTAGAAATGTGTGATGCTTGTAAAGAAATTGCCAGACACTTATCTGTCAGTGATGAAATTAAATATATTCTTTAGTCAACAACTTTATTTAAATTACAAAGTTTCTTCAACTTACAACAATTTTAAATAGTGAAATGATATTGAGTACTTAAATTTTCGATTTATGATCAACAGCAGGTTTAATACATCTTAAAAGTTATGTTTTTAGTAAATAACGTCGAGCTCACGACGGAAGGAAGCAAAGATGTTGATGTGTCGAAGGTCAAAAAAGGTTTTGTTTTGTCGAGTAGAAGTGTAAGTGCTTGCAATTGTGGGTATCTTATCGTGATTGGCTGAAAGAACCTCGCCTGATGTTTTGCGTGAATTCTTTGCAGAGAAAGATAGCATACTGTCGCTTGAACCTGTGAATGCGTCTTTTTTTCCTATACTATGTTAGCGAGAGTATAACAGATTTATGAGTGTGAAAGAGCTAGTGCTATTTTTGTTATGTCACTACGTGTACAACAAACAGGTAAAATAAATAAGGTATACTTATACGGATATTGGAATATAAATAGTAAGTACCTAATTTTTATATAATTTCTTGATTCGAAAAACTTTAAACTGGTGTATTATTTTGTTTATTTTCATATATTTGTTGATGATCTTTCTAAAATACGTATTGAGGTTATGTACAAAAAATATTTGTGCAGCTTTTCGGTGATCGAAATTATATTGTCGAATATTTTTTGTTTCATAGTACCTAAGAAAAAATTCCAACTTGCTCAAAAGTATAGTAGATTGATAATACTAGTCAGTTTTTGACATGGCCTATTTATTTATAAGTATTATTGTACTACTGATGATTGGTGCCACAAATATTCTAAAACTTGCTCTGTTTTCAGAAGGAGCAGCAACGATTGCGGAAACTCCATAAGGAACTTTCTTCAGATGAAGATGTCCATGATCCATTCAGCGACACACAGTAGATCAATATGAATCAGATGAAGATTATGATCCTACCAAAGAAGCATCAGACTCTGATGACTCGGAAGATATGGGTCACGAAACGCACTCTAGCCAACTTTCTCCAGAAGATATGATAGAAACGGAAAATGGCGAGTCAGATCAAGAGATGCATTATCAGGAATTAGAGGATGAATGAGAAGAAGTAGTCTCGGATATACCAGATTTCTCTTTTGATAAAAATTCAGTGGTAATGAAAATACCAGTAAATAAACATGTTACGTATTGTGCTTAGTAATGAAATATTGAATTTTTTAGTTTCATCAACCAACGAATATGGGGATGCTTTTTCCTTGACAAATAGACCCTTGACAAGACACAGTAGGCGACAAGCTTTTCGTAAAACAAACAAACGAAATAATGTAATTTGTCTGTTGAATGAGCAAATAAAATTGCCAAGTATATTATGTTAAGAAGAAGATTCGAGCAACTGCTTTGTTATTTATCCGTTTCACCTCAAGAATCCACTTTAGGCAGTACATTAAAAATAATAAAGCAAGATATGATGATAAAGATATGATGATAATGCAAGATATGATGATGGTGGGTGGGGTTGATGGTGGTGGGTGGGGTTGATGGTGGTGGGTGGGGTTTTCCTCACCTGTAAGTCAAATAGCATCATCAATCAGCTTTAAGTCGCCCCGGAGCGCCATGGCAAATAATAATAATAATAATATCCGTCCATTTCTCCGGACAAGCTCAGCTTTTGGGGTTAAAATTCACTTGTAAGGGGATGAATTAGGGAGAGTATTATTATTATTAATAATATTATCGCGTTGGCACGATACTGGACGACCGGGCGTTGAGCGACGTTCCGAGAATCTTGAAATTAAGTGGGCACAGTAAATGTGTGCCTCTGTTGTTTTTTCTCTCATTATGATGCGAATAACAAGGACAACGACAATATCGCTTAGCAAAAGATGAACACATGCGATGGATTATACGTCACAAGCGGGGCGCTGTCCTAATCGTGACGTGCTGTAGAGCCGGGCCAAGATGAGATTGGTACACAGCATGGCGACGACAAAAGTTGCGCACTGGCTGTTGCCTAGCAACGACCACTCGGCGAAGCCGAACTTAATCATTCAGTGGCGTAACCTGGGTCGAGTATATACAAAATGAATATAGTGCGAAAAGTGATAATTTTATATAATTATAGTGCCTTGTGATTTATATTTACATATAAATATTGTGTTTTTGTTTTTTAATGGCTCCAAAGAGTATCGGATTAAAAGGGAGGTCCCTTAATAGTCAAACAAGAGAAATTATATATAATATTACTAAATTTATGGGAAAAGAAGTCGTAAGTATATTACATAACAAGTAGTAAGAAGCGTTAGAATTTTTATTTTATTTAATCAGACTAAAGGGTTGATAAATTTTAAAAGACAGATTTTAGTTTCTGGTTATTTTTCTTCAGCAAAATAATGCCAAATTGCGATATACTTTTTGATCAACTGCAGAGTAGACAGCTCGATGCTCTGAAGGTTAAGATAAACATATCAAATTTTGCAGCAGCTATTCAAATATTAGAAATAATATATAATTTTTATTTATTTCTATTCCTTTTTATTCATTTTCATTCATTTTTACTAATTTTTAATAATTTTAATTAATTTTTATTAATTTATATTGATTTTTATTAATTTTTAATAATTTTTATTACTTTTTATTAATTTTTTTTAATTTTTATTAATTTTTAATAATTATTTTTTTTTTAATTTTAGTTTATTTTTATGATACTACCATACACAAATCTAAAAACCATATAGCACGTCATTATTTATGATGCAATTATAATTTTCAAGTTCCAACGTTCAAAAAATGTATACTTCTATATAAATTTTCACCCCCGTTTCCTTCCTTAAGGTGATTACAGCACCCCCTTATAATTTTCGGACAAGGATATCTCAAAAAGTAATTTTTTTAGAAAATTTAAATTTGGACAAAATAAATTAGGCAATAATATCTAAAATATGCATATTTTTTAAAGTTTTAATTCCGTCCAGTTTCCGAGAAAAAAAATCAAAGGGCTTTAAATTTTTAAATATCATAATGAAAATAAATGCATTCCTCAACAGCAGTATTTCTAATATAATCCCCAAATTTAAGCTCTTAATCTCTTGTTAATGATTTTTTAAAATTCGCCGAAATTAGTGGCTAAAACGCCTCGTTTAGTGCTTCTTTCTAGTGTAACGCGTCTGTAACTATCGTATCGTACACTCTGAGTCATCATTCGTTTCTTGCAATGATTTACACTAGTTTACACCAGGTTAAACCAGAAAACAGTACTTAACAAGGCGTTTTAGCCACTAATTTCGGCGAATTTTAAAAAATCAAAAGATTAAGAGCTTAAATTTAGGGATTATATTAAGAATAGTGCTGTTGAGGAATGCATTTATTTTCATTATGATATTTCAAAATTTAAAGCCCTTTGATTTTTTTTCTCGGAAACTGGAGGGAATTAAAATTTTAAAATATATACATGTTCTAGATATTATTGCCTAATATATTTTGCCGAAATTTTAATTTTTTAAAAACATTACTTTTTGAGATATCCCTGTTTGAAAATTATAAGGGGGTGCTGTAATCACCTTAAAATGTGAAAATCCAAAAACCATGAAACATCATTTTTGATTTTTAGTCAGTAGCTGTAATTCAAATATTTATGTTTCAAACTTTGAATAACAAAAAAATATATACATACTATTAAACAAATTTTCACCCCCCATTTCCCCCCTTAAAATGTTGAAATGCAAAAACCCTAAAACACTTCATAATTAGCGCACAAAAACCAGTTTTCTGATTAAAAATAATTTTTAAGACATGAAAAAGTCATCAGTATTAATTTAATAAAATAAAAGTCCTAATTTCATACATTTGCAACTTTAAGTTTGAATATCTTCAGAACGGCTCACTCTATGAAAAAAATATATTAGAACTTTTTGTAGAGCGTTCAATTTCCTACCAAAATAATGTTTCACTTTATTTTTACAATGTTCAAATGTCAAGCTTCAAAAATAAGAAAAAAGAAAAAAAAATTCCATGTTATTTAGATGGAAAATGTAAAGTTAAGAACAGGCACCACTAAATGATAATATTAAGAGCTCAAATTTTTAGAGGCTTCTTTTTTCACCTTCCTGAAAGGTTTTAGCCTGTTTTTTAGTTGAAAAAAAAAGTTGCTTAAAAATGATACACCCTAATTTATATATTTTTTAATTATGATTTAAAATAAAATATTCAAAATAAAATAAACTGGATGAAAAGTATAGGTAAAACAGTTACATATATTACAGAAACCATGTACTACCATATAGGCTTCTCTGATATCTTATGTTTATTTCCTTTAATTTTATACATATAGGTGTATAATTATCTGGAAAATTTGGAAATAAATATATATTATTATTGTTTTGGTTTTTAAATTTTAGTAATCAGAATCATAATATTGAATAAAATTAAAAAGATTTATTATAAAATAATTTCATATAATAATTAAAATCACATAGCACAAAATTAAATATCATTTTTTTTAACAAAATAATTTATATAGGTACATTATTAATAAGCAGTAATGTAATGTTAGCTAGTTTCCATAACTTTTTGAAAATAATCTGATATTTTCCTTTTAGCTTTTGGTTCAACCAAATATTCAACACACATATCACTATCTTCTCCGACATCAATTTCCATTTTACTAATTTGTTCAACACTTACATCAGAGTTCTTAGATTGTTTCGATAATTTTTCAATTTTTTCTAGAAGGGAATCTTCCACAGCCACTACAGCTTTTTTACTGATATTACCATCCATTTCATCAATAAGGGCTCCAATATCAGTTTTAGGTAATTTTTCGGAAATTTTTTCAAGTGACAACTTTGAGTTCTTAATTTTCTTATTTCTTGAAATATATTTTTCAGGTGGTGTACCTGGAATTACATCTTCATTTTCAAAATCTTCAGGTGTACTTATCACAATTTCATTAAGTTCTGAATCACTATCAGCAGATATTTTTTTAAATGAATTTGAAGGACCTGCTTCATTTATAGAAGTATCAATAGTCTTTTTAGGAGCTTCTACTGGCTTTTTAAAGAAGTTCTTTACTGTTGGTTGCTTTTTGCTATCAAAAAAAGCTTGTTGAATATATGAATAAAGATTGTTTTCAGAATTTTTAGTTACTGAAAACCCACATAAAAATCTCCACAGTTGTTCAACTTTAATATTATTTTTACTCAAAAACAAATACATCTTGTAGAAATCATCTTTGAAATCTTCATTACCAAAAGTGTAATAAATTAGGTGTCTACCAGTAGCGTTACAAGCCATTAGTTGCAAAAGGGATTTTAAATACAAACTACCTTGAAATGCACCACAACCCCAATTACCAGTTGCTACAGGTGCTAAATTAATTGTTGCTCTCGAACTAAACCCTACAAAAGCTTTATTGACTTCTCTTAACATAGCCGATGGATAAAACTGATGAAATGATTTATTATATCTAGTAGCATCAATAATACAGACGGTAGTTCTTCTCCTTCCATATTCATCATATGGAGTTTCATCATAAAAAGGACCTTCCCAAGCAAACGTTTCTGCATATCCCGAGTACTTACTGTACCTTTGGACTCCAGTTACTATTACAGCTTCCAGGTCTGTGAGCTGTTCTATAAAAAGCCTACCAATTATTAATTCAGGACAAATTACAAATCTAATTTCTTCTTGAACACAGCCATAACCCAAGACACCTCCACCAACATTTTTATTTGCAAAATCTACTTGTAAAAATCCAAGCCCATTATCTTCTATGGTTCCCGAACTGTCAATGTGGACTTTTGTATCTTTTAAATAGTTGTCTAAAGAATCCCATCTTGGGATATTACTTTTTGGAATATATTTTCTTTCAAAAGTTACAACTCCTAGAGGCATTGATTTTGTAACTAAATGAAAATAATTAAATATGCATTTCAATTTCTCATAAAAGTTTTGTCTTTGTGCTCTTTTGTCGGCCATATACAAACTTACAAAATTAACTCCAGGATATGCGTTGGCAACTTTCTTCCTCCAAGGAAACGTACACAAAACAGCATTAGCTAATAATGAAGCTATTTGCTGTTGTGATAAACTAACAGATCTGTTGCAATGTTTCTTTAGCAAAGGTAAGCTACCTGGTAAAATTTGTGGTAATTGCAAGGCTAACGATATGATTTTGGGCAACAAGTTTTTAAAAAAGCATTCATTTTCTTCTTCATCGAGTTCATCAAAGTATTTTCGAAGAGCTGTTAATTCAGGTAAGGAAGAATTATATTTACGTATCGCCTCTTCTAGTTCCCTACCGCTATTAATGGGCTCGGACAGACTATCTACGATTAATTTCCATCGCAACTTTATAACATCTACACCATTTTCGGTTATTGGAAATAAACTTTTGTCAGAATAGGGCATTCGAACATAATCATCATCCCAATGTTTAGGATCGGCATTTATATGAGGTTCTGGAGGTTTCTTAAATGTTACTGGTAAATTGTAAAGTACGGCATGGTATTTTGATATGTTTACTGGGTTAACGTTAAAACTCCATATTCCTTTGTTAGAACATATTTCACATAGGCTGCTTCCTACCCAGGTTTCTGTATCTGTTGCATCTTGTGCCATATTTCTATTTGTTAAAATAATTTAATACATTATTTTTCAAATTTCATTTAAAAACGAAATATAAGGAACTATTTGATATATGACTAGCATAACATAAATATCATATTTCGAGGTTAGTTCATGTCAAAAAATTCGTCTTCTTTTTATTATGATTGTATCCTGTCTCTGCCACTTGAGAACATTCAGCCATGCCAATTTGTTTCTTCTTTTTTGACTATATGGCCTCTATTCAGTTAACTTTACAGACACGTCTCCATATAACATCCGTCGTCATAACCCAAAGACTATAAACTCCAAAGGATAGGCGAGTTCTCAGATTTCTTACCATAGCGGCGAAGCCGTTACATCATCAGTACACTTTTAGACGCAAGTCATTTGAAATTTACAAAGATACATCGCCTTTTTCTGAAATAACGCCGTTTAACTTTTTTTGTATATAAAAAATAAACTTTTTTATTGGATAAATATGTATATTATTTTTATTCTGTTAATTTATTAAAAGAATAAGTCCAAATATATGTATGATAAAAAAGTATTTATTATAAAATCAATTAATGTGTAATCAGACGGGCTTGTAAAAAATTATTTATGAATATGATTAATATAAATTAATATATGACAATTTTTTATTAAATAAATAGAAATATACCTACCTACAAGACGAGAAGGTTTTATATACTTTTTCACAACATAAATAATAAATACCTATACCTACTTGTATTATTTATTTAACTATAATATTAATGAAAAAATAAATACCGAGATTAAACAAATGGCACATTATTGGTTATTAAAAAATATATATGCATATGTAATAATTGATTATTATTTAAAAATATGAATAAAGAATTTCTCAAAAATTTAAAAAGTATTATTTAATGTTTTAACTTAATATTAAAAAGAAAACACACATATTGAAATAAAACAAACAATTAGGTTATTACTCTGGTCCAGGGATTCCCAAAGTGGTCGATACCGACGACTCCTTCCCAGGCAGCAGACTGACGACATTTTGACGACATTTTTTGGTAATTCTTGGTCATCGACGTCATGTTACCAAAAAATGAGGTGATTATGACGTCACTTCTTTAACGTCTTTTGACGTCAGTGTGACGTCAATTTATTGTCACTATTAAATTAAGGTTTATATTAAACGTGATTTCAATACATTTTATTTTTGTAAAATAATATGGCCTAAACAATTATTTTTAAAACTGTTAGGTCTATTAACGTTTAAATCTGGCGCTTAAATGCATAAAGATTGTATGACACCACGTGACACATGACTGCGTCTGTCTGTGGTTATCGGTCTGTGGAGTATGGCTCGTGTGTGTTCGAGCCGTTCGAGCAAGCACGAAAACAGATTGTTCAATGAACTGGAGGGGGGTAGAATGTCAATTTACATGTTATACTATTAGAACTAGGTGCGACTCTATTTTTATTGTTCATCTCACTCGGGACTATTTATAATAACCATTTTCTGTTTCACATTGTTACTGTTCAATCCAGCACAAGCTGGTGGATCAGACAATAACAATGTGAAATAGAAAATGGTTATTTTAAATACTCCCGAGTGAGATGAAAAATAACCTGTCTTCGCCCATAGAGTCGCACATCAAGTCTATTGACAAGCATAAGCATTCTACCCCCACTCCAGTTCATTGAGAGTGTTGCATCGGACATGTGTAATGGTGTGTGCATCGTGGATCGTGGCCCGTGTGCATTCAGGATTGTTGTTAAAAGTTAAGAGAAGGTCAGTGAAAAAAGTTATAACAGTATCAACCCAACATAAGGTAATTTTATATCTATATTATCCTTAATCTTTAATAATTTTATATCTTTTACATTCATAAGATGTTTCCTAAAATGTTCCCAGGTTCGTGAAATAGTATAAACTGGCGGCATTCATAGAAAAATCATTGTGCTAAACCAAAATAATAACGAACAAGTTGGCCACATTTGGAGCTGTTGGATTTATATAAATTAATGTTTTTTGCCAATAACATTTCATGTATTTAAACTGTTTTTTCTTTTTAATTATAATTATTTCATTTTCCAATTTTGTTTTATTAAGTGACTCACAGTTGCTATAGAAAAGTTACAAAGGAGTAACAATATAAATGTAATGTCATATTAGTCAATAACTATAAAGAATAACGACAAAGGTGACATTAAAACAACGTTATAAAAACGTCATGATGACGTCATAAAGACTACTAGGAAACGTCATATTTAGACGTGAAAAGGGCGTCTAAATATGACGTCATTTGGGCTGTGACATATTCACGTCATTTTACCGTCATTATCACATTACTTTTCAGAGGATAAATGACGTCCTGTACTCTTTGTTTTAAAGTAACATAAATGTACCAGAACTATAACAATACATTTAACAATAAAATACAATATAATATTATTTAGTTGAGAGAAATTTCTTTCTGTTGCTTCAAAAGAATGGGGTAATGATAATAAACCATAAATTATTTTTTTTTAATTTTAAACATTTGGTTCATCCAGTGATTTTTTTTATTTTAAAGATGTTAGCCAAAATTCACCTCAGGGTAAATTTTTGTAATTAATATTTCTTCAAAGTCTTGAAGGGGTCTACGTTATTAAAAACAATATATAAATTATGCTGAAATGCTGGAAGCTGGTGGTAATCCCCTACTAAATTAAAAACTGACCCATAACAAAAAAAAAAAATAATAAAATATAATAAAGTGACGCCTATCTTGGATTTGTTGAAACAAGAAAATACAGAAATAAAAGTATAATTTCAAAATTTTTTAAATATGGGTTCTGAAGTTTAGATGAAGTCACTCATAAAATTTCGATATTTTAAAAAGTAATAAGATTTTTCTTCTTTTCTTAAAAGTCGTAATAACGTATTGGTGTAACCTTTACACTTAATCCCTACTACTCACATATGGCTACCCTCACTCCAAATTTTTAGTAATAGATTTGTTACAATTGTATAAGCAACGGCAACACTGACTAGTGGAAGAGGTAGTAGCCCACCCTTCGTGCAATTAGCAAGTGCCTATCAGTTACTATGTACATAATCTACTTTAATCGAAGCGCCTCTATTTACCTTTAAACCCGGTCATGCAAAGGAACGTAGTGCGTAGGCTATCTCTTAGAAGAACCGACATGCGTTGCCTAGTGCGCTGTTGCCAGGCTGTGTATTGTATCCCTTTCATAATTAAAATAGTTTTTACCTATAACTCACTAATAGCAACAAGTTTTATTAATTAGAATAGTTTCGAAATATATTGCGACACATAAGGCGCCCCCACCAATTCATTTTCGTACTTAGTGCAGTGTTTCTCACTCCGACACATTGTGGGCAGAGTTATTGCAATATTTCCCGAAACATTTCTAATAAATAAAATGACTTGTAACAAAACAAAAAACATATAAAATGTGTACAAAGTACATTAAGCTATTTTAACTGCTTCTAACAGACTTAATATTTTAGCAGCACCTATTTTTAGACCATTATGCAGGGCATTTTTGTACCTACTGCAAATACTAAGTTAAACTATAACAAACACCATCGGCCTGCAAATAAATGCAAAGATTTTAAAAGCGTTAAATGTAACAACACCGCACTTGAAAATAACCTTGTTTCATTCATACTATACCTTACATACAGTGTGTCCGAAATTGGTGATGCATGTATTATGATTTCCGAAACTGTTAGAGATAGAAAAACGGTTAAATGGGGAAAGTTTTAGAAAATTTTGTTTTTAAATCAATGCCGTTTAGTTTGAGATTTTTTCTCTTTTGGTTTTTGAGATATTTTGAAAACACTAAAATGACGCATTTCCGAAAATACATTGTATTTTCTTTGTTTATGAAAATTTCTAAAATCTGTAAAAACTTTCTTAAAGCAACTTTTTACGTAGAAAACGCCTGTGTCATCAGATTTTATTTGCAACGTTTCGGTTTCTTGGAACCATCATCAACTTTGTTTTTTCATATGGGCATCAATATTGGATTTTTACTGTTTTGAAAAGCCCCTTTTTTACCTTCCTAACGTTGTATCACATTTAGTAAAAAAAAGTTAGGTTATGGGTTAAAAAACCAAACATTTCGATTTTGTTTTTAATTTGTAATTTATACATTTAGTTAAATAAAATTACTGATTAAGTATATGGAAATACTAATTTGCAGATGACTCCTGCTACTTCGTAGGGAAGGTGGCGCCTCAGCGCCCTCCCTGACCAGCCGCCACTGGCTGAAGTGTCTTTTCATAAGTAAGGTTAGGTGATGTATTGCATTGTCAAGTGGTGTAGATTTAAAGAGTTTTGCCGTAATATCACATGTATTTGCTGCGTTTGAATATCCACATCCGATGCATTTTTTGAATCTCGAGCGTTTGTTTATCCACATCGGACACATCTCGCCTACAACATTTACGTATATTGAATCACGTGAGATTTACATCTCACATGTATTCAATGTGGATAGCCAAACGCAGAATAAATCTACCTTTGTTGAAATATCCATCAAGAAGTATTTATATTGAAATTTTTGTATTAAATCTATGAAAATTTGTTGCTTTTTATTTTAATAAATATCTAGTAGTATTTAAGTAGGAGGATCTCCCATATTTTTTCTTAAACGTCTCTGTAGAGAGCTGCCTTATCGTTGCATAAATTTAAAGCTCTCGTTGTTCTCGAGGTACATAATATCGCGAAGCATTTTCAGTGGGGCGCATATACATACAATTTTGTATTACTGTTAACAAATTATAGTACAAGAGTAGGTATAAAAAAGAATAGTACTTACCTAAAACCATCTGAACAGGCTATGTCGAACTCTTTACATTTTGTTTCCCACATAGTTGTCAATTCATTTCTATAGTTGCTTGTAAACGCTCCTAAATAGGCTACATTCGCCGCAGCCATTGCAACATCGCCAAGGCAGTTATTCATTTGAACGCCAAACCTCTAAAATTTTTATTTAATAATACTGTAATTTTAAGCGGAACAATTTTAAGGTAGTGGTAGTAGCATCAGATATTTCGGCAATCCGTGAATATTTTCTTCACAAAAGTTTGTAGATACTAAAATAGACCTATTTTTGAAATACCAGATATAGAAAATAATTTGCAACACTACTTTGAGATTGCTTTCTATGAAGAACACCATTCTTGGACCGGTTTCGTCCTCATTAGGACTTATCAGCAAGAAATAGACAATCTCACCTACAATCTCTATTTAAATCTGTTAGATGTCACTCGTTACTCGCTTACATTGATGGTGGTTGAAAGAATGTAGGTGTAGGTACGCTGTGCTCATCCCGCAAATATTCACTCGTTACATAAAATAAGGCAATTCGTAACTGGTTGCATAAATAGCTATTTCGTAACCAGTTTCATTATTTTTAACTTTGACTGGTTACATAAAGTAGATTTAGATCATTTTGACACTTGGTGCGATTGCAATACATGTCAAAATTATAAAAATGCAAGTTACAGAACATTGACCTCCCGACTCATCCCATTCCACATGGTCAAAGGTTTAGCGACGCAACCACGGCCGGCCAATGTCAACCGATGACAGCATTTATTTTTAGTATAAATAGATTGCCAATTAATATTATTTTTTAGTCTGATATATATTTTACTTTGTATTTGCAATATAAAAATTATTAAAGGTATTTTCAAAAATGAAATTATTAGTTTTTAAAAAGTGAGTTTGAAAGTCAAAACTCGTAATTGGCGCAGTCAGTAGAATTGTGGCAGTCCTTTAGAAGATTCTCGTCGTTTGCAAGCGTTTACCCACTATCCAAATCAAGGAAAACCAAGACGAAGTTCACCATAGGAAGTAAGAACAGGAAGCAAACCAAGATTCCAGGAATGCAATACAGCATCATCTGCATCTTGTAAGCAATATATATCAGACTCAGACGAAGACTTAGATTTAGACACTCCTACACGAAGTTTTAACTCAAGTGCAAAAGAATTAGACTTACTACAAAAACTTAATTCCTTAAGGGTTTCAAATACAAACCTAGACGAGGCACTAACCAATACCGATGTTTCTACTACTACCAAGATGGTTGTACCACCATTTGATGTCAAGAACCTGTGCATCCTCCAAAACATCGATGGGAATTCAAGCGAGTTGTACGAATTTATCAAAGTATCCACCCTACTTCTAAACCATTACTACGATCGAAGCAACTTGGCCAGCTTTTACTCTATGGGATAACCAGCAAATTAACATGAAGAGCAAAAGAGATTAAATCAATATACGGTTGTGAAAGCTGGGATGACATTAAGAATACGCTCATCCAAAACTTTGGGGATCAACGTAATGAAAACATGCGACAAGGTCCAAATGAATCGCCAAATCAGTTTTACGAGAAAGTCATGGGTATTCTAAACTGCATATCAAACTACATTGAAGTAAATACCCAGAGTTCAGAAATAAAAAGAAATAAACAGAAATTCTTTCGCTAACAAGGGTTTACAATAAAAGCAATAAGGCCAACCAACCTAACCGCAACCATTCAATACATTCAAGAAGATAATAATATTAGGTATGTCCTATGCATTCACCCGCAGGAGGAAATTGGAGGGACTAGGCCCTCTAAATCTAAGAGGTGCAAGCATCCAGCTTAAGGGGGAGGTAAAATATCTCGGGGTTATGATTGACTCGAGACTTACCTGGAACCAGCATCTAGAAAGAACCACAAGGAGAGCGGAAACCTCATTAATGATGGCAAGGCGATCCTTTGGAAAAAAATGGGGGTTAAAACCAGACATGGTATATTGGATTTATAATATGGTGGTGAGACCCATAATAACATACGCAGCTTTGGTGTGGTGGCCAAAGACACAGCAAAGAAAAGCAATAACGAGGCTTAGCAAGGTACAAAGACTTGCCTGCCTCGGAATAACGGGGGCAATGAAAACAACCCCCACTGCTGCAATGGAAGCACTAATAGGACTCCCACCTCTTCACTATGTGATGCAAGGGGAGGCAAGATTAGGTGCTTACAGATCAGGGAATACACTGGTAAATCTTGACATTAGGCCAGGTCACATGAGTATCTCAAGGTTAGTGACAGGAGACGTGCTAGACATGAGATCAGACCACTTAACCAAGAGGTACTCTTTTAATACTCCCTTTGAGGTTTTAATACAGGAAAGAGCGGAGATCACCATAAGGGAGCCCAATGCCCAACGACAGGAACAAACCTGGTATACAGACGGGTCTAAGGCTGCGGAAGGCACTGGGGCAGGAGTATTCTCCAAAAACCCTGATACTAACCATAGCTATGCTATAGGATTACATTCCTCGGTATTTCAGGCGGAGGTATACGCAATTTTGCAATGTGCAAAAACGAATAATGAAAGAGCTGTCGAAAATCAGCATATTCAAATAATGCCAGACAGCCAAGCGGCACTTAAGGCCATATCGAGTCAGAAAGTTACGTCGAGGCTGGTATGGGAATGCATCGAAGAACTAAGAACACTGGCAGACCGAAATAGAGTAAAACTATTTTGGGTGCCAGGTTACAAAGGGATCGAAGACAACGAAAAGGCTGATAAACTTGCAAAAAGAGGGTCAGAAGAAACACCGGAACCAGACACAAACCCAGGAGTACCAAAAAGTACAGTTCGGGGTTTTATAAATGACTGGATTCGGGAACAACATATCAACTATTGGGGAAGCACCCCAAAACAGGCACATGGAAAAGCCTTCATAGGCAGACCATGTCCCAAAAGAACTGGAGAACTACTCTTAATGAACTTTGGCAGTGGAGCCATTCTATCTTAAGGTACTGTTGGAAATGACAAACCAATCGCCTACGCCTCTAGATACTAAACGAGACAGAAATAAAATATTCCACGATCGAGAAAGAAATGCTTGCAATAGTATGGACCACTAAATACTTTAGACCCTACCTATTTGGGAGAAAGTTCAAAATCTTGTCCGATCATCGACCTCTTCAATATCTATTCTCACTGAAAGAGCCAAATTCGAAGTTAGTCAGATGGAGGCTTTAACTAAAAGAATACGATTACGAAGTAGTCTATAAAAACGGAAAAGCAAACACTAACGCAGACGCTTTGTCAAGAATAGAAGTACACACTAAAGATATCCAATATACAGATCATAGTATAGAAAAATTTCTTGAAAATCTAGATGACGATGCATAGTCAATGTGCAATAATTCCGACGAAAACAAAAAAATTGAAGAAATCATTGACGAGATCCTACAAGAAGCACCAGATACTCACTTAGAAAAGAAAGAACAAAACGTAGGTCCCGAAGAAGACGATGATAACACAAGACATACTGCAATAGAAAATCCCGTATTAAAGACCCCAATTTCAGAAAAACCCTTAAACTACTACAATCATCAAATTATCTTCAAAACAGTGAATTATGAAGCAAGACCTCCAGCAATATCACAAATTTTTCCAAATAAACTACGGAGTCCACGTCCAATTGGGAAAGAACGATCTTCAAGTCGATATAGTCAAATTTTTCAATTTTCTACAGCCAATAAGAAAATATGCGTGCCTATTCGAAAGCGATGAATTATACATTTATATAAGCGAAACTATCAGAAAGATGTTCAAACACAACTCCTATGATATAGTGAAATGTAACAAACTATTAGAAGACGTGAACAATCCAGGAAGACAAAAAGGCATTATAGAAAATTTTACCAAACTACAAAGGCCAAATCTAAAGAAAGACATAGAAGATATCATCAATTTCTGTGATATATGTCAAGAAAATAAATATGACAACTCCGCCGAAACCAAAGTTCATGTTCGATGTCTTTCAAGCTAGTGGACGGAAATTCCTAACAATTGTGTATGTATTTTCAAATTATGGTCAAGCCTATACTCTAGAAGGAGCAACTGCAGTCAACATAATAGGTGCACTTTTAATTTTCATCACACACTATGGATTGCCAAAAATAATTGCTGCTGATAGTGGTACAGAGTTCAAAAACGGCGTTATGCAAGATTTCGTAGATGTTCATAAAATTTCAATCCACTACACAACACCTGATAACCCTCAGTCCAACAAAATTATTGAGCAATTTTATTCCACACTAGTAGAATACTTAAGAATATTGAGAAGTACTCAAACGGCTATTCCCATTGAAGAGCAAATGCCCTACGTTATCCTGGGTTACAATAATTTTATACATTCGACAACGAAGTTAAAACCTATCGATGTATTAAATGGACATTTAGACCCTTTCGACATGGATAGCAATAAAATGTTATTAAACAATTACGTAGAACAACACTGAGAGAAAACCAAAGAAATTTACAAAGAAATTAATGAAGATATTTATATACGACAACAAGAAAGCCAACATAGATAAAAGTAACGAAACAAGACACACCTATTACTTACAAGCCAAATTACAAAATGTCCTCAAGGAGGACCCCTAAACGAAACAAACTCCTTCCTAGATTTGCCCCGAAAATGGTCCAGAACGACAGATTTGTGACAGTCGAGACACCTACAACTTCAGTTCATAAGAAGAATATCAAGTACCAGAAAACTAAAGTAAAATCCCACAGCCAACGAAGCTAAACACCCACTGTTCCATCACAGAAATTATGTCTCCAAGGAACATTCCCAATCCAGCTAACACTCCAAGGAATATACAAGAGCCAAGAGAAAATTCAATAACAAAACATCAATCTAGGGGATGGAGAAGTTACAGAACATTGACCTGCCGACTCATCACATTCCACATGGTCAAAGGTTTAGCGACGCAACCAAGGACGGCCAATGTCTACCGATGTCAGCATTTATTTTTAGTATAAATAGAATATATTTTACTCTGTATTTGTAATATAAAAATTATTAAAACTATTTTCAAAAATAAATAATTAGTTTTTAAAAATTAGTTTGAAAGTCAAAACTCGTAATTTGCACAACCGGGCAATAAAGTCCATATTATAAATACGTTTAGCGGGCGTAAAGGGCCCCTTTATCGTCCGCGTACTACTTTATCGCCTAAATTGCATTTCCTGCAATTGTTTAGTCAACCCCTGTATAGCTTATTCTTTCTTTGAGAGTATATCTCTATATTTTTTCTAATTTTTTTCCTCGTCATCGGAAACTGTTGTTTCCATATTAGTTTGGTTTTCCTGGCCTGATTTTTTTGCGCTTCAGAAGATTCGGTTTTGTTGACTTTCTCTACACATTTTAAAATTATTTTGATTGGCACACTTTTACTTTTAAACATTAACTTTAGCAATCATTGATTTTTTTGAACAATCACAAAAAAAATTATTTTTTATTTCTTTTAAAAATTCACAACTAGTCGTACATAAAATTTTATATAATTGGTAATCAATAATTATTAAGAGGGTCGTGCATAAAATTTTGTATGTATTTCAAGCGTAAACAGCATTTATGAACCTTACGTGTTGCGGTCCATAAACACCTGTTTTACGCCCTTGATATATAAATAACTACTTTTACCTGACACTACATTTTATCACAAACATGCTTATTACCTTAACGCTCTCTTCCCATCTTATTTGTTCATCAGCTAAGGCTATATTAAGACGACCTGCTCTATTTAGTCTAGCTGCAGTTAGTTCCATGTTATTGATAAGCGCGTCTTTTTCAGCAATGGTTTGATTAAACTGTGATTGCAGTGATGCTATCATTGATTCGACTTCATTTAATTTTTTTTGTTTTTCTTTAAGCACTAACATTACATTAGCCAGTTCAACCTCTGCTTCTTTCAACCTATTTACAATTAAACATTTAAATCTTTGAAACTTTTACATTTTAAAGGTATTTTTAGTTTTTTTTATGTTCCCTCATATTGGGGAAATTTTTGTATCTATTTTTGTGAAATGTTATAAAATGGAACGCTCTATAGTCTATTTTTATGTATGAGAGAGTAATAAAACAGCATTTCTAATGCAAAACTTAGTACGGTCATTTTAAATATTTTTACAGAATAATCTAAATATTTTCTAAAATTGTAATAAATGTACCTGAGCTATTACAAGTTTTGGGTCTTTTATTGGTCCTTTATAAACATAAGCTGTACAGAACAATAGAAAAAGGTTTGGACAGGCCAAAAGCACTGGGGATTAAAGATTACATAGCCGTATCTTAAGATTATTTTCAATAAGTACCTATTTGCCAATTTTGTTTTATTTTCTTCTTACAGTAATCGAATTATAAGTAGATAAATACCTTCCAACAAATTTCACCGAAAATGCGATTATAGGTTTTCCATTTAATAAGGAGGTCCAAGTTGTGTATTCTTGACAGTTTACTAAATGTCGTTTAGTTGCAACTTGCAAGGTGCAGTGTGAATTCTAGTGTGATCATGGAAAATTTGGAAGGGCCGCGTAAACGACAAAAAATCGGTCCTTTAACAGTTAATGAAAATACATTAATATTTAATTGTTTTAAATCATTTACAGACAAACGTTTATGTAAAAGTGTTGATAACACAGTGGAATTAGTAGTACGCTTGGTGTTGGGAAATCTACGATTTACAGAGTTGTTAAAGAAGAGAAATGTGGCGAGTTTCAAACAGCACGTAAAGCTCCAGGAAAACCAAAATTTCAATTAGAAAATCTTTTGAAAGAAAGACTTCAAAGGAAAAGAATTTCCGACAGAAGACAAAGTTCTTGCCACGGTTCGAGATGATAAGGATTACCCTGAAATGAGTCGAAGCACACTATGGAAACTTTTAAAAGAAATAGGTTTTCTATGGAAAAAGCATTCCAGAAAGTCTATTTTAATAGAAAGAAGCGATATTGTAGCATGGAGAAGAAATTACCTAAGGACTATAAAAGAAATGAGAAACCAAAGAAGAAATATATTTTATTTAGATAAAACATGGATCAACGAGGGACATAGACCAAATAAATTTTGGCAAGATGAAACTGTTACAAGACAGGCTTTTTTAAATAATTTATCTACTGGTTTAAATCCACCATGAGGAAAGAGGCGCAGACTAATAATATTACACATCGGTAGTTCAAACGGTTTTGTTAAAGGTGGTTTATTGACTTTTGAATCTACTCGTACCGGTGACTACCATGAGGACATGAATGCTGATGTCTTTAAAGAGTGGTTCGAACAAATTATAGATCTTCTTCCTCAGAACTGTATAATAGTAATGGATAATGCAAGTTATCTCTCGAGATTTATAGAAAAAATGCCCACAAAAAAGTGGTTAAAAAAAGATTTACAGAATTGGCTAAATTCAAAGAATATTAAGTTCCATCCCGGTTCTGTGAGAAAAGAACTGTATCATTTGTGTTCCCTTCATAAAGAGAAATTCAAAAAATATGAAATTGATGAAATTGCAAAAAATCGTGGGATGACGGTGGTTAGATCACCACCATATCATTGCGAAGTAAACCCGATTGAACTGATATGGGCACAGATAAAGGGAGAAGTTTCAAGAAAAAATAATTCTTTTAAAATGAATTATGTTAAACAGTTGTTTTTGGAGGCTGTAAATAATGTGAAGCCTGAAAACTGGGAAAAGGCAGTAAATCATACGATTAAAGAAGAAGAGAAAATGTGGAAGTTGGACAATATTACTGATGAAATGATCGAGCCACTCATTGTAAATATTGGTTGCGATAGTTCATCTTCTGATTTCGATTCTGATTTGGATTTGTAGGTAAGAAGTAGTTTTTATATTATAATTAATATTTATGAACGTAACGTTGTTTAAAAGTCAAAGTTTAAACCCGTTTAACACAATGTTCTTAACATACCTTGTGGAAAAATAAAACATTTTAGAAAAAATTGCACGTTTTTACCTTCAGCTTAGAAGTTATAAGCAGGTTAATTAGGTGAAAATATAAGTGTATACTCGAGGAATAACTTCAAAAAATATTTTAACTGTCTACTAAAAGAAGTGGTACGCCTATGGATTACGAACGCTTTATAGTGAGGGTTGGTTAGGTTAGGTTAGGTTGAGTTAGAGTAGATTATGTTAAGTTATTTCATGATGATTGTGCATTAATTACGGCATGTCGGTACTTATCTAATATTTGTAAAAATACTTGTTTTTTTTTTAATTTGATTTGTGTCCAGGCCGTTGGAGTCTAGGCCGGTCGGCATAGCAAAGTATGGGTTAAAATTTTCTGGTGGCGGCAAAGCCGCCACCATACAAGAGGTTGTTGCTTCGGCTTCTTATTGTATATCAATATTGACGTCGAAGAGTACTCTGCCGATGAGGGTGAGGGAGAAAATCTTGATATGGGTATATTTTTTAAATCGTTAGTTTTATATGATTTTTTTGATACTGAAGTCAATTCGTTGGCATAGTTAAAAATGACCATTGCTATGTAATAGAGAGATATTGCAAATTTCTATAACGCCAGCCACTAATAGAGATACTGTAATTAGAGTCAAATAAATTTCATGCTAAAATCAGACTTATTGCAAATCTGAAATTTTGACATTAGAATCCTTGTCCTTATACTTATTTCTAACCTCATTTTAATAACTTTAAATTATAGATCTCTTTTGTTGTCTATAATAGTACATAGTATTGAAAAGGCATTAGAAATTATAATTTTAGAATGTTTAGATGACGATTATATTAAATATTTAATATTGAAAAACTTCGAACGGATACGAATGTCGGCGAGCGCACCCGAAAGCTATAAAGTCGCTACTACCTGCTGCCCTTAAACATCCATAATTAAGGACAGGCACAATCTTTAATAAAGTCAGTTTTAGAACATAAACGATCTGCGCATGCTTAGATGTCAAAATAAGAGCAGCACTAATAGTGACTGACCTTAAGTAAACTTGCAATAACTCTCTAATAAAGAAAATTGTTTACGAAAAAAAATTGGAATGGTTTGTTGCTTTATGGATGGTCTAGTATTATTATTTAGCAGTTTCAATAACAAGAAATTATTCAAAATATAGTTCAAATTTTTTCAACATCGAAATTAGAGGACACATTTTAGGTTTAAGGTAAGAAAAAATATTTTAAAGCGTTTGCAGGACAAAAAAAGTATTTCGAAATGTGTTTCAGAAGGTCCAAAATGCTCTTAAAAAAATAGCCCGTTCGACTGTGCGGATTTTTCCCAAAAATGTACTAAAATTTACAAAAATGTATAAAAATGTACAAAAATGTATAAAAATGTACAAAAATGTACAAAAATGTACAAAAATGTACAAAAATGTACAAAAATGTACAAAAATGTACAAAAATGTACAAAAATGTACAAATATGTACAAAAATGAACAAATTATAGATCTTCTTCCTCAGAACTGTATAATAGTAATGGATAATGCAAGTTATCACTCGAGACTTATAGAAAAAAATGCTCACAACCAAGTGGTTAAAAAAGATTTACAGAATTGGCTAAATTCAAAGAATATTAAGTTCCATCCCGGTTCTGTGAGAAAAAAACTGTATCATTTGTGTTCCCTTCATAAAGAGAAATTCAAAAAATATGAAATTGATGAAATTGCAAAAAATCGTGGGATGACGGTGGTTAGATCACCACCATATCATTGCGAAGTAAACCCGATTGAACTGATATGGGCACAGATAAAGGGAGAAGTTTCAAGAAAAAAAAATTCTTTTAAAATGAGTGATGTTAAACAGTTGTTTTTGGAGGCTGTAAATAATGTGAAGCCTGAAAACTGGGAAAAGGCAGTAAATCATACGATTAAAGAAGAAGAGAAAATGTGGAAGTTGGACAATATTACTGATGAAATGATCGAACCACTCATTGTAAATATCGGTTGCGACAGTTTATCTTCAGATTTCGATTCTGATTTGGATTTGTATGTAAGAAGTAGTTTTTATATTAAAATTATTATTTATGAACGTAACATTGTTTAAAAGTCAAAGTTTAAACCCGTTTGACACAATGTTCTTAACATACCTTGTGGAAAAATAAAACATTTTAGAAAAAATTGCACTTTTTTACCTTCAGCTGTTTAGAAGTTATAAGCAGGTTAATTAGGTGAAAATATAAGTGTATACTCGAGGAATAACTTCAAAAAATATTTTAACTGTCTACTAAAAGAAGGGCTATGGATTACGAACGCTTCATTATTTTAATACTCTCTCATACATAAAAATAGACTATAGCCATGTTCAACGTTAATTAAAATTACGAGCCTAATTTTTGACAGATGGTTAGACTGTCATCAAATACTCAAGTTCTGTTTGTTTATCAGGCTCTAATATTTTTATTTATTGAGGAATTCCAATTAAATAAATGGTTTTGTAGGAATATATTAATTTATAAAGAAGGAAAGTGTATAAACAAAATTCATTATAAAAAATAAAAATTTAAGTAACTCAATTGTCAGGCAGTCATAAAGTGAGCATAGTATTTACGATTCCATAATTATTAAAGAAATTAAAATTTACTTACTTTTTCCTTTTCGGTTCTACAAGTTTGAACGTTTTTGCGTACTTGTCGATTGCTCTTACCCACAAACACAAACTCTTACAAGCTTTCGAAACTTTGACAACTTTTTCGGGAACAAAATCTGGATTGTCGACGTATACCCTCAATTTTCTCAGCAAAGAATCGGTCACACGGTTTTTGTCGTACTCTTGTAATCGTTTTAAGAAATTCTGATCGCCGAGAAGGGTTTTCGCGTTCCCCCAGTCTGGCCTAAAATTAACGTTTGTTCATATAAACCATTTTTAACATAATGATACTTTTCACATAGGTGCAATATTTTACTAAATGATATAATTATTTAGTATAGGCTTATTTTTAATACAAAAGTTTTAATCTTTCGTTTTAAACAAAAATGATAATTATATTAATTAATATTAGTACACAACATCAATTTAATTATTTCCTAATTAACGGAAACTTTATTTTTGTATTATAGGCTCAATCGACTTATTTTGATTTCACCAACAGCTCTATGTACACGGAATTTTGGGACACCCTGTATTTATAATACACATCCAGTAGATCGTCGTCGTAGAGTCAAAAACATTTTTTCTGCAGGTAATTGTTAGTTTTGTATAAGTAGCTTTTTTTATGTAATAGAGAAAGGCAAGTCAAAAAGATGCCAAATGGTAAACGATTTACAATTTTAAAATTAATTTCTCTAAAAGAAATAACATTCAGTTACGCCACAAACATTCTCCTCGTTTTGGCACTACTGAGTATGCACATTGAGTCAATTTCAGACGTTGTAACGTCATTAAACAGTGTTAATTCCAATGTTGTAATTATTTTTTGTTTAATTAGTTTTGATTTTCACAAACATATATTATATTCAGCGTTGGTCTCACAGGTCATTTTAATCAGTCTTAAAGAAAATGCATCATAGAAAAATAAAAAGAGAAGGTTTGAATAAATGGCGGGACTTGTTTCCTTGTTGGTAGTTGAACCGTAAGCGCTTAGGGCGCTGCTATCACTAAATTCAAACCCATTTTACACCCATAAAAAAATATGTTTTCAAAAATAATGACAAAGAAAACAATAATTTTACTGATTTACCCCTTTAAATTTCACTTTAATATAATGTGTGATCAAATACAGGGATAATCGTTAATAAATTTAAAGTTAAAGCTAAATTTAAATATTATTATGTGGTGTAAATCTGGCTTTGAAAATAAATTAGGTTAAGTTGCTATAAAAATGTCAGCCTGATATTATTTTCATTTTCAAATGCAGGTGATATTTTTTTCAAATGTAGGTGAGTAAATTGTATTAATTAAGTGTAAGTTAGATTTAACTAATTTAACTATAGGGAGGTTCTTAAGAAAATCATTAACTTCTGATTTTAATTGCAGAAGTAAGTATTTTTCTCACAAAACTAACAAGAAATTTTGTTTTTCCTGCTATTATTACTCTAGAGATAAATGGATCCACATTTTAAACATTTGCGGTCAAAAAAATGAAAGGAGTTGTGAGCGAAATGTGTGAAGCCAATTTATAAACAAATATTGTAGAACCCGAGATAGAACCTCATCCTAGTTTTACTCATAAAGACCATAATGAAAAAAGGCCAATGATTTGTGCTCAAAAAGTTATTGTTCAATTTTTGGGTGATATTCATTATTATATTTATCAAATAATACCCAAATATGTTCAAAAACTTATATGCTATTTAGGTCAACTTGTTAATTTTTGCATAGTTCACCTATTAAGATCACAAATCAGATGTTTTCTATTTTTTATTGACATTTTTATACCTTTTATTGCAAGAAAAATGTAAGAATTTAAAAAGTTATGACTCATGTTAATTTTTAATTTTAAGATACACACTGCACCTTTATTTTTGTTTTGTTTTAGATATTCCCGGGTATGGAGATTTTTGGAATGTGCATAAATGTGTTTCTTAATTAGGGTGAGTTTCAAAGCCCACCTGTATTGAAGCTGGATGCTTATTGTAACCGAAATAGGCATTACAATTATTCTAGATTGAAATAGATGGAAAAAGGCCTTAAAGGGACAATAAGTATAAGAATATTAGAATTAGAATGATTTGTCCTTGGATTAATAAGGGATATTTAAAACATTAAAACAATTGTGTTTATAAATTAACTACTTTGACTTTTTATAAAAACTATATCCGGTTTTTTTAATAATAAAAACATTGTCATGTGCTATGCTGGTTATCATATTATATTTTTATTTTTCAGTAATTTAGTGTGTGATATAGTGCTTGTTATGTTCAAAATATGCAGTTAGAAGATAATGAGACACATGTAATTACGTGGTAATTCTAAATAAATTAAACTTGTTAAAAATGTGTTTTATTTTTCAATTTCAACTAATTTTATTTTTCAGTTAAAACAAGTGACATTTTCCATTTTTCAACATTTACCTACAACAAAAATTCACTAAACTTATTGTTTGTTCAGTAAAAGTTGTCAAATAGGAAAATGTTACTTTAAATTGCTTCAAATATCTAAATTATCAAGCCCGCCAATTTTTAAATCGCTTTAATTAGTAGTGTTCTACTTTATCGACTGAAACTGACAGGTGTAGTTCAACCGTAAGCGCTTAGCGCGCTACTATCGAGGTCAAGCAAACTTGTTACCAACTATTTACATGGAATCCGACCCCCGTGAAATGCATTACGTCGTTTTTGAAATCAGCAACATAATTTGATTATGGGGGGAAGAGGGGGGGGGGGGGGAGGAAGAAGGCGGCAAGCATGTCATTACTTGTAAAAGAGTCACGTGTTTTTTGCTAACTATTTGTAGTTGGGCACATGGGAGGGGAATAAACAACATGTACTATATTCCAGTAATGGGAGCTGTAGTATAACCTTTTAAATTCATAATAATTTTTCTGACGTCACACATTCGCGGAGGATCAAGCACGTAGCTGTACCAATCTCATCTAAGACCTGCTCTACTACTAAACACCTCCTAGCGGCAACCTGCACCTTTTTGATGAGTTAATGACCTGCAAGACTTTAACGACCTGAAGAGATGGATATCAGTTGACACCCCTTAGCGTCAACCGGCAGGTATTTGACGTGTTGATAATCTGCAAAATTTTGAAGAGCTGGAAAAATAACTCTCTATAGTTCAGGACACATTGAGAATGCAATATAACCAGGCATAGGCAATGCATTTCTGAAGGGAAACCGGCACTCTGTGTTGCCGTCTTTGTCAATGTTATTAGAGCATGTATTTTTGGTTGCATACATGAGGACCATTTGTCATTGATGTCCAATTGGACGGCTTTCTCCAGAAAGGAAGTAACAGACAAATTTGTAATTTTTAGATTTTCGCACCGTAAACTTTATTCCAAAATAAGATTCAGACAACATTCTGGTACCCAACGTTATTTCTTAGCCTATGAACTAACCGACTAAATTAGTTAAGCAATCCAAGCGTCTTGGTTGCTTTCTGCATACTAGAGACTGGTGACAGTTCTTTGTTTGGTGGTATTAAAAAGAGGAAAACAAATATTTTTGTGATACAGTATCAGTAGTAATATTATCATATCTCAAAGAATTCTTCGGATGACAAAAGCTATTGGATACGAGAAGGAAAGCCCAGCTTTGGTCAGGAAAATCGTGTGTTAAAATAAATAGAAAAATGGATGTTCAGAATAAAATAGGTAACTGTTTAAAAACATTTGAGATACTTCTTGATAAAAACAAACCATTTTCATTTTTTCTGAAAAACAAATTTTGAAGACAACACGTTTGTTGAAATTGATATCAGAAAAACAAATGGGACGTCGAGCATTAGCTAAAGACTTCCTAATACCGCTATGGCTGGTAGGAAATAAGTATAAAACTCAAAAACAGAGGATAGAGGACAAAAAATATGTGATACACTTAATTCCAAACGATTGTATGCAATTTTATGAACATATAAGCGGCACGGACATCGACAATAATGTGGATGGATTCAGTGGAGCGCCTGATTCTGAACTGAAACCTATGAATAAATTGAAAAGATAATATGTAAATATGTATTTTTCACCTACCTAACCAAACGGTAATAAAATTTATTTTACAGACAGGAGCCGACCCACATAAACCAAAAAATCCAAGTAAAATATATTTATTTTTTAAATTTGTAAGGTTGTTTGAACATTCCGCCAACTTTGAATGTAATTAATAACATTCGATGGAATAAGATTTCACCATCCTTCTCTTTAAGAACCCTATGTAGATTGGTAAAAGATATTAGTTTTAAATATGTGAAGCGTGGTCGTAAAATTATAACGTTATAAGGTTACATGAGACTTGGATCAACGTAAGTCAAACGGTTAACTATGCATGGTATGATAACACCATATAAAATAATAGATATGGTTTTATTTAGGGTTTAACCACAGGCTTCAAAGCACCTACACAAAGAAGTCCACGTGTCGTAATTGTTCATACAGTATATAAAGGTGGACTTTAACCTGACTATTTTGAGCAATGGTTTGAGGAACGTTGTTGTTATGGATAACGCTTCGTATCATTCTCGTAAATTTAGTTTTCCAGCTATATCATGAAATAAACACGAAATAAAAAATTGGCTGTTCGAAAAACACATTTTCTTGGACTTCTATTTAAAATCTGAGCCGCTTGAAGTTGCCAAACGCATACAGAGAGCAATACAACAAATATAAGATTGAGGAAATAGTTGCAAACACCGGGGTAACAGTTTTACGCTTACCATCGTATCATTGCAAGCTTAACCCGATCGAAATGGTATGGAATAAGATAAAGTACTATATTGCAAAGAACAACTTTGAATTCAAGCCATAGGATGTTTGTTTATTGATAATTATATCATTTGAACATGTCACTGAACAAAGTTGGCGTAATTGCGTTGCAGATGTCAAAGAAAAAAACGAAAAAAGAATTCTGGGTCGCTGATAAATCTCTAAGACAACGTTTAGAAATGTGGGTCGCTGATTACCCCTAAGACAACATTGAAGAACTTATTATAAGAGACCGTTCTGAAAGTGAGATTTCAGACCTCGATGATGACTTACAGTATTGCGTAAAATTTGTTTATTTTTTGTTAATCTATAAATTTAATATTGAACATACATATTTTCTGATTAAATTTAAACCCGTGTCAAAATTTGCTCGAGACTGGACCTGTTTTTTTGTTTTGGCCGATCGAAGCAAAGCGACAGTTTGCAATGGCGTGTTTCATAAAAGTTCACATAGTAGTTATCAGTGTGTCTGACACTATAGACACCTCTCCCTGGCCAGCAGGTTTTGACACCTTGAAAGGCAGGTTTTATATGCCAGTGGAGGATGTGAAATGGACCTTATGAGGCCTACATGCTGAGGAGCACTTAATCTTCCCCCACCATATAGATAGAGCAAGATCAATAAACCATTATTAAAAAATATTTGTAAAGTAATTTGTAAAAAAATATGGCGTTTCTAAAAACTGGCTATTTTTCAACTGTAACAACCAGCCATAGGATTTGTGCCCATGGACACTTTTGTTCAGGAATTCAACAAGTACAATATGGCAAAAATTAAAGAAATTCAACCGAAGCCCATTTCTCCATCAGCCGGGATATCTGGCCCTTCAAAATAAATAAGAAATATAATCTCTTCTCCATTATACAGATCATAACTTACTTTATTCCGAGCAGTAAACATACTGCTTCCAAAACAACTGTTACCATCAACGGTGGTTTCTGAAACACTTTAATTTCATCTATATCTTTTTTATTGAGAGACTGTAAAGCCTTGGTGGCCGCTTGCAGTGCAGGTAAGGCCGAGTCTAAATCTCTTTGAGCATCATCAGCGATAGCTTGAGTTTCTTCAGCTATCCCCTAAAAATTATTAGCTATTTAAATTCTGCAGACTGTAAAATGTAGACTATAACGGTGAGGTCGTGGAAGTGCTCTTGTTTAAAGAGTGGTTGTAAAAATAGTGCGTTGATAGAATATGAAATGTATTAATTATTACCTCAGTCACATAATAGATGAACAATATAGAAAGGAACCATAGGGTTACAACTCAAACCCTAGCTATTGCAGCCACACCTCAATAATGGTGTAGCATTGTCAAAACGCAATAAAAATAAATGTATTTTTCGTATGTAGTTTTAATTAATAGTTTATGTTCGCTTGTAATAATAGTTTTCTCAGAGTACCTCTGGTGGTACCGAAGGTCAAATATTTCTATCCAGTCTACTATTACTTTCCACAATTATTTTCCTTTCTATGTTGTTCATTTATTCTATGCTTCAATTACGCATAGAATTTTGTAATTTCTACGAGTTCGGACATTCATCCAAAATTTGACTATGACCTTTCACAGTAAGCCAGCGATCCAGTTTAGGAAATACTTACTCTAGCTAATGCCTCGTCAGACTTAACGACTACTCTAACTTTATTGGCTGCCTCTTTTTCAATATCTAAAGTTACCATTAATTCGTCACAATCAATTGACTTTTGTGCTAATACAGGTCCCAATGCGGTCAAGGTATCCCTCATTTCATCTATGAGATCGTTTGTCTCTAATAGTTTCTATAAAAATAATAAATATTTATATACCAGTAATTATAACTAAATGTTTTATTAATTCATTGATGTAATTATATACAAATTATACACCCTCTATCTACTACAGAAGCCAATTGGAATATGCTGACAAGATAAAACTCTATATCATCTCAATTTAATCTCACTCTTGCTTTTACAATAGTATTTCGGTCAGTCAGTAATTAACATTCAAAGTATTCATATCGTAACATTTTAATATTGTCGGGGTTAATTGTAATTTATCAAATAAAATATTTTTTAAAAATAAACTATTCGTTCTACTTGACATTTTTTACGGCTTCATTTATTGGGCTAAAATAAAAACCACATACTGAACGGCATTTTATGGGATATTTTTGATTTTGCAGTATATTTGGATAAATTCTGAAATAGTTTAAAGTTTACCTAACGAGAGATGGCTGAAAAAGTAGGACAAGAACAACTGTGTCACCAATAGCAAAATAATGTTGTTTCTCGTAAATACTACAAGTACCTTAGACAAGGAAAGAGAGGACACGTAACAATTATATCGAGTACTTGATAAAAAATATTATAAATACAAAAGGAAGCATTTTCAATGCCTCCACCAAAATTTAAATACCGGTTACATAACTAGTAAGAGCATCCACCAAATTTTTAAATTCAATATTTTTTTATTGTAAAATTATTAAGCATCAATACTGAAAAATATTGTTTCTGCTTTTGCTGAGAATTGATAGTTTTGACACTACAGTGATAGTAATCGATTTTTGAACTTTAAATAATAAACTACAGTTTTTGTTTTTACATGCAAAATACAGAGAAATATCGACAACTGAAGTTGTGTGCAATAGTTAGCTAACCTCAATATGTCAGAAAATGGGTTTTTAAAAATCACGAAAATAAGTAAAGGCACAATAACCCTATTTTAAAACAATTTTTGGCTTGAATCATCGAAGTATTTTAGGAGTCACTTATATTTGATGAATTTCTTACAAATTATTAGAATGATGGTTGATTCACTTTGCATTTAAAATAGTCTTAGTCCTAGTGCGTTACCATAATGTATTCACTAAACATTATATAAAAAACTTTATTTAATACAACGGATTAAATAGAAAACATATCGGAACTTCGTCAAATGGACCAATTACTACACCATCGGCTGCATGTTGTTAAAAAAAGATACATTTTATGACGCAACTAAAATGCTTTTTGCTCCATTTTATCTGTTTAATCACCTGTTGAAATTTTGCGGGCGTTTTTCCTAAAACCATGTATATTATCATTCTACACATTTTGTCAGTCCCATTAAAATACAATTAAAATAAATTATAAAAAATTTATATAATGTAATACAAAATTTACTTACGTTAAGACCCATAGCAATTCTATCTCTAGTTTTACCAATTTTCTCTTGCTTCAAATCCATCAAAATTTTGTACAGTTTTATTAACTCTAAGTAACTACTCGGAGTCGTATAATAGTATCTTCTCATTTCTACGTAAAATCTAACTGTCATTAATTCAACGCTCTAAAACATTAACATATTGTACATATATTGTTAACAAAGGGCTACAAATACTAAATAAACTACAAATATAGGATAAACATACTATGATTATTAAAAATACGACAAATAATAACGTAACAAGTTGAGTGAGATTTCACCCTTTAACTCTAACTGGTGTCTGTCTGTAAAACTTAAAACACCAACATCATCCCTACGAATAGTCGATGGATTTACATGTTGGTACAGTTCTCGCCGTTTACTTAGATGTACTAGACAAGCGAGACAGCAATATCTATTATTTCACGTAAGACAACAGTTGGTTAAGTGCGCTCGGGCGAACACCCAATCTGAAGCGTCGATTGTGAAGTACTCAGTAGCGGGCCAGGTTTAGTCCTCTGATAATGTCTCATCAAAGTGAAAACAAACGTAAGCTTCGTCTACACGGACAAACTCGTGAAGTAATATTTAAAGTGTAAAAATATTTTAAAACGGTTAAAAGTGAACAACACAGATGTAAAGATAAAAACATCCGAAGTGACAGGTAAGATAAAATTTAGATTTTATTAACATCACATTTTTACTTTTTGCATAATTATTTGGAATCAAAAAACACTTATTTTTTATTTGAAATACGACGTTTCGACGAAGTAAATAGGTATAATGTGGTATAAAATAAAGTTTTTTAAAAAAATTATATATATATATATATATATATATATATATATATATATATATATATATATATATATATAGAGTGGAAGGGTAGTCTTTGCTGAATAGTAATGTAAAATTCAAACTAATTTATTGGGGGCAGCAGCAATATGTAATAAAGAAAACTCTTTAAAGATGATCCAAGCTTTCGGAAATTTAATAACTTATTTCCATCTTCAGGGAATCTACAAAAGGTGTGGTGTGTCTTCATAGGAACATAATAATATTAAGAGAGTGAGTTACTTACATCTTTGTGAGGATGAATTATTAATGATGTTAAATATGTTAAATTTTATGATTTTGATGCACATATAGAATTATAATTACACAGTTTTACAATATAACTTAAAATTATTGTGGTTAAAATTCAGTTTGAAATTTAACTGTTATGTCAATTTTTGAACTTGGCTGCACCGTACTGATGAAGACCAATAGTCAGAAACACGTGTCTACGGTTTGCCTTTAGACATTTTTTTTTTTCATTTTTTGCGGTATTTGCCCAATAATCCTTTTATCTTATATATATATATAAGAGAGTTGATAGTCGTTGCTGACTAGTTAATAATTTAACCAGTAATTTGTGGGTAATGCAGCAAATGAAAGTTTACTTTTTTAAGTTTATTCCAAGCTTTCGGAAATGTTTATTTCCATCATCAGGGAGACTAAAATAAAATAATACCACATATTATGATAAAGTAAGGTAAAATTTTTTAATTACTTACATCTTAATTAAGGTTGTTCATTATGGTGGTATTATTCATTTTGTATCTTTTCACTAAAATGAATAATACCACCATAATGAACAACCTTAATTAAGATGTAAGTAATTAAAAAATTTTACCTTACTTTATCATAATATGTGGTATTATTTTATTTTAGTCTCCCTGATGATGGAAATAAACATTTCCGAAAGCTTGGAATAAACTTAAAAAAGTAAACTTTCATTTGCTGCATTACCCACAAATTACTGGTTAAATTATATATATATATATATATATATATATATATATATATATATATATATATATATTTATATATATATATATATATATATATATATATATATATATATATATATATATCTCTAAAGGTAATCGGCTGATAATAGTTCATGCTGGTGGTAAAATGGGGTTTATAAAAGATACAGTTCATCAAATTTCTAGAGGCTTTCGACGGCTAGACAGAGAAAGCACTACTGACAGGCATCCCGACGGATTTACGCAATGAAAGTACACTCTGCGCATCAAGTATTTCACTATTTCATTCCGACGTAAATGTCAGATGTAAATTTCGCTAAAACATTTCTTTTATTTTCGTTTGTGTTTTTTGCTCATTACAGTTTAATAGAACCTAAGTATGGAGTTTAATAGCAAATTAAGAGGCCGCGTGATTAACAGTCAATCTCGCGAAATAATAGCCAATGTTATAGAGTTTATGAGAAGAGAAGGAAACTTTAATTCACCTTCAATACCATTTAAAAATGTAAATGATCGTGTTGCTGCAGCCACAGGAGTATCTAAAAACACTGTCGTCCGCATTTCTGGAGAGAAAAAGAGAATCGATAACCGTGAGATATCGGAATTTTCATCACCAAGAAAAACCATTAAAAAACCAAAAACAGTTAATGATATAGATGAAGCTGCACAAGAATCAAATTTTATTTTTTTATTATAAGATAGCTATTTTTGTTTCTGAGTTGTGTTCATTTACAGGCTCAATTTTTTTCCGTTTCTCCTTTTTGATTTTATATGGGGTTTCAAGTTGTTTTTGACTTATTTCGACGTAAATCACAACAACACACTTTTTTAATAAAGCAAACAAGTGTTAAGAGGTATATGTACGTGCAAACTACAATTACAAAAAATTGATATGAAACCCATGAAACCACCAACAAAAATGTAAAGCTAGCTTCCGTAGGTACTAGAACATGGTGTCATTCGTCGAGATAATTTATCGTTTTGTTTAATAGATCAAGAAATGTAAATATTCCCCTGTTATTTTTTATAAAATTATAAGAGAAATAAATTTTTTTCTAAATAGTATAGTTTATTATTTTGTAGAAAAACAAAATTTCGAAAATTTTAGTAATGTTTCAGAAACAACCGTTATTAATAATAGGTACCATTTTCCTTAATAAGGTAGAAATAAAATATAAACTATTTCCACGATTTACAAAGGCCTACAAAAAAATTATAGGTATTTTCCGCTATCCTATAAAATTTATATTTTCTGACTCAATTTCAAAAGGTTGAAGGAATTCCAAAACACTTTTTATGGCATAATAATTATTTTCAATTCTACATACTATCTTTAGCTGCTTTTAAAAACGTTCTAAGAAAGTCCAATCAGACCAATTTAATCCCTAAAATATTTCACACTTTTAAAATTTAATTACCTAAAAATATTAAAAACTATTTAAAATTACTTGTTTAGCAGACTGTACAATAGCTATCTTAGTCACACGTAGCGCGTTCTCTGTCTGGGCGTCGAACACCTCTAGAAATTTGATGAACTGTAGTTTGTTAATGTTTAAGTCAGGGAGCAAGTCTGGAGATTACCACGACGAGATGAATGGGTAAAATTACAGCAAATTTCGTTGTTGTATGTGACAATGCTTCGTACCACAATGTACAAGCTAACCGTGCTCCTAACTCCAATTCACTAAAAAATGAAATGATACAGTGGTTGACAGAGAAAAATATCCCATTTAATCCGTCAAGCCTCAAGCCAGAATTATATCAATTAATTAAGTGGAATAAAGATCGGTATGTGACTTATCTTTTTGATGACATATTTTCTCAACATGGACACACTCTTTTACGTTTACCTCCCTATCACCCAGACTTGAACCCTATCGAACTTATATGGGCCACCGTCAAACATAACATTAGCCGGAGAAATGTTACATTTCAATTAAATGACGTTAAAACAATAGCTGAGGAAGAATTCAAAAACATTGATGCCAATGAATGGAAGAAAAGATGTGACCATGTCGTCAAAATAGAAAATGAATATTTTGACAGGGAAGTTCAAACAGATATGTTATTTGAAATAAACCCAGTCATAATTTCTTTAGATGAAACTGGTTCGAGCAGTAGCAGTGAGGACGATTCTGAATCTGAAGATGACAATTAGTTTAATATTTATTTTTTAATATGCCTATTCTTATTATTTAACTCAAATTTGTAAAGTTTCTTTCGTAACCGTCATTGTTTGTTTCTTGTGTTCTGCCTTTTTTTTATTAAAACCACCAAATTTCATGTATAACAGTGTTTTATTTAACGACAATGAACAAATTGAATGAAAGTAATACCGGATGTAAAAAAGCACTTCCTTAAATCTTAGTCTCTATCCTAATATTTTTTCGTACCTTCATATTCCTGAAATTAGAAATCGATAAACCTTCTATAAGTGATTATTAATTAAAAGTACATTAAAAGGTTTAAGTCAATTCGATTAGAAAAAGAGACCTAAGACTACATTATCTTGGGGCATTAGAAATGACAAAAGAAAAAATTCCATTAAGTTTCTTAATTACCAGTTACTTATTTTTAACCGATTCACTTAATCTGTATTTAACGGTTCCTAATGGATTTACGGTCTTTTAAATTTTACCTGCTAAGTTTTAATTCTAATAAAAAAATGTACGACGCCACTGCCAATGGAACCTTATTTGTTTGACCAATGGTTGTCGCTTGGGCGGAGTTATCATTACACTAGATTCGATTTGGTACATCTAAGTAAATGGCGAGAACTGTATGTGCTTATCTCCCTAACCAGCAGAGCGGGTGGAAGAGCCGGGCGAGTCAGTCGGTCGCAAAGGGCGCAAGAACTGTTATACAATACAATTGTTATTTAAAAAATAAATTGACCAATATATGATAAAAAAGACTAGAGGAGAAAGAAAGTCCAAAAAAAGACCAAAAAAGTAAAAAGTCCAAAAAATGGCTATAATACGCCGACATTCGAACGGCGGATATAACTATTGAAATATTATAGAAAGTTTCTAGACACTTTGAAACACACTATACATAACAATTTTGGGTCCGCTGATACTAAAAAAAATTTTTTTACCTTAAAATCCTTAAAATTTGTTTTTGGTCTCCATCATAAAACAAATGTGAAATAAACCATTTTCACTGATTTCTTGTTGTAGAAACAGCTAAATATCAATATTAGACCATTCATAGAGCAATAAACCATACCAATTTTTTTTCGTAAACGATCAAAATTTTTTATTTTTCATTTTTAGTTTGTTAGAAAAACAAATAGACAGTAAATTATTTTCAATGACAATTGACGTTTCTAGT